CAGGCTTTCTGCTTCCTCCTCATTCAGTTTTGGGCGATTACATGTTTTAGGAATCTGCCCATGTATTCTAGGTTTTCCAGCTTCATAGAGTATATTTGTTCCTAGTAAGTTCTCATGATGTCTTGGATTTCTGGGGGGTTTGTTGTCATTTCTCCCATTTCATTTTTGATCCAACTTATTGAGAACTTTCTCTTTTTTCTCTCATGATCTAGCCAACAATTTGTCTTGTTTATTCTTTTTTAAAAAAAATATTGTATTGAATCACCATACGATATACAGTTACAAAGCTGTTCACGATCGAGTTTCAGTCCTACAGTGTCCCAACACCCGTCCCTTCACCATTGCACATTTCCTGCCCCCAGTGTCCTCAGTTTCCCTCCACCCTCCCCCTCAGCCCGCCTCTGTGTTAGCACTTTCTTCCCCCGCTGTCTCTCAGTTTCCTTTAGGCGCTGTGGTTTGCAACGCTCTTATCACAGGTGTCCTGCATAAACTTTACCCCTTTCTGGTAGATCTGAGAACCCTGTCCAGCACAGACCGAGGGAAAGAGAAGAATAAATGAAGGAAACAGGAGTTTATTGGGGTGTCCACCCGGGCAGAACACTATGAATCTCTGATGAGACTGGAGTAGAGCCGCGCCCCGGGAGAGACCAAGGGGGCTTTTAAGGTGTCTTGAGTGTGAAAAGGGGAGAAGGGAGCAGAGACCAAGTGGGGCTGTGTGCTGGGCCAGCCTGTTGTCTGTGGGGGACGGACGTGAGGAAGCTGGGATGCAGCCTGGGGCCTTCCTGCTGCCAGAAGGGCCTAAGTCTGTCTTCCGAGCTGGGGCAGGGTGATCGCTGATTCTGTACGTGTCAGTATTTCATCCACTGGCCCCATTCGGTCCCGAGCAAACCTTACATTTTCAGCACTCAGCTTTTGTCCAGAGTGATCATTTAACTTAATCACTTAACTTCCCATTAGTCATGGATTTGCTCGAGCGGGCGCCAGTAACGTCTCCATTTGTCCCTGTCGCGTGCTAGTGTAGCCCAATGGCATCTGTTCGCTCTGGGAACATGAAGAGCCTCAAACCAATCGTTCATGATCTTGATGAAGAAGTCTGACCATCTGGTAGGTGGGCGGCCACGCGGTCTCTTGACATCCCGTGGAAACCAGTCGGTAACAGCTCTAGTCCAGCGGTCGTCTTTAAATCTCATTACGTGACCAGCCCATTTGATTTTTGACATCTTAGCAAACTAGACAGCGTCCCTAATCCTTGATCGTCGACGGATGTCAGAACTCCGGATTCTTTCTCTCATTTGAGTGAAACGTGATATTCCAAGCATAGCTCTTTCTATTCTTCTTTGGGAGACCTGAATAGCGTTCTCATCTTGTTTGCGTAGGGCCCAGGTCTCTGAGGCATATGTTAATGCAGGAAGAACAGTGGAATCAAAGAGATGTGCCCGGAGCCGAAGGTTCTTCGTCCTCTTAGCTATTTCTTCGACGTTCTTGAAGGCGTTCCAAGCTGCTCTCTTCCTCCTGCGCAGCTCAGGTGCCAGGTCATTTGTCATGTTGACCTCTCGACCTAGGTACACATAGCTGTTGCATTCAGAGATGGTCGTTCCATTGAGAGCGAATGGGGCGTCAGGAATGAGGCTCTTTCTCATGAACATTGTCTTCGTAAGATTCAGCTGTAGTCCTACCTTTCCACACTCACAGTCAAAGTCGGCCAGCATTTGTGCCACTTGGCTGATGTTTGCTGTTATTAAAACAATGTCATCAGCAAAGCGGAGGTGGTGTAGTTGCCGACCATCTATCTTCACTCCCATTCCTTCCCATTCCAGTAATCGCATGATGTTCTCGAGGGTGGCACCGAAGAGTTTCCGTAAATGGTATCACCCTGCCGCACCCCTCTCTTGACATCAACGATCACTTCTTTGTAGAATGGTGAGATCCTGGTAGTGAATCCGCAATACAGCTCACGGAGGATCCTGATGTATTGGGCTTGAATGCCCTGATTGGCTAGGGCTTCAATGACTGCTTCCGTCTCAACAGAATCAAAGGCCTTCTTTAAATCAATGAACGTTAAACAGAGCGGCATCTTGAACTCCCGAGAAACCTCAATGAGCTTGGTTATCGTGTGGATATGGTGGATGGTGCTGAATCCTTTGTGAAACCCGGCTTGCTCGCATGGTTGTCCTTCATCTAGTGTTCTGCCAATCCTATTTAGGATGACTCGAGTGAACAACTTGTAGATGACAGACAATAGGCAGATCGGGCGATAGTTGCCAATGTCATGGATGTCTCCCTTCTTGAACAGTAGTACGGTCCTTCTGGTTTTCCATTGGGACGGAACCTTGCATTCAGACAGGTAGCGAGTGAAGAGCCGAGCCAGTGTATTGATGAGTACTGACGGCAGGTTCTTCAGGTGTTCAGGTCTGACCTTGTCTGGGCCGGGTTCTGTTTGTTTCTTTACCGACGAAATGGCGTGTCGGATTTCGGAAGGGAGAACGTTGGGAACGACATATCCATCCTGTGGAATTTGGTATGTTGGCAAGTGGACATGGCTATCGAAGAGATTTGAGTAGAAGTCATGGATAATCTTCTCCATTGCCGTTCTGGAGGATGTGATGGATCCATCAGGACGTCGGAGGGCAGTCATCTTGGTCTTGTAGTTGGCGAAGGACAGGCGGGCGTTACGAATACTTTTCCCGGCTTCTGCCACATCTACCAGTACTTCTGCTCTTCTCTTTGAGGTCTTCCTTGATCGCATCTCTGCACTGCTTTGCGAGCTCGGACGTTAGCTTGCGGTTGCCTGAGGCATGCGCCAAACCACGCTGGCGAATTAGCTCAAGAGTTTTCGAAGACAGGCGATTTTTTGTGGCTATCTCTCTCTTGGCGTTCCTCGCACATTCATGGAGCTGCTGAACCAGTCGATCATATTCCTCGTCAATGTTGTCAACAATGGCATCTTCCCATGTTGCCGCAATAGTACCAAAGAGTTCCCAGTTGGTGGTCATTCTGGGAGTTCTATTTTTGAACTTTGCAGCCCTTTCTCCCCGCTCTATGAAGTAGAATTTTGCACGAAGGAGACGGTGGTCCGATCCCGTTTGAAATTTTGGGACAACAGCGACATCAGTCAGGTAAAACTGTCGATTGAATATGATGTGGTCTATTTCGTTGTGGAATCGTCCACCGGGAGACTCCCATGTCCATCGTTTAGATTCTGCCTTCTGGAACTGTGACTTACCATGAATGGTCTTGGTCGACATGATGAACTCAGACAGTCTCTCACCCTGTTCGTTCCATTCTAGGCCATGGGTCCCGATGTGAAGTTCTTCAGCTGATCTTCTCGATCCTATCTTGGCATTAAAATCACCCACAATGATCTTGTAGAAGGTGTGGTCTTCTTTATAGAACTTCTCTAGCTCCATGTAGAACTTCTCGATTTCTCTTTCATCATAATGAGATGTTGGTGCGTAGACAACGAAGATAGAAACTGCAGGCAGCGAGCCACATCTATTCAAATGTAAACGTCCGATTCGGGTTGTTAGGCATTCGAATGAATCAATGCTCTTGGCCAAGTTTGTGTTGACAAGGACACCGACGCCTCCGACACCTCTTTTATCGCATGTTCCGAGGAACAATTCTTCTCCGGTGTTGAAAACGGCATGGTGAGATTTGTGCCTTCTTGTTTCGGTCAGACCAATGATGTCGTACTTGATCATTCGCGCTTGTACCATCAGGTCCTCGATGGTACATATATGTCGGTACATATATGTTGATTAAAGCTAGTATTTTTTGGTGTGTTGTTCCCTTGATCAATAAATAGTGTCCATCCCTTGTTGACAGATTATTTATGTATGAGTCCCAAATGTGGACATTTGAAAATAACTCATGATTTTTATATCATCCCATTTTAACCCTTAATGTCATTTTTTGAAACCCAGTGTACAGCTTTGTCAAATGGGATTTTCGTGCATACTGAACGGAATCCACACATCAAGCCATCACCTTCACTAGATCGAATACTTCCAAGATTTTGTTTCTTGATCAACCAATTACTTCTTCTGATTTAGCCAAGTCCCGATCATCCTCACTACTTCAGGTGCTTAAGCAGCGGTGTTTTCACTAAGCTGTAAGGCGTCTTCAGTGCTTAACGTGTTCTACCGTCGCAGGTACTTGGACGCAGAGTCCGTCTGAGTGCTCCCACTGAGACGGTGGGCCTCGAGACCCTTCTTTCCCCCTTCCAGTTTCTGTTTAGGCAGCGTGAGTTACAATATTGTTAAAAAGAATCATAGTTAGATAGAACAGTATTTCAGGCCCACTGCGTTCCCGTGCCGAACCTACGACCTCCACCAGCAACTCAAGGCCCTCTCCCTCCCCCACCATTCCCTTAGGAAAGTCACGTTTAATATTTCCATGAGTGTGGCTGGAGCGATAGCACAGCGGTAGGGCATTTGCCTTGCGCACAGCCAGTTCAGCCGAGCTGGGTTCGATTCCTCCACCCCTCTCGGAGAGCCCAGCAAGCTACCGAGAGTATCTCGCCCGCACGGCAGAGCCTGGCAAGCTCCCTGTGACGTGTTCGATATGCCAAACACAGTAACAACAAGTCTCACAATGGAGACGTTACTGGGCCCACTCGAGCAAATCGATGAACAACGGGAGGACAGTTGTTGTTCAGTTGTTCAGTTGGGTCACATGTTCCTAATGGCATTGACACTTCTGGTTTTGATGTACAGTTAGTTGTACTCCCAGCCACATGCCCAGGACCCTCCACCGAAGTCCCTCTTCACCCCCACTCACCTCATTATCCCTCACACACGTTCCCCTGGCTTGGCGTCCTCCATGCGAGAGACGAGGGTCTGTGGCCACTTCACACTATTCATTCCCTGTTTTTCTGCGTGTCACAGTTAAGCAAGGTCCTTCCGTTGACTGGATTCACGGATATTCCTGTGGAAGGTTCTGTCAGCTTCCATGTAGATTTGTATAACCTGAGATATTTCCCCCCCGCCCCCAATTTCTAGGTTCCACAGGCCATAGAGATTTTCTTCTGAGAAGAATTCGTGTTTAATTTTTGATACCAACTCTGAACATGCATCAGGGAACTTTCCAGAAGTCCAGCCCAAGACTCCCTGCGGGGCCGCTGAGGAGCAGGTGAGATCTGGGCCAGGCTGGCCGGCCTGTGACAAGGACCGAGGACACGCCGCGCTCTGCTCGAGCAGTGGGGACCGTGAGCTCAGTCCTGCCCACAGGACGCTCCAGAAATCTGCTCGCCTTTCTGCCTGCCGTGGGGGTGTGCGGGGCGCCGGGGCGCGGGCAGGCTCACCGCGCCGGGGCGTCCGCGGGAAGGGACATGTGCCGTGAAACTCAGTGTTCTGTTGAGAGACTTTTTATCCTGACCACGATTAATTTGAATACTCTTTCTGTTCATGTTATACAAAATGATTTACTGTACTATACTTTTTCCTTTTTTTATATAATGTCTAACAAAAAAATACAACTGCAACCTTTGGACTCCTGTTAAGTTTGTTCTTTAATTAAATGACTACTCATTGCAGGAAATAAGCTGGGCTTTATATTTTCTTGGGGTTGGGAGGAGAGACTGAACAGAACAGTGACCAGCGATGCCCAATTGTCTTGTTCCTGAGCCATCAGAATTTCAACATGGAAAAGAAATAATTGTGTTTTGTAAATTGTTTGTCTCCGTGGTTTATACTTTGGGGGGAAATTTCCTTTTAAGTTAGTTTAAATTTGTAGAGTAATGAAATAATTTGTTTAGAAATGTTAGTAAAGTGAAAATTAGATCTCTTTTAGGATATTTTAAGTTTCACAATTGCAAACATGATGGAAGGTTCGCTTGAGACCATTTGGGTGAGGATCAATCTGGCACAGAAGACACTCAGTTGTCAGACCCACGTGCATCGCCGTGACTGCAGAGAAACATGCCCTGGTCAGTCACCAGGTGCAGGAGATCTTGGACATGGGGGATGCCTGTGTCCCCTGCAAGCTGTCCCCACCTGCGTTGGTCAGTGCTGGACCACTCTAAAACAGAACCTTCAGGGCCTCTGGCAGCGCGAGCCCAGCTCTGACCCTCAGCAGGACGCTGCCCTCGGCTCAGCGGGGCGGGCCCTGCCCGGGACTCTCATTTGGGGCCCAGAGGTGCGTGGAGGCAGCCCTAGTCTGATGCGTGTGGATGTGGCACATGTGTGCTGGCTGCAGGCCAAGGCACGGTAGTCATGAACTAATGTGGTTCCAGACACGATACCTATAGCCTGACGCTTGGTGCTCAGAGTGTGACGTGCAGGGGTTGATCTGCTTGTGCTGGCTGTGGTCTGATGTGCAGTGGTCAGTCTGGTGCATGGAGCCATGGTCTGATGTGCAGTGGTCAGTCTGCGTGTGGTGACCATGGTCCCAAGGCAGTGGTCAGTCTGCGTGTGGTGACCACAGTTCCAAGGCAGACGCAGTCCCAAGACAGTGGTCAGTCTGCGTGTGGTGACCACGGTCCCAAGGAAGTGGTCAGTCTGTGCATGTGACCACAGTCCCAAGGCAGTGGTCAGTCTGTTCATGTGATCACAGTCCCAAGGCAGTGGTCAGTCTGTGCGTGTGACCACAGTCCCAAGGCAGTGGTCAGTCTGTTCATGTGACCACGGTTCCAAGGCAGTGGTCAGTCTGTGCGTGTGACCATGGTCCCAAGGAAGTGGTCAGTCTGCGTGTGGTGACCACAGTCCCAAGGCAGTGGTCAGTCTGTGCGTGGTGACCACGGTCCCAAGGAAGTGGTCAGTCTGTGCATGTGACCATGGTCCCAAGGAATTGGTCAGTCTGCATGTAGTGACCACAGTCCCAGGGCAGTGGTCAGTCTGCATGTGGTGACCATGATCCCAAGGAAGTGGTCAGTCTGTGCATGTGATCACGGTCCCAAGGCAGTGGTCAGTCTGTGAATGTGACCACGGTCCCAAAGCAGTGGTCAGTCTGCGTGTGGTGACCATGGTCCCAAGGCAGTGGTCAGTCTGTATATGTGACCACAGTCCCAAAGCAGTGGTCAGTCTGCGTGTGGTGACCATGGTCCCAAGGCAGTGGTCAGTCTGTGTATGTGACCATGGTCCCAAGGCAGACACAGTCCCAAGACAGTGGTCAGTCTGCACGTGGTGACCATGGTCCCAAGGAAATGGTCAGTCTGTGCATGTGACCACGGTCCGAAGGCAGACGTCTGTGCATGTGACCACAGTCCCAAGGCAGTGGTCAGTCTGTGAGTGTGACCACGGTCCCAAGGCAGTGGTCAGTCTGCATGTGGTGACCACAGTTCCAAGGCAGTGGTCAGTCTGTGCGTGTGACCATGATCCCAAGGCAGACGCGGTCCCAAGGCAGTGGTCAGTCTGTGCGTGTGACTACGGTCCCAAGGCAGTGGTCAGTCTATGCATGGTGACCATGGTCCCACAGCAGTGTCAGTCAGGTACTCGGTGGCTCTTTTCCTGATGACCCTGTGCCGCCCTAGTGCCTTTGGCTGCTTGTCACCTCTTGCTGTCCACACCCTTTCCTGGTCCACTTCTAAGACCGCTATGGACCAGGCTGGCCTGGAGTAGCCCTCTGTCCTTAAGGCTGGGACTGACCCTCGGGGCCCCCAGAGGCGTTGGCACTTCCCGCTGTCCAGCAGAAGAACCCCAGCCCTCCCCTCCCCTCCCTGCCATGGGCGCCTCCAGGCTTGGCCCCTTAGAGCTGCAGTTTCGTGCTTTAAAGGAGACGCTTCAACTCTGACGGGAAGCCAGTTCCTTGATTCTGTGAGCATTTAGGAGGACGTGTTTATGTGTGTGTACATATCTCTATATACACATACTTTTGACTCACAGCCTATAATTTGTGGTTAGCCTCCAAAAGGCTTTCTATTTTAAGCTATACATTAGCAACTTTTTTATTTTATATTTTATTCAGTTTAAAAAAATGGATTGGAGCACAAATTATATAAAACCAAGATTTCTGTCTTCCTCTGGAGAGACGCTCCTGTACTAACCATCAAAGGAGAGAAGCAGGTTCCACTTCCCTAGCAGCCATTCTGGCCCCCCAGACAAGACGGACTGAGAAGTGCTTGGAAGACCCCAACCCATCCCTGCAGTGACCGATGATGTGGCGGGGGCAGCTGTGATTAGGGATTTTTTCCTCAGGTAAAGCCCACGTGTAAGTAAACGACGAAACTCAGAATTAAGATGAAGTGCAGGGTACCCAAAGGAGGGTCTTGTTTGCCAGAGGATGCCAAACTCCTTTGGTCCTCTAGCTCATTTTCATCACTATGTAACTGTCATCCCATTGATCTTCGATCTCCTTGAACAGGCGCCAATAGCATCTCTGTTCTTCCCAGCCCTGCGATTTTGGCAGCCTCTTCTTACTCATCTTTTCCCAACGATTGGAGGCTCTTTCAGGGTCAGGGGAATGAGACCTGTTGTCGTTACCGTATTTGGCATATCAAATACGCCACGGGGAGCTTGCCAGGCTCTGCCCGTGCGGGTGGGAAACTCTCGGTAGCTTGCTGGGCTCTCCAAGAGGCATAAATGGGTAGGAAGTGCCTTACACTGTGTCACGCAGCCACAAAGCGGCCTGGAGCATGGCAGTGGTTGGACAGTGGAGGTCGGCTGCCGGGTCTGGGTCCCTTGGGGTGGGGAGGGCTCTCACCCGCCCCACAGCTCCTTTTCATAAAAACAAACAAAAAACCCAACTCAGGGCCCCTGCTGCCCCATAGGCCTCAAGTGCCTTGAGAGGACAGGGCTGTTCGCCTTGGAAAACCTGATCTAACCTCGACGCTAAGGTACCAGGAAGCCACAGATGTTTCCACCGAGACCAGCGTCTTAGCAATGGATCTCACTCCTGCCACTCTATTTCTCTCAGATGCAGTTACATTTCCCATTCCGTCCCTTCAGGTGTTACTTTGGATGCAGTGAAACCGAAGCGAACTTATGTCCTGGGTCCCCGCGAAGGCGTCTGGTCCTGAGTTCAGTTTGCTTGTGAGTACAGCCCAGTAGCACCCACTCTGGGTGGAGGAACAAGATGGAAAAACCACGAGTCACCTGGCACTGCAGTCTACATGCATGTGCGCCGTAAATTCATGGTATACAGACTTGAAGGAAACTTACAGACTTGAGGGCCTGGAGAAAATATTCCACCTAATTTAGAAATGATTAGGCACAATGTTCTGAATCACCAAAATTCTTCATTCTCAACAATAGGCATTAATGAGGTTTTTATGCTTGGGGGGGGGGGTTGTTCAGGCCACACCTGGCAGCCCTCAGGACCCCCTCCTGGCTCCATGCCTCGGGGTTGTAGCTAGCAGGTGGCTAATTGTAGCTGGTGGGAATTGAGCCCCGGGCCCCCACAGAAAGCCCTTTGAGCTGTCTCTCCAGTTCCTTGGTGTTAATTTTATGTCTTATATGTGTCTCTTACTCATAAAATAAATTGTTAGCTATCAATATAACAATATTAGGTTAATAAGGAAATTTTATGTTTAGGCTTGAAGCAATAATACAGCCATTCGAGTACTTGCCTTCCACTCAACCAACCCAGGTTCAATCCCCAGCATCCATAGGATGCCCGGAGCCCTACCAAGATCTTGGGATCGATCTCTGAGTGCAGAGCCAGGAATAAGCCCTGGGCACTGCTAGGTGTGGCCCAAACCAAACCAAAGGCAAACAAAAGAGCACACACACAAAGCCATTTTAAAGCGTTTAAGACATTCGTGTGTGTGGTTCTGGGCACTGAATTCGCTCGGAAGAGGTGAGTCCTTTGCCACTGAACTAGCCCCAGCCCGTTTTCACTAATGATTTTGTGAGAGATGAACGCACTTCTAGAGACCCCCATTCCATTCTAAGACAATCTGATAGAGGGGCTCTATAAACAGTACCTTTTAAAAAATTTGAAAGACTTTGAAATCAAGTTACTTTTGTGTAACGGAAATGAACCAGAAACAAAACAAAACCCAACAAAACCCCGAAAACCTTTCCAACAAGAGAGCCATCTTGTGGAAATACATACGAACTACAAGTATAAGAAACTACTGTATATTGGGAGATGAAAGTAAAATATTTTAGCTCCATCGACGCAACTCATCAATAGCAAATTCTAGCCCAGAAATGCAAAAATTCTAACGGAGCTACTGAAATTAGTCTTAGATGCCCCCATTGACCCAGTTTGAATTTTTCACAACAAAGCAGCAACTTAAGATGCCCCAAAGCAACTGAGCACAGTTTTTATCAGAGAATTACTGGGAGTTCCCTGTAAGTTTATAAAGCTGTTAGGAGATGCGAGCTCTGCCTCTCAATGAACCGAACTCCGAAGGAATTAGGAGGAGTCGACGTCACAGAACCCAGAGAACAAAGGGATTTTGTGACTGAGTGGCGCCCTCCCAGAGTGGGGTCAGTGAGGAGTGATGTTTTCCTGACTATGACCCAGGTCGAGCAGGCCGATGGCCATACGCTGACCACTTCCCAGGAGAGAATTCTGCGCATAAGCCGCGTTCTTTTGAATGGCTGGCCCCTGCGGCACCACAAGGCCCAGATGAATTTCTGTCACTCCGTTAATCCGGGGGGAGACCTTGTGAAGAATCGTGTTACATCCTCCTGCCAAAAGCCATCTGGAGGCTTGCTTGCTTTTTTAAGCCCATGTTGTCTCGTGAACACGTGAACACGTCTTCCCCTCACGCCCCACGTATAAATTTCAGTAAGAACAACTTTGCGGGGCAGGATGATAGTACCACGGGGAGGGCGCGTGCCTTGCACGCAGTCAGCATGGGTTCGATCCCCGACATCCCACGCCCAAGCCCTGCCAGGAGTGATCCCTGAGGACAGAGCCAGGAAAAACCCTGAGCGCCACCAGGTGTGCCACACCCCTGCCCCCAAAATATTTTTGCTTCACCAAAAAATAAAAATAAATGAAAGCACATCTCTCTCCTCTCCTAAGTAGCTGTTGAAGAGGCTTTCCCTCCTTCACTGGGTTCTCGGCTCTTTTGTCACAGCTTAGGTGTCTAAGTGGATTAGACACTGGTGGATTCTGGGCTCTCTATTCATTCTCTGTGTCCACGGCCCCATCTTTCACCACCTATGTTTGTTATAAATCGTTCAGATTTTGTTTCTACTTGAGTCACTTTTGACCAGAATGTTCCATTTCCTATGAGCTACCTAATCGGAGGTCCTAAATTGTTCATGGAATTCTCATTGTTCTTGTTAGTCATGTCCCCAATTTTGCCCTTCTGACTTTAGATTTTATTAATTTTGAATTTTTTTATTTTATAAAGTAGTTCACAATATTTGATTCCATTTAATATTCAAACACCAGTTGCACCACCATTATACCTTCCCATCACCTTATTTCGGGTCGTTTCGATCTCGAACCCCAATCCCTGCCCCAAAGCAGAACCGAAATAATCTATTTTGTATTGTTTGTTATGAAAAACCATTGAAAATGCTACAAAGAAGTATCCTTAAAAGAGTGTGAAGGTTGTTGCATTGCCCCCAGGGGCCATTAAGCCCTCCTAGAAGAGATCACTAACATGTTGGTAAAGGCTGAGCCTTGTTGCTTCTTATATATGTATCTGTGGGGGGAAAAAGTGTATTTTGCCCTCTAAGATTGGTTGCCTCCTACTTTGAGCCCTATCGAATGTGGTGCCGTAATCTTGGAGTTCAAGTAGGGTGTGTGGTCCAGGAATAGCTTCACTCGTGGGGGATGTGTGGCCGAGTGTGTGGAGAGCGGCTATGGCCATGGTGGCGGCTGGGTTCTAGAGGTTGTAGGTTGCCGTGGTTGGGTCCCTTGGGGCGAGGAGGGGTCTCACCCACCCCCGCTCTGGGGCGCTCGAAGTGAAACAGCCTGGCGCGGGGTCCGGCAGCATGGTTATGGCGAGTGTCATGTTATGCTCCCTTCCGGGAGAGGACATGCGATCTGGATGGTGCCGATGACAAGAGGTGGCTGATGGGCGTGACTGCTGAGTCTCTGGAGACGGGGGATCTCCATTCCCCATCCCATCGAACCCAGTGTTCTCCGTCACAAAGTCCCACAGACTTTAGCTTTTAGCCTTTAAGATGGTTTAATTTCAACCCTTGAGACCTTTTCAAAGAGCCACCTTCTGCCTCTATAACCTTTAATCTATAACCTATAATACTCCATAACCTGTGTTACATTAACTCCTATTAACTGTCATGTCATTTGCTTTTTCTATAAAGTACGGTAAGTCCTCGACGACTCAGTTGGGAGCACCCACCCCCATTAGCTCGGAGCCCTGCTGGGCTGTTCCTGAGCACGGCTTTCCCGGCACAGGTGAGCTTCTTGTCTGCCTTTGTCCCTGTCTCTCCATTTTCCCTGGGGCTGATTCTTGGACCTACTGCTTAAGTGTATACTGTCACCAGTGATTTTTCTGGGGGGGGCCTAGGGAGTATTGGGTGCCCTGCCCAGCGGCCACTCCAAGTCTCTGTTCGGGGGACTCTGTACCGTTTTTATGTACCATCTCTCTTGCCCCAGGAGAACTTTAAGACAATGGCATGAGATGATTGACACGTTAGAAGAATCGCCTGCTAAATTAAGAGACAATCGGCAAAGGAAAATGTGGGTGCTGACAAGTCATTTTCCAGGCTCTTGCAGTCACCCACAAGAGAAGCTGTGTTGGTACTAACAGGTGGAAGGGCATGCACTGAAATATTAATTTGGCAATAAAATCTGCAGAACTCGCTCAGTGTTTGGCTAGAGGAAAAGAGAACTAGGAATTTCTTGATTCTCAAGAAACCAAGGATTCTTTTGTGAGTGAAAGTACTTTTTTGAACTTTCCATCAAAGGAGGTGATGCAACGTTCTACGATCCAAAGCAAAGGGCAAAACTTCTCTCTATCTGGAAATGAGCCATTTCCACGGGGTCCCCAGAGAATGGTGAACGGAGGCAGAGTGACAGTTACGGGGCTGACACCACAATTTAAGGTGAAAGAGAAGCCAGGAAAGACAGAAAGGAAGACGTGCCAGCTAAGAGCTTTAGGGAATGACACTGAGAAGCAATGCAAGGAGGGATCAGATTAGGCAAGAGAAATCACAGATGATTTTGATTATGTAGTTTCAGTGGAATAGTAAAGACTAAAGCAGAACTGAAGGAAAGTGAGGAGCAACTGAGTGTTGAGTTGAAATAGGAACTGGAGAACACTCTGTTCTCTCAGTACAAATGGGAATTGGAGGAGCAGTGAGATTTTGTATCAGTGGAGTCTCTTTGGAGCGTGGGATGCATAAATGTACGGTGAAAAGCCCATGGAAACAGGATTCGCACTACTGCCTTAAGGGGTAACTGCTACACACCAGAACCCAGGAAATGCAGGTGTCTCGTGGCGACTAAACAGGACTACGGAGTGGCTGGCTTGTTCCCTGGTGGTGCTCAGGTTAAAACAAGTGAACGGGAAGAGACAGGCCAGGAGAGCATTGATCAGGGTTAAGGAGCTGAGATCAGGTAATGAACAGGAAGTGTAGAGTGTGGGGAGTTAAGGCCTGGGATTACCCTGGGAAGTTTGCAATTAGAAAGTGCAACATGAAGACCAATCCAGAGGGTCCTAAGTCTGGTTTCTAACAAGGCGGCAGGAGTTTGTGCTGACAGCACCGGTGCAGCCAGGCGTCCAGTGTGACAGATGGCTCAGAGCCGGGGGGTTGGAGGTATGTCACCACAGGCCCACCTGTCAAGGGTCACAGACAACAGGGAGTCAGTTCACCATTTCTCAAAGCAGGATCTTTCCTGCCTGTGGATCCATCTGGGCAGATGCTGTGGGCTGAGTGACACTCAGCGGGAGGTCCCTCCCACAGGGCCAGTGCACTGGGGGCGGCCTGGAGGAGGAGATTGGGCTCAATCCATTGTTAACAAAATAGGAAAAATCATTAATTTTTATTTCAACTTTATTAAAGTGTATGTAACAAAACTGCCTACTTAGATGTTTAGATAACACAGCGCGTATCTTAGGGTACTCCTGCCATCTAACATGATGCAGCTATAATAACTCCAAGCACTGATTGCTACTCAGGAGAAAGGGTTAAATCAGACTTCTCGAGTGTGGCTAAATTGTGTTTACTTGTAGTTTATTTTAAGCTAGTGATTCAGCACAAACTGTATTAAGTTAAAACTAATCTTACTTTATTAAAGAACTGGCTTAGAGCATATAGTTAACTCATGTAAGGCAAATATAAAACCAACATATTTCCTTTACAGTCTGGTTTCCCAAAAACATTCTCCCTAAGAAAAGCACCCAGCCCTAGTGTTGTGGCTGCTCTTTTCCATCCAGCATTCGTCTGAAGGCTCCCAGGTAACACGTCGAGTGACTCATCAGGATTTATCTTCAGCTAAAGACAGTGACATCATTCATAAGCCATAAATAATGACACCAGTCCTTTGCGTACATTTAGAAGATCCTCTTGTTGCTAGAGAGGCCAAGAGAAGGAAAGAATCAAAAGTCACTAGGAAATTCTGTGATTCCCACTAACGGTTTGAGTATTTCTCAAATTTCTTTATTGGGGATTTATTTTTTCTTTTCGCTGTACCCGGAGTCGAACCTTGGGTCTCATCTGTGGACGGCAGGCACTCTACCACTGAGGTACACCCCTGGCCCTAGGAATTTTAGTTTTTAAAGAAAAGTAAACCAGACTTAATCTGAATGGTTTTAAGGAGCAACTTAGCCTCAAGCTAAATCAGTTTAGCCACAACCTTCTGTACTAGTTCAACCTACTGAGATGCTGTTACAATCTGGAAAGCACATTCAATACCCTCTCTGCGAGACTCACTTCACCTTCATCGGCCATCTGACACCTGCCGTCCCAGAGAAGCACCAAGGACGTGGCCAGCGGCCAGCAGGAGCGAGGCTTTCAACCCGCCCAGGTGCACTCCCCACAGTGCGGCTAATAGTCTGCGAGCCCTTGACAAGCTCACTGTTTTTGTTTTGGACCACATCTGGCAGTTCTCAGGGGACCCCATGCAGTCCTGGGGCTTGAATCGGGGTCTGCCATATGCCAGGCAAGCACCTGAACTCCTGTATGATCTCTCTGGCCAAAGCCGTGCAAGAATTTTGCTGTGAAAGAACTAAAATCCCATACTAGGGATGAATTACCATTTCCTTAAGAAGTCTCTCTTGCAGTATTTTCATGTCTTCTTTCATTGAGCACATCTGGAAAGAGATACATTTCTCCACTAAAATTTACTGAGAAAAGACTAACCATTGTTGAAATGTACATTATATAAAACTACAGGATTTTTACCTCAGCAGTAAAAACAGTTTCTTCATAATCAGTGTTGTAGAAGACATATTTTTCCAAAGCAGCTTTCAAAAGGTGAAGCCTAATGAGTAAGATGAAATTAATATTTTCATTTAGGAGAAATTCAGATGAAATGGCTATATTTGATAAGTTCTAGATATACCTCTGCTGTTCACATTTTTGATAGCCAGCAAACTTCTGACAGATCTTTTCCCAAAAATCCTACATTTAAAAATACAATATGCAGTTATACTTTATTACTTAATACAAACAAAAATAAAAACTCGACCGACATATCTCTGCTAGTCCAAAAGTATACAACGTGGATTATAGGCTAAGCACACCTCCAACATCATAGAGTCTTCCAGATAAAACTGAAAGGAAAAGACACCTCATGCTGCATTCTATCTGCTCCAGTTGTGGGGGCATCTGTCTCAGGGTCGCAGACCCAGGGCTTTGCAAATGCAGGCCTTGCTCTGGGAGCACAGGGATTATGGAGGGTTTCAGATTCTGCTCAGGAAGTGTTTGTAATTTAGGATTATCAGTAGTACATAAGGTCAGAGAAATAGTACAGTGTGCACTTGTCTTGCAAGTGCCCAACACATGTTCACAATTCGGCACTCGATATGGTCCCCCAAACCCACCAGGAGTTAAGTCCCGAACCCTGCTAGTTTGGCTCAAAATCCCAAACAACGAAAAGCTCTTAACAGTACAAACCGCAAATTCTTTCTCCAAATCTTTCAGAGTTTGTGAATCTCTTTCAAATTTCTCCAGCTCTTCTATGATGATGAATTGGAACTTATCGAGTTTTTTAATCCTATTAAAAGAACAAAAATGAGATTTTAAAAACTCCTGCACTCAGAATATACACATTACATAAATGATTTTTATTACAGACCTATATTCCTGAATGTGATGCTTCACTGTTTTCACATGTTGTTGGGCTGTTTTCCAAGACTCCTTTGTAAAATACTTCATCAGTTTCTCATGAACCTGAAAATATATGCATTTTTTAAACCTTAAGTTCTTTGCAAAATCATCACTGCAATCCTCTCCACGCAGTGCCTAAGGCTTGGCAAAGCAGAGCATCTGGTACAGAGAAGGCTCTTCCTTCCACAAGGGAGGTTGAGGGAATACTTTTCTGAGAAATTCACCGTATTTACAAATATTTTCATGCTTATCTTTATCTTCAGGAAAATAACCAAAACCTAAAACTGTACCTTGACTTACTTGGTTTCTATAAAAACATCTAGACACGGACATGTAACAAAATATATAAATCAAGGTAGATTAAGGTAGCCTTTTGAGAAATCAAGTTCAAACAATGAATATATAAATTTGGGGGGTGGCCACACTCGGTGATGCTGGGATCAAGTCTGCTTTCAAAGCAGGAGCTCCAGCTCTCTTGCGCCATCTCCTAGGGGCGAATACTCTGGATTTGGATTGCTGGCCCAGAGACGGTGCTGACTTAAGGAATGTTTCTGCACATGCTAGTAACAAGAAGACTCTCTCCCTTATATATTGCCCTGTAAGACAGATGTGTGTGTGTGTGTGTGTGTGTATAACTTGTGTGTGTGTGTGTATAACTTGTGTGTGTGTATAACTTGTGTGTGTGTGTGTATAACGAAGAATGGTTTTAGAAAACAGAGTACAGAAGTGGCAAAACAGAGCAAAGTGGAATTTCTGAGTATGGTCGCTCACCCTTCACCAGACACGGCCTAGATCATGTCTACTCCCTTCCCCTCGGAGGGATGACAAGCACAGACAAAGAAAAAGCACTGGAGGCGAAGAGAAGACTAGGGCACCTGCTCTGCAAGCGTGATGTCTCGAGATGAATTCCGCAGCTCTTCTGCGAGAGCACTGGACGCAGGATGTGCCCTTGGCCAGACCCTGGCAGCAGGGGCAAGCGAAGCACACAGAGACCAGGGAGATCAGAGTTTTACAAACCATTTCAGTTTTTCATCAGTAAATGAGAAAGATCAATGAAAATGGGTGTTCTGCTGTCCACGAAGCAGTTGAGAAGCTAGAAGAAAATGTGCTCTACTACTGTACTGGACATAAACCATCACTGAAACAAGAACTCACCTTGACTTTCTTCTGAATTTCAGTATTGGCTTTCTCATATATCATTTCTACATTCGAATTTTCAGTTTCCTCCTCAGGAATACTTCCATTATCTCCTAAGTATGGGGACAGAGTTTCAGATTTTCTTAAAAAATTAAGACAATCAATTAAAATTAAAAGTAACTTATTATGGTGCCGCCAGCAGGTCAACCTGTACCTGTGAGGCAAGTGCATCAGCAGCCTGATGGCGCCTTCAGACTTCCAGATACCCCCAAATTGCTGCTGTGCCTCTGGCCAGACCCCAAAAACTTGGGGCAAAGTTTACCAAGAAAGTAAATGGCCGAAAGGTATGTGGGAGACACACCCACAAACCACCTCTGGCTCAGCTTTATAATCAGAGACACGGCCTCTCTGGTTCCTGATCAAACTGCTTAACGGCCCTGATCCCAGAGACTCAGAAACAAATCTCGAAACCCAGCGGCTTTTGGCAGAAGTGTGTCCTGACCACGCAGTAGGTTACTGTCGCCGGGCCACCCCAGGGGGGAAAGGGTGTTGTCCCTCTGCCTGCTTCCCCCAGGCAGCTCGGTGGCTGTCATCCTCCAGAGGCCATTGGACAGTCAGGTTTGGTTCCGCGGTGACGAAACTTGTTGGGCCTCACGGGATGGGGTTGGAGCCGGGCCTGTCCTCCCCATCCCAAAGAGACCCCAAGTCATCACCCATAAACGGCCTTTCTGGCTCCTAATCAAACTTCTTAATGGACATGATCCCAGAGACTCAGGAACAAATCTCGGAACCCAGCAGGTTTTGGCAGAAATCCCTCCAGATTTGTTAAAATTTTGGAATTTCAAAATTGCGTGGCTACATCATATGTTATTCATAACCAGCAATAGAAAACAAATTGTCTACTGTTGCCTTTTCAGCAGATATGAGTGTTGGGGTAAAATATCAAATAATAATGGTGGGTCTGGTGTTGAAATTTTGAATGTGATCAAAGTAGAGAGAGAGAGTAATGTGGAAATCATCTGCCCCACAGGTAGGGGGAGGGTGAGATGGGGGGTATACTGAGGATTTTGGTGGTGGAAAATGGGCACTGGTGAAGGGACGAGTGTTTCATTGTATGACTGAGACTTAAACCCGAAAGCTTTGTAACTGCTCTCAAGGTGATTCAATAAAAAAAATTATAACACTGTCCTCGATTTGCTCGAGCGGGCCCAGTAACGTCTCCATTGTGAGACTTCTTGTTACTGTGTTTGGCATATTGAATACGAAGTTATTTAGACTTCAGATTGTCTTGAAATGTAGATTTTGAATGGGTTTAAAGATAGATTGGTTTCATTAATTTGTATATAGAAATACTCTAATAAATTTTAATGCCATTTAACTATTTGTAAGATATAACCTTACTGTCTTAAAAAAATTATAAAAAAGGAAAAAAAAAGGAAGGTGGAATTCATGTTCAATCCAATCAGACTAATCAATGGCTGAATGAATAGCAATACTCCTACATAAAGTAACTAATAAATTGAACTTATGCAGGAGGTTTATATTTTTAATTTAAAATTCTCGTATTCAGGGGTGGGGAGACAGTACAGCAGGTAGTGCACTTGCCTTGCATGCAGTCAACCAGGGTTCAATCCCCAGCATTCCGTATGGTCAGACAAGGACCACCAGGAGTAATTCCTGAGGGCAGAACTAGGAGTAACCCCCGAGCATCACCAGTGTTGCTCAAAAACAAAATTCTTATACATAAGAAAAGTATTTTGGCATGAGCATATAGGCAAAATGGTAACTGAAACCAGGCTGTTTCAAGATTGATTGTTAACTGGTTTCAACTACTTCCTGAAACAAGGCTAGTATTATTAGCCTATTATTAGCCTGAGTATTTGCTGACACGCTCATCTACTAGTAAATTCACATCCTTGTAAAGCTGGTTGAAGAATGATAAGGGAGATAAAAGATCCTCCTGCAGCAGTATTCATGTGAAGCAAAGTGATTATGAAGCATTGGCTTTTTTTTCCTTCCTTTTTGGGTCACACCCAGCGATGCTCAGGGGTTACTCCTGGCTCTGCACTCAGGAAGTACTCCTAGCGCTGCTCAGGGGACCGTATGGGATGCTGGGATTCGAACTCGGGTTGGCCACGTGCAAGGCAAGCGCCCTACCCGCGGTGCTACTGCTCCAGCCCCAGCATTGGCTATCTTGGCTGGAGCGATAGCAGAGCGGTAGGGCGTTCGCCTTACAAGCGGCCAACATGGCCGACCCGAGTTCGATTCCTCCGCCCCTCTCGGAGAGCCCGGCAAGCTACCGAGAGTATCCGATATGCCAGACACAGTAACAACAAAGTCTGCAATGGAGACGTTACTGGGCCCGCTCGAGCAAATCGACGATCAACGGGAGGGCCTTTACCTTACCTTTATGTAAGCAATTTGCTTTGTGCACAGTCTTTTAAATCTCAGAAAGTATCTCCTATGATCTATATTTTGAAACAGGCATTTGATTTCCTTACCTGGGTCCGAGTGAAGCTCTGGATCTTCAGCTCTTGACATTTTCCGGGGAAGAACGCTTCCTCTGCTTTCCTCTTGCTCTTCTATTTCTTTTGAATTACTTGACTTGTCTTCTATGTACATTCGTTTGCGATTAAGAGGCGTAGGGTCTTTGAAAAGTTAAAATAACAGTGCTACTTACTATTTTTGATTAATTATCGAAAATGATGATGACTAAAATCTGTAATTCCTTGAGAGGAAACCACGGTGTTAGTTTGGCAGTTAGTGTCTTGATGTGCAGCCAAGTCTACGTACCTGGCACCTGGACGGCGTCTGGGGGCACGTTCCGCCCTGTCTTCTCCCTCTCCTCACTGGATAAGGATAAGAGTGATGGAGAGCGACTCCCCTAAAGGAGACAGGAGAAGTCAGAGATTCTACGGCCTCCGTTCTTCGTCCTTGACCCTCTCTCTCAACTTTAAAGCCAGCTGTTTCCAATGCTGTTGGTTCTCTTATTATAGATTCCGCACCCCGCCCAAACTCTCTCATGTGTTCATCTCAATCTTAAGTTACAGGAGCAATCTTGCTTTTTCCTTCCTATCAATACTCCTAATTTTTAAAATTCTTCCACAATTTTTTGTGTCAGAAAATGGGGAGTCATAGAAATTCTAAGTACAGGCTTTTTCCCCCGCAATGTTCCTTTAACCCTCACACATTTCACCTATTTTATTATTCCTTACACATATTTCTCTGTTCCAGTAAACGAGTTTCTATTTTATGAAAATGTGTAGCCTTTTATATCTATATTACATCCTGGAGTTCTCCGTATACTTTATGACAAAAAATTCACCAGGTTCCTGTATAATCATGAAACCTGAAAGTCCTAACTGTAAATGAGTCAGTGCTTTTCATTTTAAGTCTTAACTTTTTAATAATAAACTCTCCTATATACTTCAGATTATGAAAATTTTATAATATGTTACATATATACAAGCGGGCTGGATAAATAGCATAGCAAGTAGGGCATTTGCCTTGCACGCGGACGACCCAGGTTCAATTCCTCCGCCCCTCTCGGAGAGCCCGGCAAGCTACCAAGAGTATTCCGCCCGCAAGGCAGAGCCTGGCAAGCTCCCTGTGGCGTGTTTGAATGCCAAAAACAGTAACAATAAGTCTCACAATGGAGATGTTACTGGTGCCCGCTCGTGCAAATCAATGAACAATGGGAGGACAGTGCTACATATATACAATCTATATAAACTTTATTGTAATTTTTATAGAATAGTAATCCTATTCTTTTAGAGGCTAGGTTTAACAAAAGTCTGAAAGCCAACATGATATTATTTCTTTTGTTTTGCGTATGATTTTACTTTGGAGTTACTGAGGAGAGAGGCTATATTCAGGATATAGGCCTACACGCTTTTAGAAGTTTCATACAAAATTTTGCTGAAAATTTGGTCTGTGGAGACTACTGGTTAAAAAGAATCTTAAGAGCTTCTGGGGATAAAACTATCGAAGTCCAATAGGTAGGAATGAAGACTGGTTTGGTCACATTTTAGATCTTAACTGGGAAGTGCTGAGCTGCCGTCAATCCCATCTTTGTATGTAGAGGTTAAATCACCTCAAAAGAACAAGGTGCATCAGAGAGTACAGTGGGGAGGGTGTTTGTCTTGCAAGCTGCAGACCTGGGTTTGATCTGAAGCACCCCATACAACCTGCCGGGGATAATCTCTGAGCTCAGAGTTGGGAATAAGCACTGGGCAACCCAGGGTGTGGCCCCCAAATTAAAAAGAAAATAATATATTTGGGTATTTTACTACACAGTTCTATACTTACAAAACCATTGTTTTTAAAATGGGAAAAGGGGCTTTGAAAAATTATACTTGAGGACAGACTGTCCTGCCTCTGTGTCAGGCTGTCTTTACCAGGGCAACTCAGAGGGGGACAGGTTGAGTTTCCCTCCCCACCCCAAGCAGAACCCCCGCCGCTGAAAACCTCCAGAACCCAACTGCCGCCATGCTTAAGGCCACTCTCCACAACCTCAGACGAGCCTCACCTATGAGGGAACCTGTAGAAAAACCCAAGTATGCAGGACCGTGACTGAGATCTCCAAGTTCGCTCAGAACGGAACTGGGCCTCCTCCCCCCAGCTCCCCAGTTTTCCAGTGGCTTGGCAGTCACACCCACAAACTGCCCCCAGTGCCATGTGATCTCATCAATGGCCAAGATCCAGAGACTATGAAATAAAGCTCCTGGAAGAGAGCGACATAGAACGTCCTGGACCTCTTACACTCGAGCCCACTGATGTACCAAAAGTCGCACACATCTGCTTGGTTTAACACACATGCTTATATTCTCTTATATCAGGGTTTACATGGCTCCAGGATGAAATACAACAATCTTCACATACTTTCCTCTTATGATGGTGAAAAGGTGCATGGTGGTGGGATTGGTGTTTGAATATTATCTGTAATGAACTATTGTGAACAACTTTATAAAAATAAAATATATAAAAATATTATAGATGAGAAACTGGGGTGCTGGAAGATTAGCTTGTGAAAATGTTAGACTTATCACTTAACTTCCCGTTAGTCGTCGATTTGCTCGAGCGGGTGCCAGTAACGTCTCCATTTGTCCCTGTCGCATGCTAGTGTAGCCCAATGGCATCTGTTCACTCCGGGAACATGAAGGGCCTCAAACCGATCGTTCATGATCTTGACGAAGAAGTCTGACCATCTGGAAGGTGGGCGGCCACGCGGTCTTTTGACATCCTGTGGAATCCAGTTGGTAACAGCTCTAGTCCAGCGGTCGTCTTTAAATCTCATTACGTGACCAGCCCATCTGGTTTTCGACACCTTGGCAAATGAGACAGCGTCCCTGATTCTTGATCGTCGACGGATGTCAGAATTCCGGATTCTTTCTCTCATTTGAGTGAAACGTGATATTCCAAGCATAGCTCTTTCTATTCTTCTTTGGGAGACCTGAATAGCGTTCTCATCCTGTTTGCGTAGGGCCCAGGTCTCTGAGGCATATGTTAATGCAGGAAGAACAGTGGAATCAAAGAGATGTGCCCGGAGCCGGAGGTTCTTCGTCCTCTTAGCTATTTCTTCGACGTTCTTGAAGGCGTTCCAAGCCGCTCTCTTCCTCCTGCGCAGCTCGGGTGCCAGGTCATTTGTCATGTTGACCTCTCGACCTAGGTAGACATAACTGTTGCATTCGGAGATGGTCGTTCCATTGAGAGCGAATGGGGCGTCAGGAACAAGGCTGTTTCTCATAAACATTGTCTTCGTAAGATTCAGCTGTAGTCCTACCTTTCCACACTCACAGTCAAAGTCGGCCAGCATTTGTGCCTCTTGGCTGATGTTTGGTGTTATTAAAACAATGTCATCAGCAAAGCGGAGGTGGTGTAGTTGCCGATCATCTATCTTCACTCCCATTCCTTCCCATTCCAGTCGTCGCATGATGTTCTCGAGGGTGGCACTGAAGAGTTTCGGTGAAATGGTATCACCCTGCCGCACCCCTCTCTTGACATCAACGATCACTTCTTTGTAGAATGGTGAGATCCTGGTAGTGAATCCGCAATACAGCTCACGGAGGATCCTGATGTATTGGGCTTGAATGCCCTGATTGGCTAGGGCTTCAATGACCGCTTCCGTCTCAACAGAATCAAAGGCCTTCTTTAAATCAATGAACGTTAAGCAGAGTGGCATCTTGAACTCCCGAGAAACCTCAATAAGCTTGGTTATCGTGTGGATATGGTCGATGGTGCTGAATCCTTTGCAGAACCCTGCTTGCTCGCATGGTTGTCCTTCATCTAGTGTTCTGCCAATCCTATTTAGGATGACTCGAGTGAACAACTTGTAGATGACAGACAATAGGCAGATCGGGCGATAGTTGCCAATGTCATGGATGTCTCCCTTCTTGAACAGTAGTACAGTCCTGCTGGTTTTCCATTGGGACGGAACCTTGCATTCAACAGGTAGCAAGTGAAGAGCCGAGCCAGTGTATTGATGAGTACTGACGGCAGGTTCTTCAGGTGTTCAGGTCTGACCTTGTCTGGGCCGGGTGCTGTTTGTGTCTTTACCGACGAAATGGCGTGTCGGATTTCGGAAGGGAGAACGTTGGGAACGACATATCCATCCTGTGGAATTTGGTATGTCGGCAAGTGGACATGGCTATCGAAGAGGTTTGAGTAGAAGTCATGGATAATCTTCTCCATTGCCGTTCTGGAGGATGTGATGGATCCATCAGGACGTCGGAGGGCAGTCATCTTGGTCTTGTAGTTGGCGAAGGACAGGCGGGCGTTACGAATACTTTTCCCGGCTTCTGCTGCATCTACCAGTACTTCTGCTCTTCTCTCTTTGAGGTCTTCCTTGATCGCATCTCTGCACTGCTTTGCGAGCTCGGACGTTAGCTTGCGGTTGCCTGAGGCATGCGCCAAACCACGCTGGCGAATTAGCTCAAGAGTTTTTGAAGATAGGCGATTTTTTGTGGCTATCTCTCTCTTGGCGTTCCTCGCACATTCATGGAGGTGCTGAACCAGTCGATCGTATTCCTCGTCAATGTTGTCAACAATGGCATCTTCCCATGTTGCCGCAATAGTACCAAAGAGTTCCCAGTTGGTGGTCATTCTGGGAGTTCTCTTTTTGAACTTTGCAGCCCTTTCTCCCCGCTCTACGAAGTAGAATTTTGCACGAAGGAGACGGTGGTCCGATCCTGTTCGAAATTTTGGGACAACAGCGACATCAGTCAGGCAAAACCGTCGATTGAATATGATGTGGTCTATTTCGTTGTGGAATCGTCCACCGGGAGACTCCCATGTCCATCGTTTAGATTCTGCCTTCTGGAACTGTGAGTTACCATGAATGGTAAATGGTAAATTTGCAAATAGCAGATTCAGGATTCAAAACCACACTTCTCTCTGACTCCAAACATAGTTTATACCCCCAATCTCCACATTAGGCATAAATAATTATAAAAACAAGACCAGGAAAGGGGAATGGGTTTATAAGCTCTCAACCATACAACAACAAATGCCAAACTCTCCCCAGCAGACACTCTGATGTGAAGATGGCTCTGCACATCGACAATGGTAACACTGAGATGTGCATTGTTTGTTTCTGATACCAGAAATGTTTAATAACAAACCCACCTGTTTACTTTATTACATAGGTGAAACTGTTACTGTCATCTTAAACTTTGTATTATTCACGTATTTTACCCAGATTCTTGTAGAAATCTGGAGTAAATGTATAATTAGACTGCTCTCAACTAAACTGTCAAGTTGTCACACAATTAAAGATTATAGGGTGGGGAGAAAACAGAGGGTGAGGGCATGCCGGAGGCCCAGGTTCGATCCCCAGCACTGCTAGAAATGGACAAAAAAAAAAAAAGACTGCAGGACACACTATGGTGAAATACGAAATGAGTGCATATGTTGGAGAAATGAGCCTACTTAAATCTAGAAAATGAACAATGTCATTTTTTTGGGTGGCAGCGCTCAGGGAGACACTCCTGGCAATGCTCAGGTAACCAGGCCAGTTGGAAGCTTGGGCCCAAACAGCACTATTCCAGAGCCCAGCATCCCATGCACAGAAAACCTGCTCCCCCATCCCCGCTCCCGACCTTCGTGGCTGCAGTGCGCAGACGCAGGTACCTGTCCCGGCTGGCCATCACGACACTGCTCTGCTCCTTGTGCTCTGCATCCCACATCCGTCCACTCTGTCAGTTCCTTGGCTGACTGAGGCCGTTTTACGAGCAGGTTCTCTTCCTCCCCACCGCCCCAAGCCCAGCCCAGACAAAGGCTGTTTGATAAAGATTAAAGACAACGATTTACCCCTTCACATTATATCTGATATAGAAAAAAATAGAAGTATATTTCTTACAAAAGAAAGGGAGCATGGAATTGGTGAGCAACTTTCTCTTGTACGCAGGAAATTCTTCTCACAATTTCTGGGTGACTGTTTTGAACCTCCGACTCCGTATTTTCTGTTTATTGATTCCGATGATGGCCTTTTTGGATCAGGTGATAAAGATTCTGTTATACGGTCATAGCCGTGAGTCAAAACCCCTTCTGTTATTTCCTCTCTACCTGTATTAGTCCATAAAACATAAACAGAGGTGGCAGGTGTTACTTTAGAAACAGTATGCGTGACTACAATTCTAAGAATATGATAACTTACCAAGTCCTCAAATCTTTGTTGTATTTAAAAGAACAAACTTTCAATAAATCAAGACCAAATTATATTTAAAAGATTTTAAAAATGTTAACAGCTGAATTTAAAATGGAATAAATATAACCATAGACTTTTAAAGCATCTTAATAAGAAAATATATAGTACATTTAAAACACATACTAAAACATAATAAAATATATAAGTATACTATAATGATTAACCCAAGTATTATGCTGACAATGTTTAATACAAGTATTGGTCTAAATCAAAGACAGAATGTTATGGTTGAAATGACTGCTTGGAAAAATTAACTCAGCTAGATAAATGATATCTAGATGAGAAAATTAAAGATTAATGTAAGTAAAAATAAATTTTCAAGTGTTTTCAGGCCCAATCAGAACATGGTACCTCTCCCTCCTGTATATGTACTAATTGAAGACAACAGTAGTTCTGAGCACTAGGAAAATATTATGGAAATGCATAAAATTGTCACTTTCAAGGAAGCATATGTTAATTGAGAAATATCTGAAATATATAGATATGCTTGCATATTTATATAGTTATATTTAGAAAAACTGATAAGTGTTAACTTGTAGTTGCTATACTAGTAATGTGTGTATATATACATCCACATTATAGATTTATGTGTGCATACATATATATGAACATAAGTGGGCATACATATATATATATACGCACAGTATACATCTTTGTGTGCACACATAGATGTATGGCAGTGCTTCAAAGAGCGTTAATTCTTTTCTTGGCCCAATTCTAAACAAAAGCAAAACCCTGATTTTTGTGGGAATAATCCACTACAGGTACACAAAATGGCCATAACATTCCTTAAAAACCTTTTACAATGAAATCTCCATAATTATTTCCATAAGTGTAGCACTGTAGCACTGTCCTCTCACTGTTCATCTATTTGCTCGAGTGGGCACCAGTAACGTCTTCACTGTGAGACTTGTTACTGTTTTTGACGTTATCGAATACACCACGGGGAGCTTGCCAGGCTCTGCTGTGTGGGTGGGATACTCTCGGTAGCTTGCCGGGCTGTCCAAGAGGGACAGAGGAATTGAACCCAGGTGGGCCATGACATTAAGTGTAATTTGAAATAAAATACAAAGTAAGACTAGCATTAAAATTTGTAAATACATAAACAATACTTGCAATATTATGGCATTTAATTTTAACGTCCCAACATGAAAATCTTCCACTTTAGTAACACTGTTCCTAAGTTTACTTAGCAAAAACCATGTTACTTGGGGGCTGGAGCAATAGCACAGCCGGTAGGGCGTTTGCCTTGCACACGGCCAATCCGGGTTCAATTTCCAGCATCCCAGATGGTCCCCCGAGCACCGCCAGGAGTGATTCCTGAGTGCAGAACCAGGAGTAACCCCTGAGCATCACCAGGTGTGGTGATCCAAAAAGCAAAACACTCAAAACTGTCTTCAAATTCTGTACAAATTCTGTTAAAACATAAAAGTATCCACAGAAAGAAAACAGTGACACTGACATCTCGTGACTTCTATGGATGAGGAGCTCCGGGCGGGCGGCGACAGGCCCAGACCATCATCTTCGGTTAGGTCTCTGACCACAGTCAGGTTTTCCCATTCTTTCGATCGCTCTTGTATCTCCACAGTGACGGCATTCTGCTGTTTCTTGGGCAGCACTGCGGCACTGCTTCTGGAATGGAGGTTATCCTCCTAAATGTACCAATAATTTAAATCACACAGAAACATGGACTCGATGTTTTACATTAGGGACTTTAACATGAGGAGTCGAGAACTTTATAATATAGTAGAAAGCATACAACAAATTCACAGGGGAAGAAAATTCATAAATCATCATAAAAATACAAATAAAATGCTATTCAGGAGTCAAAGAAAAGGAAAAAGTGCCGAGAGGTGCTAGATTCCACGAGTCTTGCCCCGCGCAGCCTGGCAGCAGACGCGCAGGGCCGGCATTGAGTGAGGACGGCCTGCGCTGTTCTATCTGGCCACTGCAGCCCTGGACGCAGACTGCAGAAGGAAAGGAGGAAGGCTGGGAAAGCAGGGCTCTGATGCTCTCATGAAACTTTCAGAAATTCAGAATATTTTCTTTCAAAAAGAATGAGAGGTGGCTTGTAAAGAAAGAAGTGAGAGAAAATGCAGCAATAAACTCCGGTGGGAGATGGTGGTACAGTCATTTAAAACCAGCGCAGCAAAATGGTCGGGAACCATCTTCATGCCAGACTCTGGGTCAAATCTTTGTTCTACCTCTTCCTTGCTGTGTGACCTGGAACAAGTTCCTTCATCTCTCTGAGTCTCAATTTTCTTATGTCTAAAATGGGACTTGATAACTAGTCCTAATATTGACAGCCCATTTTAGACGTGACAATTACAAGAGTTTAATGAAGTCAATGCTATAAAGTACTTAGAAAAGCCCTTGGAGCACTGTAAAGCATCGTGCGTTCCCCTCTATTAAAAAAGGCTTATCACAACAAAACGGGAGACTAACACCCAGGAATGGTCGAGATTAGTACCAGGAATTTTGCTCCTTGACTTGAAGGCCAGCCACATGTGCTAGGTGAAAAGGAAGCTCAGATAGAGAAGAGAGCACCAAATAAAGGGTGTTGGGAGGATCCTCCCAGGGTGGGAGAAGCATGCTGAAAGTAGACTCTGGACCGAACATGATTGCCACTCAATGCCTCTCTTGCAAAACACAGGACCCAACAGAAGAGAGAGAGAACAAGGGGGAATGCCCTGCCACAGTGGCAGGGTGGGGCGGGGGGGTGGGGGGTGGGAGGGATGCTGGGACCTGTGGTGGGGGAGGATGGGCACTGGTGGAGGGATGGGTACTTGATCATTGTATAACTGAAACCCAAGCACAAAAATTTATAAGTCTATAACTGTACCTCATGGTGTTTCACTAATAAAAAAAAAGATAAAAAAAAAAACAAAGGCTTATCAATCACAGGTAGCTAGAACTGTCTAACAAAACAGGTGGATGAACTCAGCGAGGGAAAGGCGGCAGCCTACAGGAAGAAAATGAGATCTAATGCTTTTGCTTTTATTCAAGAAAAAGAATTACATCTTCCTAAATTGCACTCATGCCTTAAAGCAGAATGAGAAAAATTAAGTATTTCTCATTTAAAAAGTTACTCTTTCACTAGAGTAAAACATCTGTTTTATAGCACTAACGCCAATTAATTAACATTATATTAAGGATCCACTTTGTTTTTTGGGTTTTTTTTGCTTTTTTGGGGTCACACCCAGCAATGCACAGGGGTTACTCCTGGCTCATGCACTCAGGAATTACCCCTGGCGGCGCCCGGGGGACCAAATGGGATGCTGGGAATCAAACCCCGGTAGGCCGCGTGCAAGGCAAATGCCCTACCCGCTATGCTATCACTCCAGCCCCAAGGATCCACTTTTAATGTATTTTTCTCTTACAGAAGATTAAATCTTAAAAACTAAATAAGTTTGGTAAGTATAGACTTAGAAATTGCAAATGTGCAACTGATTACCTTCACTAGCAGCTTCTCTTTCAGTAAAGGTGAAAATTCTTGTTCGCTCTCCGATTCTGAATTTGAGAGATCTTTGTAATTTTTCTTGGTTTTTGTTGCTCTCCGTGGAAGTCTAGTTCTCCAATCTGAAACTGTTTCATCTACCTGTTTGGCGGTATTTTTCTTGGCTGTCTTTAGGAAAAAAAATTCTAAATATTATTAACCGGTTTTGACATAAAATTTATCTACTAAAAAAAATGGCGCTGCACCAAGATGTGCAAAAACACTTTTATAGGAACACAAACAGATCCGGTTGACTGGATTTTATCTTTCCTTTCCAAGTACCTCTTCATCCCTTTCTTTCAAAGTCTGAGGCCTGACATATATTGGCTGAGGGAAGATGATATCAAAAATATTCATAGCCATAGAATAAAATATACTTAAAATAAGTCAACAGAACTAAAAAAGATAGAAAATAGGGTCAGGACAATTATGCTAGGGTCAGGATCATTATGCATAAAGTTATAAGGTATTTTTGTATTGTAGCACCGTCCTCCCATTGTTCATCGATTTGCTCGAGCGGGCCCAGTAACGTCTCCATTGTGAGACTTCTTGTTACTGTGTTTGGCATATTGAATACGTCACAGGTAGCTTGCCAGGCTCTCCGAGAGGGGCAGAGGAATCAAACCCGGCTCGGCCGGGCCAGCCGTAAGCAAGGCAAACGCCCTACTGTTGTGCTATCGCTCCCGCCTGTTGTATTAAAATAAAAAAATATTTTAAAGCACTATTTGAATACAAACATCTTCATTTTACCATTTTAGATCTTGCTTGTCTTCTTTCTGGGGATGATCCTGTGATTTAAGACAGTAAGGTTATATCTTACAAATAGTTAAATGGCATTAAAATTTATTAGAATATTTCTATATACAAATTAATGAAACCAATCTATCTTTAAACCCATTCAAAATCTACATTTCAAGACAATCTGAAGTCTAAATAACTTATGGTAGTGGGTTTAGAATATTACCAAGTTCCCTTATCCACTATGTTGTTATTATAAAACTTTTCAAGCATGTAAGAGTAGATGAGTAGTATGACGTTAAGTGCCATGATTCTATAAGCATTTGAGAGTTGGGAAGATAAACAGAGGCTAAGTCGCTCATCCTGAAGGTGGCTGAGCTGCTGGGTGTGGTCCCATCACTACCTTACAGAAAGAAGGAAGAGATTCAAATAATGCTGAATCTTCTCTTTTAGAATCAACCATCTACCCTCCCCCCCCTTATCCCAGAAGATAGTCACTATCCTGGAACCTGTTGCTTGTTCTCTTGATATTTAAAAAGGAAACATTTTATTTCAGACTTGTATAACAAAACCATGTAACGAACGTTATAAAACTGAATGACATCACTTTTATATTTATTATTTTATTTTTCACTTTTTAACATCGATTTTACTGAGGTTAGTTTTGAAACACAACGTCACCTTTCTCAAGAGTCTCTACAGCATAAGATTATCTAATGAACTTTCAGAAGGAAGGTTTTCCAATACTGGCAATAAATCAGCTTATACAGATGACTTCTCATTATTCAGGCATGTCAAAAAAGTTTATAGAAACTCCATTATAAAAGAAATCACTGATGGTAGCATATTTCTAATATTTTACTTTTGTAACAAATGTCTTTATACGATTTCTCACTAAATTTGTGCTAGGAAGTACCATGATAGCCTTATGTTTAAGCTTATAAATTAAATATTTCTTCAAACTCCAGACTCTACCAGAAGTAGCTTTCACAACTTCCCCCAGAAGTCTGCAAGCTCTGACTTTGTTAAAAAAAAAAAAAACTGTTTTCCTGTGTACTAAATAGATTATTCTATGGCAACTACTTAGCTACGTAACTGAATAACTGTGGGCTATTAGTATACAAAAGAAAGCAGACTGCAAGTAGGAGATATGGTAAGAGTAATTTAAGTATAACAATATTACAAAAACTGCTCTGGTTTTGGAGTATTTTTCTTCGTATTCCAAAAAGCCAAACAGGAACAAACAGTATCTGCAGCTACAACCCGTGCTTCTCAGCAGGGGCACGACGGGCAGAGGGGCATGGAGCCCACAGCCTCTCCGCCGTGACTTACTTGCTCTCCCCGGTCTCTGGGGCTTCCCCTTCTTGTTTCTTCTGCTGTAGTCGACCAGCTGGGGCTTCGATCTGGTTTCTTTGATCCAGCTCACATCAGTCCTGCTGTCATCACATCTATATTCGGTGTCAGTATCACTAAAGAGATTTTTATGCTTCTGATGTTTCATCTAGACAAAAGAGAGGGGGAGAGAGTCTGGGGGTCAGCAGCTGACCTGTCGCGGCTAAGGTGACGCCCTGGTCTGAATTCCCCGCAGCACACAGGGACTCCCGAGCACAGGAGGGTCACTCCTGAGCACAGAGCCAGGTCTAGCCCGACCACCATCACGTGTGACCACCCGCCAAATAAAAGAAAAAGAATTGTCATACACAAATATGTCACACCAGGTAAATTGAAATCAAAGTACTTGACTTTTTAGCATGCCAAGCTACCTGACATTACTGAAAACCTATCCAAGAGTCCCTCAAATCCAAAGCAGAAATTCCTATTGTGTTGTCAGTGTTAATTAAAACCTGATACTACTGAAGAGGGAAGAGAGTCAAGCTTTCACTTGTTTTTCGGAGGCAATACGGGTTTTTGTTTAAGGGCCCACTGTCATCACAGCCCTGCAATCCACTGGACAACTGTCTTATCTCTACCAGGTGATTACAAATAGCTTCAAGGCCAGAGAACTCCCCAGTCCCCCCAGAGGACTGCTGGCTGACCCCCAGCAGCACAGGGCCAAGCGTCCAGAGACTTTGGCGGACAACTGCCAGCCAGGTTGGTGAATTGCCAGGAAGGGCTGCAGGAACACTGCTGGGAGATACCTCCCCAGAAAGTTGTAAGAACAACATGGCAGTCTGATAGAAGGAAAAATGATACATATACTTGGATTTTCTAGTTCTGTGATAATCTTTTTCATAAGGCAAATATTACGAGAAAAAGTTTTGACTAGACATATTTGGATGTTATAACTTACCCTTTTATCTTTTTTTTTGAGAGAAGTTTCATCATGATTACTTAAATCAGCCCTAAACAAAAATATGCATTAATTTTTAACTGAGTTAAATTACTGTGTTTTTAAGGACGCGTGCACTGAATAATTAGACCTGGGATTCAAAGACTTTTCTTACTAATTATATAATTCTGGTCAAATCGCTTATCTTTTCTGACCACAGTAAATTCTAAAATAAGGTTCAATATTAGAACTACTAAATTCCCTCACCTAAAATATACAAATAACATTAAAAGTGCAGAGCTACTTCATATTAATTTGAGAATAACTTCATCTATAATTTTAATGTAAGAAGTCAATGCTAATGTAATGATTCATCAAGGGAACATTCACCACAGTGGCATTTTTGTTTACTCTTCTCATATGTTTAGGACAAACGGGGGAAATATTTAGAAAAAGAATAACTGAATAAGTGTACTTCAGTTATAAAATAGACACCTACAATTTTATTGCATTATCCACGCAGGCTTCTGTAGCTTGAAATTCCTGAATCTATATTGAGAACAAGCATTAAGATTTTTCTTAGAGTCAAAATAAGGTAAGTAAAAGAAAAAAACATATCTCTAGATTCCATCTCTTCACAGTATCATTAACATTTACAAAATCAAAGTTACCAAAATACTTATATTAAAAAAATTAACAGAAAGGCAGTTGTTTCACTTTGTTGCCTCAGTAAGGAAAGCTATTTTCTTGACGAGGTAGTCCAGGTCCCCGTTAGCCCCAACTTTATTTTTATCTAGTTAAGGATTTGGAAGATAATAATATACTTTAAAACTGGTCACTAAATAAATTTTAAATGTTTAAATCTATGCCATAAAATATTGTAGAGGATGGAAAATACAGAACATTTCATGGGAATCATAAGGCAACTGTAGCACGGTAGCACTGTCCTCCCGTTGTTCATCAATTTGCTCAAGCGGGCACCAGTAACGGTCTCCATTGTGAGACTTCTTGTTACTGTACTTGGGATATCGAATACACCATGGGGAGCTTGCCAGGCTCGGCCATGCGGGTGGGATACTCTCGGTAGCTTGCCGGGCTCTCCGAGAGGGACGGAGGAATCAAACCCGGGTCGGCTTCTTGCAAGGCAAATGCCCCACCCGCTGTGCTATCGCTCCAGCCCGTAAGGCGACTAACTACGGAAATCGAGCTTACCCCAAGTTTTATAACAGGCTCGTTAGCTCCATTCAAGTTAAAGTTGTAAACATCATTCCTGTGAAAATAAAGAGACTATTAGTTTCACTATACAACAGACTGCTTCTTCAAATATGACTCTAAGAAAGACTTATGGACCATCACTTACAATGGGCATTCAGAAGTAACATTGACAAGAGTCGTCTTCAGCTGTCGATAACTTCTTTTCTGAACTTTTTCCTACGTATAAAAGATGCTTTTGTGAAACCACTCAGGCTTGTTCACATTACTATACTTGGCAAACAAACAAATCTGCAGTTGTATTTTCTATCCATGCTTCCAACAGTACACATGCTACATCTGCAATACTTTTTACTGCCCAAAATAGTATTCACCCGTAATTCCGAAAATGTTAAAAACAAGTGTTAAAACTAAGAACATAATAGGACAGGTTGTAATAAAAATATCAGATTCTTTTTTCTTTACTATTTACTCATTTTGTACATCTCACTAGTGTTTCAAAGTTGAAATTTTGTGATATAATCACAAAAAACAAGCAAGCTTTTACTTTATTTGCACTATAATTTCCTTCAAACTTGCAAACAAAAGGAGAGGCTTCATTTATCAGTTAGTGCTGTTCGGGGAAATACGTATTAGATTATTATTACAGTCGACTGCTCAAAATGTATTAAACCAGATTAAAAAATCAAAAGGGGAGAAAAGCCAAATAAAATTGTAATATATTTTATTAAGGCAACTTAACAATTAAAGTATACAGTTATCACTAAATTTAACTGATAAGAAATAGTAAGAAGATTCAAAAATCTAGAAATACTTAAAATATTCATTTTACTTGTGATTAATTTCGAATTTAATTATTTGTCTATTTGATATAGAATTGTTGCAATATTATAAAATGCTTTCCCCCAGTATAGTGCTCCATTTACTGATCCTTCCCTATAATTATGTTATAAATATTTATTATTAAACTTATTTAGCTTAGATATTTGTTGATTTAACTCATACTTAAGAAAACAGAAGGGTAGAGAGCCACTTGGGTACTTGTTACCAAACATGTCAGTTGTTTAATACAATTATCAATATTCTGAAACCAATGGCTACCATCCTACTTCTATTTTCGTGTTTACTAGAGCACATAAGTAAACACTAAAAAATACTAAACACTAAAAAACAGTAAAAAATTCCATAGCTAACCTTCAAAGGCTGAAAATTATTTTTTAAAGCTGGTACTATCTCTCCAGACACACACACATTTACACAGAAGAGACTCGGACATTGGAAAAATAAAAAACCAAACAGCAAAAAGTTATACCAGAGCACAGCTATTCATTTTGGTGTAAATAAATGAAACTTGCCTTACTGAACTGTAGATCCGACTTGTTAGGAAAGTCACTATAAAAAAAGTTTTGTCAAAATTAAAAAGGACATAATAATGATCTTCATAACAGCCATTAAACATAAAAGATATTTGGGTAATTAAATCTATATTCAATTTATTACAAATGAACTGGAAAGTGTCAACAGTGCCAGTTAACACTAGATGTTTAGTATTCAATAAATAGTAACTATAGGAGTTAATTCTAATTTGAATCATTCACGTAACAGAAGCTGTTTCTGTCAAATGGGGCTCGAGCGATAGCACAGCAGGTAGGGCGTTTGCCTTGCACGTGGTCTACCCGGGTTCAATTCCTCCATCCCTCTTGGAGAGCCCAGCAAGCTACCGTGAGTATCCCGCCCGCACGGCAGAGCCTGACAAGCTCCACGTGGCATATTCTGTCACACTGTCAATTTGCTCAAGCGGGCCCAGTAACGTCTCCATTTTGAGACTTGTTGTTACTGTGTTTGGCATACTGAATACGTCACGGGTAGCTTGCCAGGCTTTGCCGTGCGGGCGGGATACTCTCGGTAGCTTGCCGAACTCTCTGAGAGGGGCGGAGGAATTGAACCCAGCTTGGCTGGGCTGGCTACGTGCAAGGCAAATGCCCTACCGCTGTGCTATCGCTCCAGCCCGTGTGGCATATTCAATATGCCAAAAACAGTAACAATGGAGACGTTACTGGTGCCCGCTCGAGCAAATCGATGAACAACAGGAAGACAGTGCTGCGTGCATGTAACAGAAAGTGATAAGCAATTAAAAACGTTTGGTTCTGAAAATAATTTTCTTCCTGCCATATAACATCAGAATTAGTTTATAAATCACCCAACACCTTGGCAGCCTATAGACACTTTGTAATAAGAAAAGCCTTAACCTGCTGAGACTACAATAAAGGAATGCATATCTAACTATAGACAAGAACCGATTTCAGCTCATTTAAGTATGATCAAATAATATCAGTAAAGACACTTTATACACTTACTACTGTGCTCAATAATAAAATCCTAAATGTTCTAAATATGTTTCTGAAACGAGATTGTGATATTTGGTATCTTAGTGACTCAAATGACTAAGTCTCCTTCCTGTATAACAAACAGTTATGATTTACAGAACTAAATAACTTCTACTCATAAGTTACTGTATTTAACATGGTTAAAACTATGAAACAGGGGCTGGAGAGATAGCACAGCGGGGAGGGCGTTTGCCTTGCACGCGGCCGACCCGGGTTCGATTCCCAGCATCCCACATGGTCCCCTGAGCACCGCCAGGAGTAACTTCTGAGTGCAGAGCCAGGAGGAACCCCTGTGCATCGCCAGGTGTGACCCAAAAAGCAAAAAAAAACAAAAAAAAAACAAAAAACAAACAAAAAAAAACTATGAAACAAATGCTGTATCTGTCAGAAAAATATTACTGATGCTTAAAATAGCACCTTTCAGCCGAGGAATCCTCTAGTTTTCTTGTAGAATTCAGGTCTTCCTTTGCTTTGTATCTCTTATTAATTTGGTTTATCAAGGATTCTGTTGCGTCAGTGTATCCTTTCTCTTTTGACTCTTCCTTCTGAAACAAGTGATAAGTGACTTTAAAATTCCATCAGCTGACCTTCAGAGGCTGAAAACTATCTTTTTGAACCTGATGTTATCTCTCCAGACACACACGAATATACAGAGAAGAGAATCAGACACTAGAAAAATAAAAAAACAAACAGCAACAACAAAATACCCAAAAATTAAAAAGAAGAATTAGATATTATTAAGTTTGGACACTGCTAGGCACTGAAAACAACTCAGAATAAATTCCGTAAGATAAGGAACTCCATTTCTATTCATGGAAAATCAAAGTTCTATGAAAAAGAAGCTGAAGGTAACAACAACTGGTTCTCTAAAAAATACCAAAATAAAAAAAAAAGATAAATCTTTTACCAAGAAAACTAAGGTGAAAGCAGATAAAATTCATAAGTATCAGAAATGAAAGAGACGTCACTACAGAGCATACAGACATGGAAATAAAGGAATGTTGTGAACAACTCTCTACCTACAAATTTGATGACCAAAAACAAGCAAATGCCTTGCAGGACAAGTACTGAAAAAATAACAGGAAGAAACAGATCATCTGTGTGGATCAAGCTTAAGAAACGGGATCAATACATGCTCATGCACGCAGCCAGCTCTGGATCTTCCGAGCTCTTTCTGGGGACGGCCCTGGTTGTGCCTCTGCGCCTCCGAGGTGGCTGGGTAACCCCCAGCACGGCAGGGCCTGGGCAGTGCCACTGCCCCAGGACGCCGGCCCTGAACTGCCACCTCGCTGGCTTAGAATCATCGTGGGCCCCCAGGACTCCTGATGAGTGCTTGGTGCCGTTCCCGCCACTCCCAAATAAAAATACAACTCAAAACAAACAAAAACATCAGATCAGATGGATTCACTGGTGCATTCTAGCAAATATTTGAAGTAGAATTAAACTTGATTTTCCAGAAGGCAAAGGAAATACTACCCTATCTTATTCTATGAGGTCAATATCATCCTAATACCAAATTATCAAAATCAAAGTCATTTTTTAAAAAAGAAAAAAATAGACACCAATATCTCTCATGATTCTAAGTGTAAAATTCCTCAAGAAAGATTATAAAATTGAATCATAGTTCAAAAAGAATTTTTCACCAGGATCAAGAATTTTTCTAGGTCTGTAACATTTGACAGGGACGAATGGAGATGTTACTGGTGCCCGTTCGAGCAAATTGATGAGCCACGGGATGACAAGTGATACAAGTAACATTTGAAAATTACTTACTGTACTCACATCAACTGGGTCATGGAAGAAAAAGCCCAAATCATTACCATCAGTAGACACACAAAAAGGATTTGAAAAATCTAATGTTCATTATAAAACTGTCAATAAAAGGACATGCCCTCAATTTGATAAAGAATAAACTTACATAATAAACTTCCATAAACTTACAAGTTTATGCTGGAGCGATAGCACAGCGGTAGGGCATTTGCCTTGCACACAGCCAACATGGCCGACCCAGGTTCGATTCCTCCGCCCCTTTCGGAGAGCCCGGCAAGCTACCGAGAGTATCTCGCCCACACGGCAGAGCCTGGCAAGCCACCCGTGATGTATTCGATATGCCAAACACAGTAACAACAAAATCTCCAATGGAGACGTTACTGGGCCCGCTCGAGCAAATCGACGAACAATGGAAGGGCCTTTACCTTTACCTTAAACTTACAACTAATGTTATTCTTAATGGACACTAGATATTTTCACACTAAGGTCAGAAACAAGGAAGTGTCTGTTTTCCCCACTCCTGTCACTGTCACTGTCCTCCCGTTGTTCATCGATTTGCTCTAGCGGGCCCAGTAATGTCTCCATTGTAACACCTGCTACTTGTTTGGCATCAAATACATCACAGGGAGCTTGCCAGGCGTTGCCGTGTGGGTGAGATACTCTTGGGAGCTTGCCGGGCTCTCTGAGGGGGTGGAGGAATTGAACAGGTGTCAGGCTGACAGTGGGCACCGGTGAAAGAACAGGCACATTGAGCAATGGAAGAAAAACAAGGAGAAACACCCCAGAAGTAAACACAAAAACATAACGAAATGAAACACAAACAAATACAGTGCCCTTGCCTTCGACAAACAAAGACAGAGAAAGCCGGCCTTTTCAAGAATGATGCTGGGGCAAGGAGAGGCACCTTCGGGCTCCAAGTTCAAACTTGGAATAGAGAGCAGTGATCGGAAATTCTACATCTGCAGCATCCTATCAAGCACGTGTTATTTCTTACGCTCATTAGTATCACAGCATGCAGAAACAAAACACGCCTAGTGAACTTGCCCTCTTGCTTGTCTGAAAACCCAGCGACTGAGTTCAGATGTCAAGCCTTTCCGCAATTGCCTACTACGACCGTTTGCACTTCTAGCAGGGCTTTGCTCCCAACGTCAGTACTCACATCTTTTGACACTATGTATTTCTTCCTATAGATCAGAGACTCTTCAACAGTTTTATTTAAGTGTACTGATTTAAAGGTAGTTTCTGATTCAATGTGCCAGTCAGAATTCTGGCTGGTATTTTCCAACTTTTTATGTTCTAAACGCTTAGAATGATTTATCCTTTGCTGACAGTTTCTTTTCCAAACTTCTGCTTTATCTCTTTTGGTCTGTTTCATTATTTCTTTCTTCTCTGGTGTTCTTCCCGTCTCTTCAGAATTATCATTAGATGTTGAAGAGGATGATTTTTCTTTAGGAAGTTTTTTGCGAAGAACAATTTCTAGTAGGAAAGAATTAATCTTTGTTAATTAATGAACTGTAAATTATGAAAATCATTAAAATAAAAAATAGACATTTCAGGAAATGAGTATTTCTCTGAATTAGATTATATAGAGAGAATTTTGTTTCACCTTGATTGTAAGTGGGTCCTGATGAAGTATTTCTTTGGTTTTGGCACAGGTTAATATTCGTTAAGGGTGTCCAATATGCACATCTGGAATTCATTTTATTTCCACAGCTGTTCAACACACCTGATAACCTGGAAAAGAAAATCACCTGTTCGGTATATTATAAAACATGAACCTATGACTTTTATTTTGTTGATATTTACTGATAGCAATTTTGTACCGGTCAAGCATGAAAATATTCCCATAAATTTTGGTAAAAATTAAAAGGTGATAATGGGTCAGGTTAGGTAAGTGTCCAGGAACCTGGATAAGGCTCCGCGACTACAGTGCCGGTGTGCCAGCACGAGGCCGGAGTCAGTCCCAGCGCCTGCCCCTGGCTGAGCACAGGCTATCTGGGAACCCAGTCGTGCGAGCAATTCCTAACTGCACCACAGCAATGTATGAGCACAGCACCCAGAGCAGCAACCTTTGGTGATCACGGCAACGAAAGGAAAGTGCACCCTGGGGAACACGTGTAAGTCCCACACCTAAAGTAATGTAACCTGCTAAGCAGTTGTGAGACCCCCTGACATCCCAACAACATCTACAGAGGGACGAAGCGGGGGTAGGGTCAGTATAAAAATGTCCCGTATGACAGCCAGGGAGGCAGTTCAGTGGCAGAAACTTGCCTTGCATCTGTGAGGCCAGGGGTTCCATCCATTGCACTGCAACAAAATAAGCACCATTACTGGCTACAATCTTCGTATCTTCTAAATATGCCTCGCGTATCTTAGCAGTTCCAATGTGCACCTAAACTAGGTTAACTTCTTCACATCCTTACATTATTGAAATCTCATTCATGGGGCCAGAGCAATAGTTCAGCAGGGAGGGCACTTGCCTCGCAGGCAGCTCACCTGGGTTGGTCTCCAGCATCCCATACAGTCCCCTGACCCCGCCCGGAGTGGACCCTGAGTACAGTCAGAGGTAAGCCCTGAGCACTGCCAGCTGTGGTCCCCCTCAAAAGCAAATAAAAGTATCACTGAATTCTCAGTTTGAAAAGGGTTTCACTGGCTGATACAGAAAAGAATATATACTGTTCTCCATTGTGCCATTATAATACTTGAGACAGGATTAGTGCTATAAACATTAAGTTCTAAGAACATAAATATATTTTCTTTTAAATCCATTCATAGTAAAAGTGTATTTACACTAAATGATCTGACAGGTTTTCTCATACTTACGTTGTGTCGCCTATTTTCACCGCTGCCCGTGACTCAGAAGCAGGATCATGGGGTTCTCCTGAATTAATAAAAACAGTGATGTTTTCTTTTCTCCCCCTTTCTTCAAGCACCCCTTTGTTTCCTCGGAGATGGGCGGGTCTTCGGGTTTTGTTTCTTTGAGCCACACCCAGTGGTGCTCAGGGCTCACTCCTGGCTCTAAACTCAGGAATCACTCCCTGGCAGGCTGAGAGGACCATACTGAGTGCCAAGGATCGACCCCTAGTTGGCCAAGGGCAAGGCAAAGCCGTACCTGCTGTACTATTGCTCTGGCGCCCCCAAGTTACATCATGTTCATTTTCCCATAGAGATGAACTCCACTTTACTTTTTTTTCTCATTTTCTATAATTTTATTTATTGGATCACCATGAGAGCAGTTACAAAGCTTTTGGGTCTAAGTCTCGGTCATACAATGGTAAACTGCCAGGAAACTGGTATAGAATTGGGTCTAGGTCCAAATACTGGGATGAAGAGATCGATCGCATATTTCCATTGTCAGATCCAAACGTTTTGGGAAAAAAGGTGACTATATTTTATTATAAACTCTAAGTTCTTTGCACAAAGTCCAACACATTAATTATAGATTACCTTTTTGTTGTTTTTAAAAAGGCTACTGAATCTCCGTGAGATACAAAGTTACAAACTTGTTCATGACTGTGTCTCAGTCCCATAATGTGCATGCACCCATCCCTTCCCCAGCGTCCCCAGTATCCCTCCTACCCCTCAGCCTGTCCCTAAAATTGTTACTTTTCTTAAATGGAAGTTGGTGTGGGTGAATCAAGTATCCACATGCACATACACATATCTTTAAATGACAAAAATCAAATAAAAAAGTGCTTACTAGAATTTTGGTTTAGAAGTTCAGTCTCCTTTTTGGTTCGTTTTTCAGCAATCTGAGCAGGTTTCACATTCTAGAAACATAAGAGATATGTAAATATAAACTTGAAGCATTACGTAAAAAGAAGCTTTTTAAAGTCAAAGTACAAAAGCTTAAAACTTCTAAAATAAATGTGCCTTGATACTAACAGCTGCACAGTATTTCAATCTGTTTCATGAAAGTCACGTCCGTTCTAGAATACCGCCTATCCGAAGACACAAGAAAATGAGATTCCTTAAGAAGGCCAAGGGTTCCACACTATTTCAGGTATTACTGCTAGCTGGAAAACGAATTCTGCTTTCAGCTTTATCTCACACTCTCTTGTAGCATCAATGGTACATCCCCTGCTATTGCTCACAGAATGCAACTGACTCCACCTGGTCACTCACATAGTCAGAAATTAGGAATAAATGGCAAAAGTTTTGGCCACTGCACAGCCAATTTTCCTGAAATTAGCTTCCCTCTTTGTATGGCCAAACATACTTAATACAGATAAACCAAAAACGACCTTTACTATCAGGAAATCTCTACCCTCTATTCTAGGATGCTCTGCCCCCTCCGCTGCCTTCCTTGCTCTCCAGCCGGCAGTTCTCCTTACTGGGAGGTCAGCGGCTCACTAACGAGCGGGTATGTGTCTAGTCGTCACAAGAGTCCCTGCCATAAGCCAACAGAGTTTCGAATGCTTCTCATCACACTCAGAGACCACAGCACACACCTGAGAAACAGCAACCCTATAATGGAAACTCTCATAGGGACAAGTTCAACGATGTCTGTATTTTCCTTCAAACCTATGCTACTTTGTCATTTAAAATTTAAAACCTGGGGGTATGATGCCGCCGGCAGGTCAACCTGTACCTGTGAGACGAGTACATCAGCAGCCTGATGGCGCCTTCAGACTTCCAGATACCCCAAAATTGCTGCTGTGCCTTTGGCCAGACCCCAAAAATTTGGGGCAAAGTTTACCAAGAAAGTGAAGAGCCAAAAGTTAGGTATGTGGGAAACACACCCACAGACCACCTCCGGCTCAGCTATATAATTGGAGGCAAGGCCTCTCTGGTTCCTGATCAAGCTGCTTGACGGCCATGATCCCAGAGACTCAGAAACAAATCTCGAAACCCAGTGGCTTTTGGTAGAAATGTGTCCGGACCCCACAGTAGGTTACTGTCGCAGGGCCACCCCAGGGCAGAAAGGATGTTGTCACTCTGCTGCTCCCCCTTGGCGGCTCGGTGGCCATCATCCTCCAGAAGCCATTGGACAGTCAGGCTTGGGCCCGCAGTAACAAAATTTGTTGGGCCTCATGGGATGGGGGTGGAGCCGGTCCTGTCCTCCCCACCCCAACGAGACCCCAAGTCATCGCCCACGAACAGCCTCTCTGGCTCCTGATCAAGCTGCTTAATGGACATGATCCCAGAGACTCAGAGACAAGTCTCGAAACCCAGCGGCTTTTGGCAGAAATGCGTCCGGACCCTGCAGTAGGTTACTGTCGCCAGGCCACCCCAGGGGGGAAAGGGTGTCATTCCTCCGCCTACTTCCCCCTGGCGGCTCGGTGCTGTCCCTCCGCCTGCTCCCTCTTGGTGGCTCGGTGGCTGTCATCCTCCAGAGGCCATTGACAGTCAGGCTTGGGCCCACAGTGACAAAACTTGTTGGGCCTCAAGGGATGGGGGTGGAGCCGGTCCTGTCCTCCCCACCCCAACGAGACCCCAAGTCATCACCCACGAACGGCCTTTCTGGCCCCTGATCAAGCTGTTTAACGGCCATGATCCCAGAGACTCAGGAGCAAATCTCGGAACCCAGCAGGTTTTGGCAGAAATCCCTCCAGATTTAAGTGTTAAAATTTCGGAATTTCAAAATCACGCAGTCACTACTGCAGCCACGCGACATCACGTTATTTATAACCAGCGATAGAAAACAAATTGTCTACTGTTACCTTTTCAGCAGATATGAGTGTTGGGGTGAAATATCAAATAATAATGGTGGGTCTGGTGTCAAAATATTGAATGTGATCAAAGTAGAGAGAGAGTAATGTGGAAATCATCTGCCCCACAAGTCGGGGGAGGGTGTGGGATGGGGGTATACTGGGGTTGTTGGGGGTGGAGAATGGGCACTGTTGATGGTACGGGTGTTTCATTGTATGACCGAGACTTAGACCCAAAAGCTTTGTAACTGCTCTCATGGTGATCCAATAAATAAAATTATAGAAAATGAAAAAAAAAAGTAAAGTGGAGTTCATGCACAATTCAATCAGCTAATAATCAGTGGCTGAATAAATAGCAGTACTCCTACATAAAAAAAATTTTAAAACCAACTTCTATTAATTTATATTGTAAAACTAGGACTGCTAATTTTTATTTGAAAAAAAACCACTTATTTCTGCCTTGGTAAAATTCATAGATCATATTTCAATTGTACCTACACAACTTCCTAACTTACATTTAGCCCTCTTCAAGACCTCTGGATGGCTACTCCAAATCTTTACTTCAATATATCAGCATGGGAAACTCACTACCCTCACATTTCCGAGAAAGCAGAGCTTTTCTGGGTGCCTCATCTGCATGGACCTCCCATTTCTCCAAGAAATCTCTCCTCTTGCCCATTCACCTCTTGAATGTCTTCCACTTCGATGTCCAGCTCACTCATCTTCAGTGATCCCTCAAAAGCCCATCTGTCCTCCATCTCCAAGAGTATTCCTGCTACACCCTTCTCCTCCAGCTGTCGGGATAGCGATCTCTCCCTTCACGAATCCCACTGCACCATGTCCGCGTATCTGAGAACACTTGGACAATCTTATCACCAGCTTATCTAACTCCCACGCTGGACTTTGAGATCTTAAGGTCCATATGTAGCTCGTTTCTTAGCCAGTACGTTCCCATCAGAAGATACCAATTTGTGGAATAAGGAAATATGGCGAGTTAATTTCTCTACTGCCAAATGTATAACTCAGAATCACACTGAATAGAGAGCACTAAAATTCGTTAGCACAGTAAACGAGTCCTACACCAGAAGGACCTTATTTTCAAGGACAGTGTGTTGTAGCTTGAAAGAAAAACCTAGGTTTTAACAACATGACACATTCACAGCTTGCAAAAGAAGCCGGCTCAGTAGTTCTATCATTTGATAAAAAGTATTTTACAAAATGATTTTCAAACAAAGTTACTTTGTCTGTGTGATCGCCTCTTTTTCTTCCTTCAGATGATCTGGATTTCACTGACACAGCATTATCTACTTTCTTTTCCAACGTCTTAGAGACACCAGGTTTTTCTACAGATCTCATCACTGGCAGTGGTGATTTACTTCTTTTTCTTCTTGCTATTGCTAAAACAGATGACGAAAGAGTGATAAATGTGCAGTGTTTTTAAAGCTATATGTTGCCATTACTGAAGCACTTTTTAGACGAAGAAGGTGATAAAAAAAAAAGGCATTCTAAAGTGGTTCCCTGCTTTCTGGTTTAATGACTCTGGAAATGACTGCTAGCTCCTAAAACAAGTAAGGCAGCATGAAGTGGGGAGATGACTCCATATTTTGCAGTGAAGTCCTGCAAAATTGTTACACAGCACATTATTTCCAGAATACTGCTGAGAAGAAACCTGACAAACCCAACACTAAGCTGTACGTAGTCCCAAAGTGTTCAGAGTGTGATCCCAAACAAAAGGAAAAGAAATAAAGGAAAATAATGGAAAGGAAGGTGATAAGAAAACTGATTGTGGACCTATTGAATCTGACTGAGGAAACCATCAGGTATTAAGATGACAAGAAGGCAATGGGATTTTTGGAACAATAGGGTATGAAATGGTCATAAATATTAATACTTCATTTGTAGCACCTCATAGACAGTATTGAATTTCCTCATTTTTACTTAGTCTTTCAAGATCCCAATCACTATCTGTTTCACAAGATTTATTGTTGAATTACTGCTACTTTATGCTACAAAGTATAAATACTTTAGTTCCGCTTCATAGAAAGAAAACTGACTCTAAATATAGCTGGAGGATAATCTCCATGAAGAACATTCCTGGGAATAGGGAACAAGTCTAAGCAGCTTAATTAAATATTCTAACCATTGTGTTCTACCACCTCCGATGAAACGGCAATGTTATCAGAGCCAGACATCATGATTTTGCGTATTTATGTGAATATATTATGGTTTTCATCCAATCATAAGAAATTTGTGGCCCATCTTTGATTAGTTTTTATATCCCAATTTTATCCTCTCAGTCGATTATGTTCAGAATTTCCTTGAAGAATTTCTGTCCCTCAGAGCATGTGATGCGGCTCACGGCGTGAGGCACTTGTCCTGCAGTGCTGGCCATGGCCCTGTGCTGGGCTCAAGCACTCACCGACCCAGGTTCCCGCCCGAGTCACTGTATTTTAAAGCACACATTAAAAAACTGTTGTGGGTTTGGCCCTCACAACAATTTTTTATGCCCACTTTAAAATATATACTTACTATAGGGGCTGAAGTGACAGTTCAGAGGGTAGGGGGCTTGCCTTGTACCTGCTGACCTGGGTTTCATCTCTGGCACCCCATGTGGTCCAGGGAGCTGCCAGGAGTGACTGTGTGGCAGAGCCAGAAGGAAGTCCTGAGCACCGCTGGGTGTGGCCCCAAAACCTCTGTGTGTGTGTGTGAGTGTGTATACATACACAAATCTTCCTATAATGTTTTAACGAACTGGGAAGATAGCTCAGGGTGAGGGGCAAAAGCCTTTAGTACATGATCCCTCAAATTTGACCCCCAGAACTGCATAGTCCCCACTACCACTGTGTGGTCCTGATGACTCCCAGCATCATGGAGCGATGCATACTACCCTCTGGCCCAGTTGTGCAAGTAACCAGGAGTGGTTTCTGGGTGCCTTGAGTAAAGCCTGGAAGTCATGTTCCCTGTCTGGCCCAAGTAAAAGAAAAAAATGACATATTTTAAGGCTATAAAACTTACACGTGTTGATTAAGAGTATTGGACTTCTCACGGTGTATCTATCTGAACCAGGAACAATCATCGATGCTTCAGACATTTTCCTTTTGCTAGGTGTAATGATCTTAAACCATGAGAAACACCCAAAGTAAGCAAATATTCCCTTCTGGAATTAAATATTCTTTAATTTTATGCATAAACTTTACACTGACTACATGCAAAAGATATACGCGATTTTACCACAAACATAATATACAGAAACGTTTGTGCTTTAGATTGACTTGAAGGTCTTACCGCTAATGTTTGTTACTGAATACGTAGCCCAAGTAAGTAAAAGATGATTTCAAAGAAAACTCACAGAATATCCAGGCTTATGGCACAGAGGATCATCTTTCTTTTCTATCTGAGCTGATCTTATTGGTACTGAATTTATCTGCTTAACCGATGACACAAAATTTCTATTCTATTTCATGTGGATAAATTTAGGTATAAGAATTCAGGCACAAATCGATGTATATCTTCAAAGAAGTGAGCATTCTTCAAAAACCACTTTTTTAAAAATTGCATTAATACTCTATGAAGATATCCTGCTTTTGGAGTAATCGTAGGAACCCTGAGAGCTGGTGGCACAGACTGGCAGTTCTGATAGAGGCGTGCATTTTCGACCTTCTTCTGAAAGACTGCTGGGGGCAAGGACAGCTGCGAGGCAGAGGCAGGGGCTGCAGTGGAGAAGAGCTACAGAGGCACCACATACGTGAATTAGAGGACAGCACGCTGTGAAAAGACATAAGGGATCCGTTTGAAAACAGAACACCTGCCATGAAGGAAACAATACGGATGCTGTTTTGGAGACACACAGACAAGGCATGGAAGAAAGGTCTGGCACACTGTAGAAAAGTGCATTTAAGATAAGCCAGAAAATGAGCTCCTACGGGGGCCGCAGACCACTGTGAAAGCAATGACTCTGCTCACTGAAAGCGTAGTGTTGCGGACTTCGGTGTGCTCAGAGCTGCCCCGTAGTTTATGATTTAATTAAGGAGGACCTAAAAATTTGCATTTTATAAATACTCAAGTGATGATTCTGATGTAGCACTGTCATAGCACTGTAGCACTGTCATCCCGTTGTTCACTGACTTGCTCAAGTGGGCGCCAGTAACATCTCCATTCGTTCCAGCCCGAGATTTTAGCAGAGTCTCCTTACTCGTCTCTCCCAAAGCTGCCGTATTGGAGTCTCTTTCAGGGTCAGGGGAATGAGACCCATTATTGTTACTGTTTTTGGCATATCGAATACGCCACAGGGAGCTTGTCAGGCTCTGCCATGCGGGCGGGATACTCTCAGTTGCTGGCCGGGCTCTCTGAGAGGGACGGAGGCTTTTGGGGTGATCTCTAGTCGCTCCAGGAATACTGCGTAGCTCTCTTCCAGGAGCTTTGTTTTATAGTGACAGTGAGTGTTTTAAAAGACACAGAAAATGGCTTCTGTGATCTGCTTAAGAGGAATGATGACATTTAAAATTTAACAGAAAACATAAAAGGTAAAAGGAATAAGAGACACTGCTTTGCAATAATATATAGGAGAGCTTAAAAGCTTACCATTAAAAAAGGACAAATTAGTAAAAGCAATTATAAGAAGCTTTATGAAAAGCAAAAATGAACCATGTCTTGCAAACAGAAGAGTCCTTTTGGTGAGATGAAAGGTTAAAAGAATGTTTATGTAGGTGGAGGGAAGAATGAACGTGACCTGGAACGAAGGAAAAACAACTAATCTTCCTAAGATGTGTGACACTTCAACAGAGTAAATCCGGATTATGGAGTGTTGCAGAATTGAGCCAAAGTTCGTTTTTGTTTGTTCTGGACCCACACCTGACTGTGCTCAGGGCTTACTCCTGGCTCTAGACTCAGAACACTCCTGATGGGGCACAGGGGACCTACGGGGTGCCAGAAATTGAACCCGGGTCCGCAGCGTGCAAGCCAAGTGCCCTAACCACTGTACCATCCCTCCAGTCCCTTGAGCCAAAGTTAAGATTCAGTGGGATAAACACAGAGACCACAAGCTCTCTAAGCAGAAGAATGGTGAAGGTCCTGGCATTCGAAGAGACTGGCAGACCATATGAACCAAGTCAGGAGTTCACTATGTTAAGTAAGAGGCTGAAATGACCAAAGGCAGAGGAAATAAGGAAGAGAGAATGTGAGAAAAAGACCTGAAAGAACAACCATGGCATCTTCTTCACAGATTTGGGGGAAAAGAGGCTGAAAATCAAGAATATCATCAGAAAAGTAATAAAAGCATCATTCAAGGATGTAAGAGATTTGAGACAAAGGGAAAAATTTGGAGAAGTACAAAAGGAAATATGAGAAGGGTAAAGAGATATAACCTCCAAACTTTGAAATGGGTACATTTTAAAGGATGCATTGTCAGAAAGAAGACACAGATGGTATTAAACTGTGAGAGCAAATACACTTTCTGGAGGTGGGGAAAGGATCTTTGATTAGTACTAGAAGTAGAACGAAAATTAAAATGCTGAGAGAGAAACCAAGAGGAGGACATGAAGAGAGAGCTACTTGGAATACCAAATGTCACCGCAAGTCATGGAGATGGCGGAGAAATGGTTTCCTGGACATGACCTAGAGGAGAGTCTCAAGGAGAATCTGGAGAAAGATAAGAAGCGAATATATGTTTTCTTTCCTCATGTGAACTGAAAAAAAAATGTAAATTTGCATTCTACCTCACAGTCAAATACAAAGACAGAACAGCAAGGTTAAATGTTAAAAACAGCAGCCATTTTCCTCTCTGGTTCTAATTTGGAGTTTGCAAGTGTTCAGAATCCTTGTCTTTATACCTAGTCCCGACATATAAACACAATTTGCTAAAACATTATCTTTCATTTATATTTGTAGAAGACAGAGAAAAATATCTAAAATGTCACTGATGGTGGCAATTAATATATAAATGCTAGATGCTTTGTTATGTAATGATCTATGGTAATCATTCAATGTATGTTGCTTTATAAATGTCTATTTAACACCAGGTTTACCTCAGGCTGATTATTTCTTCTGTCCCCTTGATTACTATTTTTGGTATGTTGTGGAAGTCCAGCAACTTCCTTTAGGGAGTCAGATTTTTCTTTCAAACTAGAGAGTACTTCAGCTGAAGAATTTTGACTGTCTGGCACTAGAACCTGTAGGAAAAAGTAGAGAAAAGTAAATCGGAAAAAGTTCTCAATCACTTTCTAAGAAGCTCCCATTCACCTTACACTTACGAAGGTCAAGTCTTTTTCCATCGTCTAGCCGTGTGCTATCATGACTGTTCATCCTATCAAGGGGCTGAATGTGAAGCACCCACATTTTCGAATGTGAGTAGCCTGAGCCAAGTTTTAGCACAAGTGGAAGGGCATATACTTTTAATCTCAAAGTTCTTAAAACTGATGTTGAGTAATAGCTACTTCTCTGCTAAAATTATTAACAACATGTTTAAAACTCACATATTTTATTTGGAGCACACTCTGTATTTGGATCTTTTGTGCGCATTTACCCTCCAACATCAACTTCCATCACTGCCATTATTAGGATTAGTCTGATGATAAAAGAATAATTTAGACTCACCTGTGATCCACCTTCATCGAAAATTATATGTACAGACGTTTTAGCAACAGAATTGCTTTGTTTTCTGCTAAAATCCTAAAAAGTAAAAAAACTCAACATGGTATCATTTTCTTTTCCATTTTACTGCAATTGTTTCTTGATTCCTTCCAAAATTGTCAAAAACTTCCGTAACTCCCCAGTAGCCAAAGCTTTCTTAATGTGCCAGATTGGACAGGGTCCCTCACAAACATAGCACTGAACGTTTTAACATGAATCTACTGCACTGGCAGAATGGGGTGTTCCCTTTCTCTCCCCTCCCCCTTCCCAAAAATTTTTTCCTAGGCTGGCACCTAATTCCCAAGAAATGGTCTTAGGAGGTGGCCTTGGAAGCAAAGCCCTCCGGACTGACAGTAGTGCCGTTCCAAAGGAAATCCCAAAGGGCTCCCCGGCCCCTTTCACTATGTCAGTCCAAAGAAGTCCCTACAAACCACCCAGATTCCAAGTCGGCCGGCACCCCGAACCACAGACTTGCCAGTTGCCTGCCCAGTGAGGAATCAATGTCTGCTTTTTTAAGCCAGTTGGCCCAGGGTTTCTGGGTCAGGGTAACCTGAACACACACTGTCCACACGTGTCGACACAATCCTTCCCCCCAGCATGAACTGTTATCTTCGATTCCTTGTGGAACATACATACACCTTGTAGTATCACCTGCAATCTTGAGAAGCAGCACATGATCTAATATCAACCTGAACTTCAGCCCTCTTTCTCCTTCCAATTGTATCTGTTTGTTTTTTGGGCCACACCTAGCAGTGCTCAGGGATCACTCTTGGCAGGCTCGGCGACCTTACGGGGTGCTGGGGATGGAACCCGGGTTGATCTAAAGCAAGCGTCTCGCCCACCGTGTTATCTCCAGCCCTACAAACTCGACTCTTAATGAACATTCTCTTTCCTTGATGTCTAAACTTTACTCCTTGGCCAGCCACTTATTTCTTCTAAGCCACTATTCCATAATTTCCATAAGATTTAGTATCTTAGGGCTTTGTGTCTTTAAAATACCTGAGGAACTTGACCATACGTTTTGAGTTCTGATAACCAGTATCTCAAATAGTATGGCTAATAATCTGATGGCCATTCCATAATACAATGTAGCACTGTCCTCTCATTGTTCATCGATTTGCTCAAGCGGGCACCAGCAACGTCTCCCTTGTGAGACTTGTTACTGTTTTTGGCATATCGAATATGCCACATGTAGCATGCCAGGCTCTGCCGTGCGGGTGGGATACTTTTGGTAGCTTGCTGGGCTCTCCAAGACGGATGGAGAAATTGAACCCAGGTCGGCCACATGCAAGGCAAATGCCCTACCCGCTGTGCTATCATTCCAGCCCAATACAATGTAAAGGACTAAAAACTGACATAAAGCTTCAAGAATTTTTTTAAACTAATTATTCCCAAGTCACTGAAAGTTCCCAGAATTATAAAAATATTTTTTTAAATATTTTATTTATTTATTTGTTTGTTTGCTTTTTGGGTCACACCCAGCGATGCACAAGGGTTACTCCTGGTTCATGCACTCAGGCATTACTCCTGGCCAGGCTTGGGGGACCACATGGGTTGCTGGGAATCGAACCCGGGTTGGGCCACGTGCAAGGCAAACGCCCTACCCACTGAGCTATCACTCCAGCCCCGAATTATAAAAATATTTTAATATTTTTAAAACTTACCTTATATTTATTTGCACCAAAAATTTTTTGCATCACATTAACGATTTCTAATGATACATCAAAATACAAAAGCAATTGTTTTCCTTCTTTTTTACCAATTTTTACTATATTTTTCAGGCTTATGGTCAGCAGTTTCTTCGAGTCTCTCACTGTACACAAACAAATCACAATGATTAGCTTATATTTGTTTCTATAATACTGGTCTCTTGTTTTGCTATAAATGAGAAAAGCATGCAGTATATTAAAATGTAGCATAAAAGCATGCAGCATATTGAAACAGAATTAACTTCTAAAATTTAACTAGATTAAAAAATGAATAATAAATAAATAAACTCTGCGCCAGGCTGTTTTCACTCAGGGCGCCCCAAACGGGGGCGGGTGAGAACTCTTCCACCCCAAAGGACCCAGCCCTGGCAGCCGATCTCCACCACCCAACTGCCGCCACACTCCAGGCCGCTTTCCACACGCCAGGCTGAGCCTCACGTAGGAGTGAACATATTCCTGAACTGTGCAGCTGCTTTTGCGGCCGCACAACATATCACAAGACACTCCCTACCCATTTTCCATAATTACCACACCATATTTAATGGGGTTCAGACAGTAGGCAACAAATCATAGAGGGAAATATATATATGTACATACATATGTGTGTGTGTATATATATATATATATATATATATATATATATATGCCTCTCAGAGAGCCTAGCAAGCTACTGAGAGTATCCCACCTGCACAACAGAGTGTGGCAAGCTACCTGTGGCATATTTGATATGCCAAAAACAGTAACAACTGGTTTCATTCCCCTAACCCTAAAAGAGCCTCCAATACAGCAGTGTTGAGAAAAACGAGTAAGGAGAGGCTGCTAAAATCTCAGCTGGGACGAATAGAGACGTTACTGGTGCCCGCTCAAGTAACTCAATGAACAAAAGGATGACAGTGATACAGATTAATAATTTGATGCTAGCTACCTACATAAACAAAATAAGTCAATTTACCTTTCTGTTTTCACTGTTTCTTGCATAAATTACAGGGAACTCCAATAACCAATGATCTAAATCATTACACACATTCTAGACACTAAAGGTTTATTAATAAATATTCCTAAAATACATCTGAGAAAAGTATTTTCTCAATTTGAGAAAAATCACTTTAACTCCACATATATTTCCAGACATGAACTTATATGTAAAACACTTCTATTAAACCCTCAACTGATACAACAGCGGGTAGGGCGTTTGCCTTGCACGCAGCCAGCCTGGCCGACCCGGGTTCAATTCCTCCGCCCCTCTCGGAGAGCCCGGCAAGCTACCGAGAGTATCTCGCCCGCACGGCAGAGCCTGGCAAGCTCCCCGTGACGTATTCGATACGCCAAACACAGTAACAAGTCTCAAAATGGAGACCTTACTGGGCCCACTCGAGCAAAGCGATGAACGACGGGAGGACCGTGACAGAGACAGATATTGATGGTAAACAGCATCTGCTAGAAGCTTTGATGCTAGAAAAGACGCGGCAAGGTGGACACATCCTTATACTCGATGAATTCACCAAACCAGTGACAAACATATCGCACTTTCTAGTTTAAAAGAGGTATTCACTTCCTTTCCCCTACACCCTGTCTTGACATCCTGTGCTGCCTCTGCTGGTCCCTGACATGGACGGGAAGTCTCCAGACCTAGCCCGAGTGTAGCCTGGGCAGGAGGAAATGTCCTGCAGGAGAGGCGGCCATAGCAGGACCGTTTGTCTCTATATTCAGGCAAGTTCTTCTGGCCACTCCGTGACCTACATTCAAGGATGTTCCTAAGGGCTATAAAATTTGATTCTTCTGAGCATTTTTAAGCCAAAAAGTATCTTAGTTGCTCTCACAGCTAGTGTCTTGAGACTTCCCCGGATCTCCTCTGATGCTACTAAGAGCGAGGACTTGGGCATAAGACAGCCCAGGGGTAAAGGTGCACACCTTGGCCTGTCCAGCTCTAAGCCCCATGGCACCACATGCTCCCAGAGCATCACTGGGGGTGGCTTCAAGGGCTGCCTGGGTGGCCCTGGTGATCCCTAACACCACAGGGTCCAAGCAGAACTGCACCTGGAGGCCCACTGGCCAACAATCACCAGGACCCCCAGAAGAGAATCATTAACTGCATAAATATAGTGCTGACAAGCATCTGATGGCAGTTTTGGAAAAGAAAGTAATGTTTCAACAGTGACATTTTCTTACTTCAGCCTGAAAGTCCAGGTGATGCTGAAGATAAGGCATCAGACTTTGATGATGCTGACAGAACACTTCTGATCCAGATGAGTCACTGTCACTGTCCTCCCGTTGTTCATCGATTTGCTCGAGCGGGCCCAGTAACATTGTGAGACTTTACTGTGTTTGCATATATATCGAATACATCACGGGTGGCTTGCCAGGCTCTGCCGTGAGGGCGAGATACTCTCGGTAGCTTGCCGGGCTCTCCGAGAGGGGCGGAGGAATCGAACTCTGGTCGGCCATGTTGGCTGCGTGCAAGGCAAACGCCCTCCCACTGTGCTATCACTCCTGAACGCGCCCGATCTCGTCTGATCTCGGAAGCTAAGCAGGGTCGGGCCTGGTTAGTACTTGGATCCAGATGAGTATTTCTGATTATTTCCCTCTGATATATAGTGATCTTTTCTCCCTGCAGTTGGTTGTGAACTTACAGCAAAGGTAGTATTTGCTTCACTGCATGCAGGAATATGGTGCAATATTACAATTCCTCAAGCTTAGCACTTTATGCTTTGTGCCAAGTACTGTCCACATAGATCATGAATATTCACAAAACAATGTATTAGTATTTGCTAGAGTTTTCATTGATCTTTGTTGAAATTTCACACTTTCTCTGACTGCCTATGTAATTAATTAACAGTATTACTGAGGATACGAGGATATTTCCTATTTTGTTATTATAAAAACCCAGTGATTTTTATAGAGATCAACATTTCTGAATTATACAATCTTAACCTCAGTATTTTAAAAGATTTCGGTAGATAATACGTGTATGATAAAAGTATATGTTTTCTCCTGCAACATGCTGAAAAAAATTTAAATCTAGAGGCATTACTTTATAAATTCCTACAAACTGCATATAAAAGGGTCTAACCTACACTGTTGCTTTCCCATTTCTTCAGTCTCTTACTACAGAAATTCATTTTACTAGGAACAACTGCCTGATCTCCACAGTGTTCACACTGTTGGACAATCCGTGAAATCCATTCATCTAAGAATGCAGGCCTTGGGCTGGGAGATGGTTCAAAAGGCACCTGGTCGGGCTTGGCATGCTGGTTTTACCCCTGGCACAGCGTGGTGCCCCGGAACCCCTAGGAGTGATACCTGAGCACCACCAGGTATGGCGGAGCGTCCAGCAGAAAACTCAGATATTGCCCACAGCATCTGGCCGACAAAGCCAGCACTCGGCCAGCTTTCCCGCCCGCCCACACAGGCATGCGCGGCCAGGGCTGCAGAACATCACCCAGCCTCCCCAGCAGGGCGGTCCCGGTGAGAAGACACCCAGACCTAGGTACCACTTCCTTGAGAAGGACATAAAGGAGAGGAGGGAACAGCTGATGAGGACTACGTAAGGAGAGGTGTGCAAAGGTCTCGCGCACGGGAGCTTCTCTGTCCCAGAGGAGGAGGGGAGGGGGGGAGCGGGAAGGGAGAAGGAAAGAGGAAGGAAAGAGGAGGGGGAAGGGCACAGGGAAGGGGAGAAGGAAAGGGAAACGGGAAAGGGACAGGAAATGGGGAAGGGAAGGGAAAAGAGGAGAGGGAAAGGGAGGAAACGGTAACATGGAGTTTGTGGAAGCTCAAGCTGGACAGCACTTTACAACCACTTCCCACGAGCACTGCTGCAGAACTTTTCACTCCCCGGGCCATCCTCCCCGCAGATTTGTACCAGGGTAGGGATCTTGCTGGTGGACAAGAGTGTCGGCAAACGCTCACAGCAGCCTGTGTCCATCCAAGCTACCATTTCTGCCCATCCTACTCCAGAACAAAGTGTGCAAGCACTGCATCCAATTGTGTGTGCGCTCTGGCCATCAGAACTGCAAAGGAAGTTATGGGCAGAGAGGGGAGAGAGAGGGGCGGGACAGAGAGAGAGAGAGAGAGAGAGAGAGAGAGAGAGAGAATATACAAAAAAATTCTGTACCTTCAATGGTATATATTTGAACTTTTTCCTCTGGGACAGTCACTGCTTCCCATTGATGATCCTTAAATTTAAGAAAAGTTTGGCCATAAATAATTTATTCATCTTAAACCTTCTGTAAATGCTTGTCACATTTAATCTGTGTTCAATCTTCAAAAGAAATAATAGTATTAATATCATTAATAATAGTATTAGGTGCATATGCTGCCCGAGCCCGTGTGCTTGCAGCCACGTGACCGAGCACATGTGTCGCCCACATCTCCCCTCTTGAGATATGGACTTTCATGCTTTGGTGTCTAATGCTGGTGGTATGTGTGTAGAGCCTCTCTCCTGCCCTGGAGAAGCCCGTGTTCTCTCTTGAGCATGTTGCTCCGTTACTCTCTCTCTCTCTACCTCCCTCTACGCCTTAAAAATCCTCCAAATAAAATCTGTTTATTTCAAAAAAATAATAATAGTACTAATATTAATCCATCCTTGAGCCTCAAAGAATGCATATTAATATTAGAGATACTTGTAAAAATGTCTCCAAGTCCAGCTATTTCTTCCTTTGAGCTGTTTCATGAGATCAACTTCAATTCTCAATCCCATTCACTGACTGACTGACTGTCCTTCATTTATAGCAGTGCTCTCAAACTAAACAATTGCCCTTACAAGTATTAGCAATAAAAATCTGCATAACTAAATACCGAATTCATACAAAAAGTTAGAGTAAAAGGTGCAGCACCATATCTTCAGGCCTTCGCGTTGAGCCTGTGTCCAGTTAGCCAGTGGGGAGGGACCCCTGAACCTCTGACCCCGCACACCACTTGGGAGTGGCTCACAAAAAAAAGACAGAGGAGAGAGGATTCTAACCAAGTGTTAGGGAAGAACAACCTCCCAACATCTAGGCCAGGATTTGGAACATGGCACATGTATATTTATATTTATTCCCGTCATGTGTGCTATTGTAATTACTTCTTTCTTGCCTGAAATTTCCACTAGATAAAGCTAAGTGAGGGCTGAAAATTCATCGGCCCTATTCTATCCTCTTCTCCCAAAATGAACATCTAGTTCCTGAAGAATTCTCCTACAAACCCTGCAGAAACAAATATACTAAGAAAAGCCCTCAGTGCCACTAAGACACAGGTCTGGTATCTGAAAACTCAATTTTAACTAAGAATTATCTATATTAAGCAGATAATGCTAAAACAAAAAGAAATGAAGACATGTGAAAACCATGAGACATTTCGATGATGCTCATCTACAGAGCCTTTATCTGAATAAAAAAGGATTTTAGGGGCTGGAGCACTAGCACAGCGGGTAGGGCATTTGCCTTGCACACAGACGGCCCAGGTTTGATTCCCAGCATCCCATATGGTCGCCCGAGCATTGCCAGGAGTGATTCCTGAGTGCATAAACTGGGAGTAACTCCTGTGCATTGCCAGGTAGGACCCCAAAAAACAAAAAAAGGATTTTAGAATAGATGAATGGATTTCAAAAAAACTGAAAATCTTCATTATAGTATTAGCAGTTACTCAATTAAATCACTTCTTACTCAGTTTTGGCACAATGTCAAAAATATAGCTGAGAAAGACCTCCTAATGTCACTACTACTACACCCTATTGCTAAGAACGAATCCCTTCTTATGCTCGGGCTTCATAAAAAATACTTGTAATTACCTGCTAATGTCAGTGTAACTGAGAGACTTTTGACTTGTTCTTTTTTTTTCTTTTGGTGGGGGGGTGGTTCACACCTGGCAGTGCTGAGGGCTTACCCCTGGCTCTGCACTCAGGGACAACTCCTGGCAGTGCTGGGGGATCACCTGGGATTCCAGGACTTGGACCTGGGTCAGTCGCATGCAAAGGCTGACCTATCCCTCTGGCCCAACTTGGTATTTTTTCTAGAATTAATTTAATGTTCATGTGAATGTAAAATGTTATCTGTCACTGACATGCAATTTTTTTTTGATAAGCCTATGTTAAAAAAAAGCTTGTGTTGAAATGGCATTAGTTTCTCCGTTGCAACAGTACTTCAGAAATCATTTTCATTTCTTTCCTTTGGGGGGGCGTCAGTCACCAGCAGCGGTGCGGAGGGTCTCCTGGGCTTGCTGCAGGAAGCCGCTGAGACCACACGGGGGCGTCCAGCATCTCGCTGGCTCTGCAAGGGTCCTCCCTGCTCCTAGTGTCGACTCACTTAACAGGTTGCTATCGAAGCTACTAGACCTGCCTAGTACTGAAATCTACTAAAATATATAGAAATAGAAATACTCCTAAAGTAAATCAACGTGTTTTATATATGCTTATACATACATCTGAAGTGATACAGAGGGAATAAAGCTTACATCATCTCCAGCAATATAGAATGAGAGAGTTTGGCTTCCGAGATTGAAATCTATCCAAAATTCCTCAAGTTTTTCATCTGATGGCATTTTCAGCTGAAAAGGTAAACATAAAATGAGTGCTGGGCTGGGGAGAAGGCGCAGGCTGGTGGTGCCTGCCATGAACACAGCTGGCCCCGTTGAATCCCAGACACCACTTGGTCCCCTGTGCATATCCAGAAGCAACCCCAAGCACAGAGCCAGAAGAAGCTCCTGAGAACCACTTGGTGTGACCCCAAATCTCCCACTTCGATTTAGAAACAATCAAAAATGCTACTTTAATATTTTACATAGATGTTAGGTACCGTTAAGAAATTACACAGTCCAGGTGTTAAGATAGATCTAAAACATTGGTTTGGATGTCCTTGGATGAATCGTAAATTGAAAATTCAAGGAAACAAGAAAATTTGAAAAAGTACAGGCTTTAGATTTCAGTTATCCTTGACTACAAATATGCTGTTTCATAAACTGTCATACAGATACAAAGCACTAGAACAGTTATATCTGCCATCTAGTTTTATTATTTTTAATGCTCCTACCAATTACAAATATAAAATTTTCTTGAGTTCTAAATCAAAAATCATCTAGTAATATCTAAGAGAAACTTAAAACTTACCTCATATTTATCAAGAAATGCTGATAAACAAGGAAATGTAAAGACCCTGAAATGAAAGTAGTTTCAGTTAAAAAAATTTCCTAAGGCTTAGAAGCATAATCTTAACTAGTCACAGAAATCAAACCTATAGTAGAAAAAAAATCCAGTAGTGGGTCTAGTTCAAGTAAAATCATATCTCATTTAGTAACTATTTTTCCTTGCAGTGCCAGGGATCAAACCTAGGACTCTAAAACATACAAGGCAAATGCCTGACCACTGAACTATATCCCCAGCAGCACTGGGACGGTCTCCTAAGCACCTCCAGCAGTAAACCCTGAGTGCAGAGCCACAAGTAAGCCCTGAGCACTGCCGGGTACAACCCAAAATAACACTCTCCTCCCCCAAAAATAGTTCTCTGGAAATGTCTGAGTTCACCAAAATTTTTTTTTAGATATTATTACTGACACTTAGCATTGAACCACCCCAATGCTAATTTTCACAACAAATATGAGACACGAGTTGTGTTATTTTACAGTCAAGAAGACGGGTTAAATATTTTGCCCAACTTTTGAGTAGAAAGAGAGGAATCTTTGATTCAAATCCCTAAGTTTTGTGACATTCAACGCACCCCATCTTTCATTTCCTGAGCAAGTCAACAAGAATCCATTCATCCAACATACATATCTGGGGCACTGATAAGGAGGCAGACATTATACTGAAATACTCTATTCTGACTTTAGCAAAAGTGACAATAATACGCACTCTTTCACACCCATTTCTGAGGTGAAACAACCTCAAAGGGTATTCATATAGTATGATGATTATAAAGGGTGACATCTCACAGCTGCTATCTATATATTTTCATTCTAGTAATTGGATAAAGGAGGTAGAGATTCAGTTAAGATTTGTACTTCGCTTTTGTTTCTTTGTTTCGTTTGGGGGTCACACTGCAGTGCTCAGGGCTTACTCCTGGAGGTGCTCAGGATCAAACATGGCCAGCTGTGTGCAAGACAAACACCTTCCTCACTGTACTATCACATTGATCCCTGAACCTAAATCTTTATTATTCTAGTACTAAATTTACTGTCATGCATGTACAATTAGTAATATTAGGAGAAATGTAATTTTCCTCCAAAGAAACGTAGCAAACACCAGAGGGTTATTTTACCTGCTAACATAATTTAGTAAATGATGTTCCATTAAGATACTGTTTTAACTACTCATCCACATTTCACCCTCCAAATTACTAGCTTCATTTGGGGAGGGGATGGCGTCCCCAGCAGTGCTTGGAGGCCAAGGGCCAAGGGCAGTATGCAATTGACAGTGCAGGCCTAGAGATAAGGGGCTGCTAGGATCAACAGCGTTTGGGACGATCAAGGTCACCAACAGGGAGCTTCAGGGCCACCAGGGCCACACCCAGCAGTGCCTCTGGGGTCATGGAGTACTGGGGACCAAACCTAGGGTTTGTATGTATGCTAGCGTTTGAGTTATCTCCTTGGCCTATGCTCATAAAGTTCATTTCAACATGGCGCATTCCCTCTTGAATGCCCGCTCGCTCTCTCTTTCTCTCTCTATTTTTTTTTGTTAATAATTTATTTCTTTATTGAATCACTGTGGGAAAAGTTACAGAGCTTTCGGGTTTAGGTCTCAGTCATGTAAGTATCAAACACATTTCCCTTTACCAATACTTTTTAACCGTGAACCCCAATAGAACCCCACCTCCCAACCCTCCCAATTCCTGTGTGGCAGATGAGTTCTAGTTAATACTCTATCTACTTTGACTAGATACATTGTTTCAATAGAAGATGCACAATTATTGTTTAGAGTTTATGACCCCCCCCCCCCAATCAGACATGCTGAAACAGCGTTGTGAAATGATTTGCTTTCTACAGCTGGGTTTAAGAATAAAATGATGTTGCGCGGCCGCAATAGCGGCCACGCGGTTTTGGATTTCTGCTGTTTTACTTATTAACCCTGGAAGTATTTCTATTAAAAGTTAGACAGTTAAGAGATTGGTTTCTGTGCTCTGGAGTCGTGGCCGTGCTGGAGAGCTGCTCGTGGGGGCAGCTGGTGACCTCGGTCGGGCGTGAAGGACGGCCCAGAACGCCCCCCTTCCCATGAGGCCCCTGCCGCCCCCCGCCCCCGGCTCAAACCTGCTGTCCACTCTCTCTCTCTCTCTCTCTCTCTCTCTCTCTCTCTCTCTCTCTCTCTCTCTCTCTTTAAAGGAATTTATTCATTTAATTCCTCTCTTCCCCCCTTCTTCATAATTGAACCACAGTGAGAATGAGTTACAAAGCTTTCATGATCCAGTTTCAGTTATACAACATTCCAACACCCATCCTTCCACCAGTGTATATTTCCCACCACCAAAATCCTCAGTCTCCCTTCTGCCCCCCCCCGCCCCCCCCCCCCCCAGTCAGCCTGCCTCTATGGCAGGCATTTTTCATCTCTCTCCCTACTTTTGGGCATCGAGGTTTGCAATACAGATACCAAGAGGCCATCGTGTCTGGTCTCCTACCCACTTTCAGCACACATCTCCCACCCAGAGCGATCCCTTCCAACCATCACTGTGTTGCACTCTATGGCTTTATTAACAAATAGTTGCATATTGCATCAAGTTTACCTTCTCTTGTCTCCAAGAATGCCATTTACAAGGTTGAGAAATATTCTGCAATCCTAATTAAAAGCAAAAAGGCATTTAGGAAGCAAAACAATGTAAAATTTTGTTTTGAACTTGTTATTTCTTAAACTACTTACTGTTTCAAATTCTGAGTCTTTAATTCCTTTAAACGCCTTAGCAATAAAATCCATTGAAAACCAGTGGCATGCCAGTTCCTGTCTTTGCTTTTCTGTGGTCATCCTACATAAAGCCTCCAGGATACCAACTTGTAAATCATAATCTTTTAAAAAAATTGTTGGTGTGTTATTTTAATTACGGAAATAAAGTTCATAAACCAATATACTTTATAAAGTGTTTTGAAAAAGCAACAGAAATCAGTGCAATTTATTATTAGTGTAATTTACTCATCTTATGCCATTTTCATGATCTAGATTAGAAATATATCATTATGGCTACCAACAAAAGTTTACTACAAGTGTGAAAAGGATATTGAAAACAAAATTTTAAACAGCCGAAGACTCTGCTATCCATTATTTGCATGGGAAATAGCAAAGTAACCCATATAAGTCTATAGACCAAAGAATCCTTGTTTTCTGGTTTCAGCATGTTTACAGTTAGTCTCATGTATTTTATTTTTACTATTCAATTACTTTTATTAAAAAATTTTGAGACAATACTGATTTACATCACTATATGTGTTTTAGGAACACAGTTAGCTAAGACACTGTAGAATAGCAGTTTTTGTCTCTAAATTATTACATCAAAGATTAGGAGAAAATAGTTGGGATTTTTAATATAATTAAATATTATTTAAAACATATTATCTTAAAACAACTCAACCCCAAGCACACCAAACTGCACAAAATGAAGAATTTCTCTTTGAAAAATTAATGCAGATTTTTATTTAAAAGTGGTTATTTCTTATATTGATAGATCTATAAGGAACAAAGTAACAGTTGACATCTCTCACTGTCACATTATTATTTGTATATCTCATTTTTCACTTAGTTAAGTAAACATTGCTAGGTCAGAAGAAATCTCTAAGGGGTCAGAGTGCACGCTTTACATGCAGGATCCTCAGGTTCAAGCCCAGAATGACATGGGCCCCAGAGTACCAGAAGGAGTGAATCCTGAGCAGATAATCAGGAGTAAGCACTGAGTCCCTCTGGGGTGTAGCTCCAACTAAACAAAAACAGTTTGACTACAGTTTATAATTCACTCGCTTAATCTCACTCTACCACAATGTTTCTATTATTCTTATATCAGATTATTAAACTTGGAATACTTTTCAATATGAAGTTTGAAAAGCTATACTTACCTCCCGCATCTAAAATCCTTTCTCCCAAACTACGCCTATGAATAAAAATAATAGATTATATACTAAACTATTATCCATTAAATATAAATCCTCTAATTCTGGGGGGGGGGGGGAGGGAATTCAGTAAAATTCCAGTTAGCTATTATCACAGATTTTAGCAGAAAATGTCATTAAAATCTACAGCAGTTTATCAGTTTTAATTATTTATGTAACTCATGGTTGTCTAACTGACTTATAAAACATTCTTTAGGGGCTGGAGCGACAGCATAGCGGGGAGGGCATTTGCCTTGCACATGGCCAAACTGGGTTCAATTCCCAGCATCCCATATGATCCCTCAAACACTGCCAGGAGTAATTCTTGAGTACATGAGCCAGGAGTAGCCCCTGTGCATTACCGGGTGTGACCCAAAAAGAAAAAGAAAAAAAAAATTCTTTAAATTTTTAACTTAAACCACCTGAAGCAAAATAGTATATATTATTACATGAGAATTAACATTTCTTGACTAAAGAGTATTTTCCTGGCATCTTGAGGCATTTTATCAAGCATAGCATTCATTTTTTTCAGAGTCTGAAAAAGAAAAAGATAAATATATTCAGTGAAACATTAAGTATAAAGATTTAGGAGTATAAATTTAGAGGTTCCGCACAGCAGAGCCTGACAAGCTACCCGTGATGTATGCGATATGCCGAAAACAGCAACAATAACGGGCCTCATTCCCCAGACCCTGAAAGAGCCTCCAATACGGCAGCATTGGGGAGGAGAGTAAGGAGAGGCTGCTAAAATCTCAGGGCTGGGACGAATGGAGACGCTACTGGCGCCCGCTCAAGCAAATCGATGAACAATGGGATGACAGTGATACAGTGATAAATTTAGAAGATTATTATTTTCTTAATAATCACTTTCTTAATAAGCACTTTCACACATAATGGAAAATGATGGATGAAATAGTATAAGTATATATAACGGATAAGAAAAACACCCCAAATACCAAAAAGTAGAATATACTATGATTTCTGTACATAAAATCTGTTTATTTTCCAATTTAACATGTTATTGATGCTATAAAGCACAAGCAAAAATAGTACCTTATTAGTGGGCTTTTGTGGCTACACGTATGTACACTCCTATATATACACACTAATGCAAATTACCTTTAGCATTTAAATAATAGGAATCCTAATAATGATACTGCAATGTATTTTCACATGAATCATATGCAGATGAAACCCAAGATAGTTGAGTTTTCAGTAAATAATTCTTGATCCATTCTTCAACCACCAGTTCGTAGACCAGTGGCTGTCCACAAGTGTAATGAGAAAGGTTCAAATCACTGATGTGCCATATTGTTTATAACTGATAGTCTGTGAACCAGTATGAAGAACAGGTGTCAAAAGATTGGAGGGCAGTGAGGGGAGTGCAGACGCCAATGCTCTGCGGGTACTCTCCTGATTCATGCTAACGAGAGCAGGATGACTGGGGGGCAGGTGCTGAACCCTCACAGAACTCTGCCAACGCTCTCCCCAGAGGTCAGGCCAGTGGTGAGTGTGGTTTTTCCCTGAAGGTGGCCACCAGTTATAAACCCCCACTATGGTCCATAAGATCCTTTGCTTGGTCTCCTATACTGAATTCTCACCAGGGCACCCTGGCCACCCCAACCCATTAGGCCAATAGCCCATGAACCCCTACTTCAATCAGGTATCAGTAAGTTCAGGCAAAATAACACATTTCCTGAATCACACCTCCATGACATATTTGATATGCCAAAAACAGTCACACAGTTACACAGGTACACCAGTGTAAAAAGGAAGGGAACAACCCTGAAGGGGAAGGAAGAGATCACCACCTCCAGACTACCACGGCACCTTGGTCAGACAGTGTAGAACCCCACCACAAGGAGAGAATGAAGACAGAAGCTCTGAAACCTCAACTAGGAATACCCACATATGTAATCTCTCTGATAAAGAATTCAGAGATGAAATGGTGAGGATGTCTAAGGAGCTCAAAGGGACAGTGGAATGGATATCCAGTAAAATACAGCAGGATCTGAGAGAAAACAGTGGAATTGGCATCCAATCAAATACAGGAGGAAATGAGAGCAGAAATAAGAAAACTATAAACAGAAATATCATTAATAAAAAATCTGGTATATGAAATGAAAAACTCAACGAATGACCAACAGTAGAGTAACAACAGCTGAAGACAGAATCAGTGAGCTTAAAAATGAGCAGCAAAATACATCCAGGAAACAACCTAAAATGGGGAAAGACCTCAAAATAGCTCAAGGGTGGACAAAACTATGGGATGAATTTTAGCGGAACAAGCTAAGAATCACTGGAGTCCCAGAGGGCCAGGGAGGCAACCCCAGTGATGTAGTCACAGTGAAAGACATCATTGCTGAAAAGTTCCCGGAGCTGGAGAACTCGGGCATCAAGATCCATAAAGCCTGAAGGGTACTAGTTAAAAGAGTCCCTAACTCTAAGACATACCCTAATCAGAACAACAAATACCACAGATACACTGCCGAAAGCAGCAAGATCAAAGAAGGAAATTACACACAAAGGAGCATCCCTGCAATTTACAGCAGACCTATCGAATGAAACCCTCCAGCCTGTGGTCAATGGTGGGATATAGTTTTAAAAAGAAACAAGCTAGTGAAGGCCTCACCAAGAATACTCTACCTGGCTAGACTCTCCTTCAGAATTTAAGGAATGATGCACAACTTCATGGATAAACAACAGCTCAGAAACTTCACAGACTCAAAACCAATGTTGAAAGAAAGACTGAAGGAGAACTGTAAGGTAAGACAAACCCCACAAGCACCAACAAACTACTAGAGAAGACAGCACAAAACATCATGACAATAATCTCTCTCAATGTCAATGGTCTAAATGCACAAATTAAAACACAGATTGGCAAAATTGATTTTAAAAAACTGAATCCAACATTCTGCTGCGTACAAAAAAAAACACATTTGAATGAATAGTCAGAGCAAACACAAAGTCAAAGGCTGTGTTTGACTTTTTTCAAGCAAATTAACTCCTTCAAAAAGGTGGGGGTGGCCATACTAGAATCCGATGACAGATTTCAGGCTGAAAAAAGGTTAGAAGGCACAGAAAAGACCATTCCCTAATAATCAAAGGATGAGTACATTAGGAAGAAATTACACTCCTAAACATATTCGTCCCCAGAGAGGGACTAGCAAAATACTTAAAACAACTGCTAATAGACTTCAAGGAGGACATTGATAGCAGCATTAACAATAGTTGGAAACTTCACCAATGCCTTGTCATCTCGATAGATCAACGAGACTAAAACTCAGCAAGGAATTACTGGCTTTGAAGGAAGAAAGGAAGAGAGAGCCCTAATAGCTATATACAGGCCTTTTCATCCCCCAAAAGCCGAATACACATTCTTCTCCAGTGTCCATGGGACATTTTCCATGATAGGCCACAAAACATACCTTCATAAAATCGAGGATAAGAAACTGTATCAACTATCTTTTCAGACCATGATTCACTGAAAATAGAAGTTGATCACACATGGAAACAGAGAATCAATTAAACAGGTACGAATTAACCAGCTCACTACTGAACAACCAGTGGGTTAGAGATGAAATCAAAAGATTCCTAGAAACAAACAAGAATGAGGACACAAGCTAGTGGAACTTGTGGGACACAGAAAGCAGCGTTAAGAGGAAAGTTTATAGCTCTACAAGCATTCACCAGGTACGAAGAAAGGGCCCACATAAATAACATGACTTCACAGATTATGATATTGGAAAATGACCAACGAAAGGAGCCCAAACCAGGCAGATGGAAGGAAATAACAAAACTTAGAGCAGAAATCAATGAGCTGGAATTTCAGAAAACTTCAAGAGATCAGTGAAACCATCTCTGAAAAACTTAAACAAGATACACTAGCAAGACTTACAAATAGAGAAAGAGAGAGAGGGAGAGGGAGAGAATCCCAATAAACCAAATCAGAAATGAAGGGGGAGGGCATCAGAACAGCAACACAGAAATTCAAAATATTATCATTATTTTGAGACTCTGTATGCCAAGAAACAAGAGAACCTAGAAGAAATGGGTAAAATCCTGGATCCCATTACCTACAAAGGCTGAAACAAGAAGATTTAGAATATCTGAACAGCCCTATAAACAAATGGGACTAACTAAAAAGCTTATGCACCTCAAAAGACACAGTGAGTAAGAGTCATAGTCCATGGAATAGAATCCATTTGATAAGAGGTTGATATCAAAGATATATAAGGCACTAATAGAACTTTAAAGAAAAAGACATCCAATCCTATCAAACAGTGGGGAGAGGAAACAAACAGAAACTTCTTTAAAGAAGAAATTCAAATGGCCAAAAGGCACGTGATAAAATGCTCTCTATTGCTAATCATCAGGAAGACGCAAATCAAAACAACAACGAGATATCATCTCACTCCACAGAGACTGGCACACATCCAAAAGAACAAGAACAATCAGTGCTGGCGCGGACGTGGGGAGAAAGGGACTCTCGTTCATTGCTGGTGGGAATGCCTTTTCAGAAAACAATATGGACATTCCTCAAAAAGCTAGAAGCTAAGCTTCCATTTGACCCAGCAATACCAATGCTGGGAATATGCCCTGGGGAACCAAAAACACACAGCAGAACAGATACACCATCTGTACTTCTATATTCACTGCAGCACTATTCACAATAGCCAGAATCTGGAAACAACCTGAGTGCCCAAGATCAGACGACTAGATATAGAAACTATGGTACATCTACACAATGGAGTAACTACACAGCCACTGGGAAAAATGGAGTCATAAAACTGTTTAGAAATGAAAGGACATGGAGAGCATCATGCTGATTGAAATGAGTCAAAAGGAGAGACGGGCACAGAATATTGCACTCATCTGTAATCTGGGAGATATAAAAAAAATGAGAGACTAATACCCAAAGAGAGCAGAAACAAGGGCCAGGAGGACTGGTTCATGACTAGAAGCTGGGAGGGGGTAGGGCAGTTAGGACAGAGAAGTGACCACTATGACAATGACAGTGGGAAATGATCACCCTGGACAAGATCTGAGTGCTGAGCGGAGGTAAAGGGATATGCATGATAACCTTTCAGTACCTGTATTGCCAACCATAATGGCCAGAAGGAAAGAGAGAGAGAAGGAAGCCAAGTACCTCCCATGGGAGTAGGCAGGGGTGGGGAAGTGGAATGTGCGTTTTGGAGGGGTTGGCAGGAGGGAAACTGAGGACATCTATGGTGGGAAATGTATATGGGTGAAGGGACCTGTGTTGGAACATTGTATTAGTGAATCCCAATCACGAACAAGTTTGTAACTATGTATCTCACCAGTGATTCAATAAAACAAAAAGGACTGAATACTGTTTTATCTGCTATAGTAATTATTCCAAGTTAGAGGAGGAAAGAAATGCAGAAAATACAGTTTAGCTGTACAGCACTTACCTTGCATGTGTGAGGCCCTGCATTTAATCCCTGGCACCACACACACAAAAACACCAACATTTCAGGGGCCGTAGTGATATTACAGTGGGTTGGGCATTTTCCTTGCATGCATCCAACCTGGGTTCAAATCTCTGGCACTCCATATGGTACCCCAAGTCCTGATAGGGGTACCCTGAGCACAGAGACAGGAGTAAGCCCTGAGCACTGCAGGGTGTGGCTCAAGAATAAAGAAATAGCCCAACCAAACCATACTTTAAAATGGTGAAAACGGGCTGGAGTGATAGCATAGCAGGCAGGGCGTTTGCCTTGCACACGGCTGACCCAGGCTCAATTCCCAGCATCCCATATGGTTCCCTGAGCACCACCAGGAGCAATTCCTGAGTGCAAAGCCAGGAGTGACCCCTGTGCATTGCTGGGCATGACTCAAAAAGAAGAAAAAATTAAATTTAAAAACTGGTGAAAAAGATGGGTCAAAACGATAGTACAGCAGGTAGGGCATTTGCCTTGTAGCAGTACGACCTGGGTCTGATCCCCTGCAACCCACGGTGCCTTGAGTACCACCAGGTGTGATTTCTGACAGCAGAGCCAGGAGTAAGTCCTGAAGGCTCAAAGCCTGGAGCACACACTTTACATGTGGGACCCCCAGATTCAGTTTCCTGCACTCCCTAGTTCCCAATGCTGCATGGTCTCCCACGAACCCCAGTCACCAAACCGGTGTAAGCCCCCCAAAAAAGGTAATTTAGTGCCACACTAAAATACCCTATTGAAGACTTGCAATCCAATTACCAAATATTTTTAAGGGAAAATTTAATAAATTACTTTACCTCCTGCTGAATACAAATATTAACTCTTGAGTCAATAATCAGGGCACATATTCGAGGTATGAAGCTTTCTACTACTTGTCTTTTACCTGAATAAAAGCATTAAATGATTAATATATGTATTTCAAATCACTGAAATGGCAATTATTTTTCATGTGAATTCATATGACTTCACAGCCTATCTGAAAAGTCAGTCCAAAGCCCACTGATCTTCAAAGTCAAAAAGTTTTATAACATCAACTGCAAGTTTAAATAGTAACTAATACTAACCCTTTATTGATTTCTCTGCTCTTAACACCTTGCTTTAAATTAAAGTTTTTAGAGGCGAAAACAGTCCCAAAGCATCATTGATTACACAAATTAAAAAATCATCTTTGCATCTAATTGAGATTTTTTCTTTCACTTTTTTGAATGTTGTACCCATTTTCTGTTGCAGCACTGTTATTGTTAAAATTTGCATTATAAAAGTCTGCAGGAAAATTCCTCAGAATATATTATTGCTGAATCTTTTTAGAATGGGATTAATTTTTGACAATAAATCAGTCATCTATATATTCATGAAGCTGAAAGGTGTTAATAGCCATTATTGAATTTTTGAGGTATAACTAAATTAATGAGACCAAAACTCAATATGGAAAGTTCCATTTTTGAACTTTATGTATTTATTCAAAAATAATACTACTTTATGTGCCTAAAAAAGAAGAGAGTTATAGAGTTGTTCCTTTACCAAAAATTAAGGTCAAGCCATCTAGTCCTGATCTTGAATCGTTAGTGGTTTTGGAGAGTCATTTAGCTAGTAAGTGGCAAACCTAGACTAAATTTCATCTTCTTTGGCTTTGAAGCTGAAAATTCCTTTTATAAATTATTTATAAATAATTCATCATTCTCAATTATCCTATGGAATTCTTCCTCGACAGGTGAAAAGATGGAATAATTTGGGTATTATTGCTAGGGAAAAATGAAAAGATGAATAGGAACATGTTCTCAGTTTATTTACAGAACATTCTCCCCATTATATCAGGAGAACAGGAATTAGTTCATGAACCACCTCTACACCACTGCCCACTTTTGTATCACGATCACGACCATCCTGTTGTTCGTTGATTGTCTCGAGCAGGCCCCAGTAACGTCTCCTTCATCCTAGCCCTGAAATTTTTTAAAAAGTGCCATATTCAAGGCTCTTTCAGGGTTAGGAGAATGAGACCCAACACTATTACTGGTATTTGGCATATTGGGGACGCCACGGGGAGTTTGCCAGACTCTGCCGTGTGGGCAGGTTACATTCGGTAGCCTGCCAGGTTGTCCAAAGTAGGAATGAGATAATAAAAAAAAAAATAAGTGTTAATGATTCTGGAGGTCTTCGGCTGCTGGAGCTCTGCTCGGGGAGGGGAGGGAAACTCAACCCGCCCCCCTCCAAGGGTCCCCGGTGAGGACAGTCAGGCGCGAGGGCAGGAGACTCTGCCCTGTTCTCTTCCAGGAGCTGGGTTTTATAGTCTCTGAGTCTTGGCTGTTGATGGGATTACACGGCACCAGGGGGCCAGTTGGTGGGTGTGACCCCTGCCTACTGGAATTCATTGGTAAGAACTCGGTAGAAATATTTGAATCTATCTCATTTTTCATCTTGAAGTTTTGGGGGCGGTGTTTGGGCCAATGTGCAGTGCTCGGGGCTTCTGGCTCTGAGCTCAGGAATCACTCCTGGGTTTGTCGATCACCTGGGTCAACCGTGTGCAAGGCAAGAACCGTATCTACAGGACTGGTCACTCTGGCCATCTCAATTATTCTCACGAACTTCGCTTTGATCAGTTACATAGAAGTTAAGTAGCTGTTCTCTGTTAAACATCATGCCTTATCGTGCCCTATGTCATATAGCAGTATCCCAGGGACTTGGCAGTAAGAAGTTTTACTCTCACCTTTTGAATTTAGGACCAAGACAAATTTTTCTGAACGAGAACTGCCCTTGACCACCTTATCAAACTCTGAGTGAACTTAATGAATCTATCACAAAATTCTAAGGCAAAATAATGCTTATATTAGAAAACAATTAAACTAAGGCTCTCTGAATCACACGTGCTACAAAGCGACTTCATACACTTCAAGGCTGTCAAACCTTTAAAAGAAAAGTGACCCCTCCATTCTCACATAGATTCACAGAAGAGAACAACTTCCCCAAGCTCCGAATATAGATTCAGTAGCACTTCTGAATCTTTCAGTGCAAAGGAAATTTCTCTATTTCAAAACCTGGCTAACTATAGAGCTGAATAGCTCCTCCTAACTTTTGAAAGTGACAGTACTTAATATCCTATAAATGCTTTCTAAGTGATAAATGTGCTAAATTAAAAATTATGCTTAGGAATTGATATTGGTATTTGTCATTATGTGCATTATAGAACATTTTCTAATGCACTATACATAAAATCTCATTACAGATAAGCATGAGCAAATGGATATCTGCAATCAATTTTGATTACAAGGGACATTAATTTGAATCTTAAGTACTATCCCCTCAAAAGCAGTGCTATTCTCAACAGTCCTGAATTCTTTTTAAAAATACTCAATGATGATCATGTTTTGAAGTACATTAATAAAACATTTATGGAAATATGGTTTTTGTCTTGATTTGTATATATAAACATAACATCCTTAATTATTTTCCTTGGTTGATGAAAGCAGACATATTTACTATCCGATCCTTTTCAGTAGAAAAATCTACTAGGACAGTACTGTGAGAATAAAGCAATATTCTCTATTGCTTGAATAGATAAAACAATACTAAACATAAATATTTATTGTACCTTCATCACTGGTGTCATGTACCACCTGAAAAAAATAAATATAATTTAGTCTGTTATAACCATTACAAATATCACTAACGTAGAGGTTATCATCACATAATTATCTAATTTAATGATATGAATCAGGATAAGTGGTCCACAAACACAAGTTAGAATAGGCAAATCCAACCCATTTACCAGCCAGTTAGTGACTTTTAGGGTAAGGGCACAGAGAAAACAGTGTTTTTTTTAAAAAACAAATACAAGCTATAAAGCTATAAAACACCAGTTATTAAATGTAATATTTACCATTAAAAGATCAAATAGGTCTTCTACCATGTTTGTAACAATTTCTTCTTTTGAATTTCTTTGACTCAGAATAATTTCCTTGGATTTTTCAAACCAGGTAACCATGTAAAAAAAATGCATAGATCAATTAAAATAAATTCAACTTAAGCAATTTTAAGAATATATTTGTTGCTGTTTACACAAACAACAAATGCAGGAATAAAAATTAAAAAATAAATTTGCTTTCAAATAGGTTGGTATTTATTCATTTTGGTTCTGGGACCACAACCGGTGGTGCTCAAGGCTTACTCCTGGCTCTGCATTCAAGGGTCACTCCTGGCAGGGACCAGGGGGCCATATGGGTGCCAGGAATCAAACCCACGTTGGCAAACGCAAGCCAAGTGCCCTGCCCACTGGAGTGCCTCTCTAGTGCCCAATGAGTTTCATTTTAAACATCTTCATTGCTTTGTGTTTTTTTTTTTTTGTTAGATTTTTTCATCATTTAGAACCCAGGAACCTAGGTGTGTGGAGGAGGGTGGGTTGAATTTCCCTCCCCACCCCGAGCAGAGCCCCGGCAGTTAAAGACCTCCAGTTCCAGACACAGCCATGCTTAAGACCTCTCTCCACATGTTTGGACGAGCCTCACGCATGAAGGAACCAGCAGAGGAACCCAGGTGTGTGGGACCCGGGGTGTAGATCTCCAAGCCTGCTAGGATTGGGACTGGGGCCTCCTCCACCCAGATCCCCCATGTTCCAGTATGTAGGCGTTACACCCACCAACTAACCCCCCCCACTCCCCCACCCCCGCGCTGTATAATCCCATCAATGGCCAAGACCCAGAGACTATAAAACCCAGCTCCCGGAAGCGACATCTTATTATCTCATTCTTACTTTGAACAACCTGGCAGGCTACTGAATGTAACCTGTCCACATGGCAGAGTCTGGCAAACTCCCCGTGGCATATTCAATATGCCAAAAACCAGTAACAATGATGGGTTTCATTCTCCTGACCCTGAAAGAGCCTTGAATGTGGCACTTTTTAAAATCTCAGGGCTAGGATGAAGGAGACGTTACTGGGGCCTGCTCAAGGCAATCGATGAACAACAGGATGACAGTGACAGTGATTTAGACGGAAATTGATGAAGTGAAATCATAATGGTCTCTGTTTCCTCCTTAAAATTCCTAGTTTAGGTACACAGGATAAATTAAAGAAACATGACACATTAGATCATTGTTATGCATTGTGACCTGAGAAGTCTAGGAACTGTTTTACTTCAATTAACTGATTCACTTAAATGTATGTTATATCCCAGCCAATGTTCTAGGTGCAAAGTATACAGAATGAAACAGCAGACCAAAATTGGCATGGGAGACAGAAATGAAACAAAAACTTAAGTTGACAGTGACTAAGATAAACTAAAAGAAATTAAACAAGAAAATGCCCTGGGGAGTTTATTTGATCTTAAATTTACATGAAAGAGACTGTGTAGTGAATTCTCTGTGCTTTACCTCTGTAATATAACCACAAGCTATACTCTATAAATATCACATCATATACTTATCTTTTGGACTAGTCCTTGTTTTATCATAGTCAGAAGTCCAGTTTGTCCCAAAATACTGATATTTTTACTGCATCTTCCAAAAGAAACCAAAATGGTCGAAACAGCTTGAGCATCCTTTTTAGCTAGCTCCTGGAACAAAAATGATATATTTAAATTTTTGTTAACAAAAAATTCTATGGCATGAATATCATGCCAGGAACCTTACAGCTCTCACAAGTTCCCCAGGGGAGTCATTTTCATAATCTCCACATTGCAAAGTACGCAAGTATGGTCTGAAAGGCCTGAGGCTCCCTCGTCAGTCAAGGACAAACTCAGGACCAAAACGCTGTATAAATTAAAGAAACTTTAAAATAGGACATACTAAGGCAATTATTTTCCACCCTTAAAAATTCTATCTATCAAAAAAATCTGTTTACTTAACTAATGGATTAAATGAAAATTTTATTCAATTTTTTAATTCATAATAAATCTCCGATACCAGGGGAGGTTAACAACAGCCACTATTCTCCATACATAAAAATACCTTATATGTGACAGATCAAGTTAAAGGTTTCTTTTATGACTTTTTTATTTCTTCAAATGCTAAATATATAAACTACACATGTAAATATGAAGAATGTGTTCATAGACTTTTAAAAAAATAAACCAGGTAGTCTAAAATTCTAAGTAGGAAAGTTGTTTTTTCTCAAGTTTGTTAACAGCTAATAATGTAACCTCATATAAACACAGATTTTATATTTTTACAAATATAAAACAGTTTTACATTTTTATATAGAAAATCCAATATGGGTATTTGGAATGGTTCATAAAAAGGTAAGCAATTAGTTGAATAAGCATTTACTTATATAATTTAAGCAAGCATGCTAAAGCCTTATTTTTATTCACTTCCTCAAAAAGCATATTTCTTCAAGCAAGAAAATACATTATCAGTGCTATACAATTTTATCATTTAGCAAAAATATTTACCCTGCATATAAGGTCATCCAACTTGTTTAAAAACTGTTTACTGCACTTAATTTTCACATCTTCATAAATATCAATTTGTAAGAGGGTTTTCAAAGGTTTAAAATCATTTTTTCTTAAAACATCATCGATGCATTTTTCCAACTGCTAGAGAAATACAATGAATACCACATATATTAAATCAAAACAAAAATTATCATCCCATGAAATATAGCAATTTTAGAATTGTTTAAATATAAATTTTCAAAAGAACTTAAAAAGGTCTTTATTTAAAATAAGTGAATCAATTCATTTATATTAAGCAAAGCTATCCAATATTGTTACTGTGTCTGGCATATCGAATACTCTCGGTAGCTTGCTGGGCTCTCTGAGAGGGGCGGAAGGAATCGAACTCGGGTCGGCCATGTTGGCTGCGTGCAAGGCAGACGCCCTACCCGCTGTGCTATCGCTCCAGCCCAATATTAAATTTAGAGCTGCAAAGTACGTGAGTTTCTGTAACTATAAAGGATAATATTATTTTCCACTTCAATTATCTTATAGGAAAGTGATCAAGTTAAACTCAACAAGAGCCTATTAATAATAGAAGTGAAATCAACTTTACATTATATAACACTTATGATAATATCATGAGTGAAAATGCCGAGCTGATCCAATAAATTCATATGAGCTGTAAATACATCCCATGGTTGCATGAAGACAGGCAAAAGCTACCAACTAATAGGTATATGTGACGTATACTATACAGATGTGATACACATACATACTTAGTACATGGGCTGGAGCAATTGCACAGCGGGTAGGGCATTTCCCTTGCACGCGGCCAACCTGGGTTCGATTCCTCCGTCCCTCTCGGAGAGCATGGGAAGCAACTGAAAGTATCCCCCCTGCACGGCAAAGCCTGGCAAGCTACCCGTGACATATTCGATATGCCAAAAACAGTAACAAGTCTCACAATGAAGATGTTACTGGTGCCCGCTCGAGCAAATCGATGAACAACTGGAGGACAGTGCAACAGTGATATATATGCAAAAATACAGACATATTAAGCCCTCACTTAAAATTATAGCTAGGTTTTTGGATACTGCAACTTTAAAACAAGATGACATAGAAGGAAAATGTATCCTCAGTATCTCACTCATCCTTAGCTGGTATTTTTTCCTCACAATGTTATAATAAAATGATGGTGACTAAAGAGTAATTTCAGAACCTGCTATATACATTTTATAGATTCACAATAATATATTCATGATAATATTTAATCTTTATATAATCTGCCATCCCATATCATAAGTAATTTTTCTACTACAATAAAATAATTGTATTTGGTGGTGAACTGCATACATATTAGATGCATTAAAACTTACACTTTACCTCAATATAAATATTGTTTTGTTTTGGGAGTCACACTGGGCAGTGCTTGGGGCTGACTCCTGGTTTTGCACTCAGGGATCACTCCTGGGAGGCTGGGAATTCATCTCAGCCACATGCGAGACAAGCACTCTGTCCACTGTCCTACGTCTCCAGCTCTTTCAAAATTCAAATATCTTGTAATTTTAAAATGATGCAAAAATATCCAGCATGAATTACATACAAATCTGTGTATGATCCTTTTAAGTGAAAGGTACATAAAATTAGGACCTTTAGTGTTTTAATATGGTTAAAATGGCTTTTAAAAACAAGTACAGTATTGTGAAAAAATGAAAGGATTACACTTTTTCTATTAAGCTCTTCTTTTTGAGTAATTTCATAAACATAAGTAAACTATTTCTTTTCTAACAATATTGCAATTAAAACCTATTTTTTAAAAATGAAATTTTTAGGAGCTAAAATACTTATTTTTGATCTAGAACTACATACCTCAAGATCTGGTCTTATTGGCATTTTCACTTAATTTTTAAAAATCACGACAAAAATACCTGTAAAAGAAAAGATAATTTCTGTATTTTATAGTCTGGTATATTATGCTTACAATTTAAAATACCTGAGTGTTAAAAAAAAGCATTACTACATATACCAAAGAGTTTAAGAAATACTCTTTGGTATATGCTTTTCCAAGGTGTTCATTGGGGAAAAAAATGTCAGAATTGTTAATGAAACTACTGGAGGAATGTACATAGGTCATTAATTCAAGCCCTCTCTAGAGATGATGTCAATGTCCAAACTCCTGCCAGGAACAGGAGTGGTAGTATAGCAAAGAGGGTGCCTGCTTGCATCCTACCTGGTCCCCCAATACTCCTAAGTACAGAGCCAGGAGTAAGCCCTGAGCACTGCCAGGTGCGGCCCCAAACAAACAAGAACAAAAAATCCTGCCAAGGGGGTCACAGCGCTAGCTAGTAAAAGGATATACAGAGTCCTGCCATTATCCCAACTTGGGACACAGGAAGAAAGACCATCTTGAATGTGTGTCTAAGTGAAATTTCAACTAGACATAACTGAAGAAGGGAAGAATACACAAGCATACTACCAAAGGACACGTTGCACGAGAACACAGAGCTATACAATGAAAGGGATGACGTAAAGATAACTGAGGCCCATTTCCTTCACAGGAGAATGGAAACGGGAACCATCTAGCACCGAAACGGGCAACCAACATTTCCAAACAGAACTTGGAGGCCAACTCTATAAAGGCTTTAAATAATATCATATTTTCTAGCATTGTACTAGAACATTTAAGACAATAACCTAACCTAGGGAGAGAGCTGGGAAAGAAATCACCAAGATTAACCCAACACCCCGAGGCAATCATCTGAGCAGACAGACTGTGGAAGAGGCGTGTTACAGGGGACACTTTGGTCCGCTGCTGCTTGAGGGCCAATAATGAGAGGCAGGGGAGGGGGCAGTGTCCTTAAAACAAACCATCTTCTCTGCAGTCATGAAAAACGGGCTTTCAGAGAGAGAGAAAACAGGGAAGCATATTTTTTGGAAGGTCGTTACGGAGTGGTGGGAACCAGGGTGATCAATAAACTCCCAAATGCTGTCCCCAAGACACACTTCTGATGGAACTGCAAACCGGGTTCAGATCAAGGTCTCCTTCCTCTTCCTCTTTAGGAAAAGGAAAGTGAGGGGGGGTGCTCTCTCAACCAGCCCTAAACAAACAGGTCCGCTGTTTTCTAATACTGAATTCAATCCCCAGTTTCTTGGGCTGACTTCAGCATTAGTCACAGACTTTCTTGCGGGTATGCCAGTCAAGAAACTGAAGCACGGACATGAGGACAAACCGGTAAGTCATGCAAAGCTGTGCGCCAAAACATCTCGTGTATTTCTAAGTGTTAGCTCTGGGGTGGGGGACAGGATTCCTAGAGAAACATTTGCTCCCTCCTAAAAACACCAAGTCTAAAGATGTTTAGAGAGGTAAGACACCTAGACGGGAGCTGGGAGGCCAAGCAATGGAGAAACATATTGTACAAAGGGGCACAGAAGAGGGTTCCAAGGTGGTCTTGCCTAGTGTGCAGGAAAGTGGGGTTCAAACCTCAAACCTCTGTGCGTGGCATGACCAACGCACCGAGAGTCTAACAGTTCTGTTTTGGGTCCCTGGTGAGAGGCAAGGCAGATGCTTCAGTGGCTTAAAATGAAGCCAGGGCAAGCCTGGAACTTCAAGTTTTATCTCTGGTGCTCCTACAAGCATGAGGTACTCCTAATAGTCCCCCTGCTCTCAGGATCCCCGTGGGAGGCTGTGGTATGTATTAATTTTGAGAATATAAGAGCTAAAGAAAATGAACTAGGATTTGAACCATTTAGTCCAACAAGTTTAAGTGATCAAAAGCATGTTATCAAGTGATGCAAACTGAACAATAGCACTGGTGTGGAAAAGGGGGCATATGAGTAATGATTTTATCTCCAGGTGTACATAAATACATACATATTTCCAGGGCTGAGTGGGAAGGGAAGGAGAGGAAGAGAGATTCACATACACCATTTAGGAAAGCCGGGATACTGCCCCGACCCGCGGGACTCGTCAACGTGGATAACTGGGAGAGGGTGCGTGAGTGGGAAAAAGAGAGAGACAGAAGAATGGGAGCAAGACAAGACTCTGATCAAGCTCCAAATATATTTCTCCCAAGCTAGCTTTTTATAATTGATTACATGAGGAAGTGGGCAAAATGGGGAATTAACAAAGCATGCAGATTTTCAGTGAATCAGGGTGTGGGCCCTAACAGCGGGCTCATGGCAGTTATCTCGGGCGTAGCTCAGAAACTTACACACGTATTTTAACATTTTTCCAAGAAGAAATTCGTTCCTAAATCGCATGTCAGGCTGTACTGACCTTTTGGCTCCCAGCAGGATACTTGGCAAGTCGCTGGGGAGTAAAAGCAAGAAGCTACCCAAAAGCTACACAAACTTACCTGCACAAATATCACCCATACTCCACCTCTATCATCACATTACTTGTAACTCACACTTTTAACTCTTTTTTAAAATAAAATACAGTGAATTCATCCCAAAATGTACATAAATGAGGTCCAAAGCATGAACTCAGGAAACCTGGATTTGGGTTATTGTGAGAGAAATGAAATAAACAAGGGCACTGTTCGCAGCGGGCAGTCAGGCTGCTCCACTCCAGACTTACAGGATGCAGTAAAAGCAGTTCTTAGAGGAAAGTTCATAGTGATAAAGGCTGGACGTGAGGAAAACAAACTCATTAAGTCAGACAAGGAGACTTAAAGAGAAATGCAAAGTACTGAGAGAAAAAAGCTGCAAACCACAAGTCCACCGTTAGCAGCTATTTTAAAAAATGCTCTTTTTTGGAGAGGAAGAGATGGTAAAATGAAAATACAACTTAGAAAATCTGTTACTAACAGACCCTATATAAGAGATATTGGAATGAATTCAGTTATAAGGAAACTGATCCTTGGAATTTTCCTATGAAAAATAAAATTATACAGAGTTAAGCTAACAGTCTAATTTACCTTCAGTATATAAAATGTTTCATGGCGTTAAAAGCAGACATAGCTTTGAAATACATAATAAAATACGGAGGGGGCAGGAAATAAACCTAAAGCACACAATGTCTGAGAAAGGGAAAAGAGCTATTTAATAGTCACAGATAAGGCCAATTATATGTTAGAATTCAAAGCTAAGCACCAAATAGTGAAAGAATAGCAAATAATTAAGGTAAATGACAATAAACCATGTTTTTGTTCTAATCAATCCAAAAGATGCCAAAAGAGAGAAGAGAATCCAGATCACATGGGACATGCAGCAAGCAAAGCAAGATAATAGACTTAAAATTAAATATCAGCGATTACATGTCACTAAACACTCCGTTAAAATATCAGACTGGATAGGTTATTAACGAGCCTATATGCTGTTATAAATTTCCTTTTTAAGAGACACAAAGTTGGAAATAAAATAATGGAAAAGATACTTACCATGTAATATTAATATAATAAGTGACTATCTCCTTTTAACCACCTTATAGCCATATGCTAACATCATTTAAAGGTGGAATAAAATTTGAAATATGAAAATTAAATCGTTTAGCTTCTAGAACATCAGAGCCTAGAGTATCTTCACGACCCAGCAATAGACAGGACTTATTCCACCATCACCATGTGATGATGGGTGTAGAGGGTGTCCTCCTCCAAGAGAAATGAAAACAGTGAATGCAGGTAAGTTTCCCCCACGTGTACAGTGCCCAAACTGGCCTTTTGCTGTGCAATTTCTCTCCATTTAAGTTAAAGTTAAGCAAGTCATAGATTTTTATAAGATAACTGTCAGATCTGACTTCCGAATAAGCTAAGATCTTCTCTGCCAGCTCACTTCCCTTTCCCCCATATTCCTGCTCAATAAATCTGTGCCAAGTGTAATTACTACCCAGTAGAAATTAATTTTGCCTAAAATTAATGCACCTGGAGCGATAGCACAGCGGGAGGGCGTTTGCCTTGCACGCGGCCAACATGGCCGACCAGAGTTCGATTCCTCCGCCCCTCTCGGACAGCCCGGCAAGCTACCGAGAGGATCTTGCTCGCACGGCAGAGCCTGGCAAGCTCCCCGTGACGTATTCGATATGCCAGACACAGTAACAACAAAGTCTCCGATGGAGACGTTACTGGGCCCGCTGGAGCAAATCGATGAACAACGGGGGGGCCTTTTTTACTGCACCAGAGGTAAAGCACTAGCCATCTAAATTTAAAAACAAGACCATTTTTATATGACACTTGTGTGTTCCACTGATGTCAGAAATGGCATAGAAAAGATGCAGACAAGGACTGGGGAGATGGTTCAAAGGGCAGGTGCACATGCTTTGCGTGAAGGAAGTCCGAGAGTTTCATCCCGAGCACTACACAGACCCCTGAACATCAAGTGTCTCTCAGTCGGTGCCACAGGGGATGTCTGTGGCACTGGCTGAGAAACACAGCGAGAAGGGAAAGGGTCATAGAGGACCACACAGCATACCGCAATACCAATGACTATGTCAGCAAACATCTCCGAGGGGTGACCGAGTGTATGCCTGACCTGCAGGAGGCCCCGAGTTCAATCATTGCAAGTGCATGGTCCGCCGAGTACCTGGAAGTCAGTTCCAAGCACCTCTGGACGTGGCCTCTTTCCTCAAAAGACAGAGACCACATACTTAACACTAAGTAACAGAAGTTCTGAGAGCCAAGAACCAGACTACCTTTCCATGACAGAGCTCACGCTACAGCAGCTGGAGGGAAACCCGACTGCACCCAGAAGCTGAACTGTACCGAACGTGTCATTAGAAATGGGTGTTCTGGGTACTCAGATGTCTGATCTATGGACTTTCACTCCAAAAGCTTAAGAACACTTAATTTTGGACCCATGCGTTCTTCAGTACTTGGGCTTTAACTGACAGAGAATTGTGATCTGAACTTTTAAGTTCCCTGAGAATTTTAAAACAGAAGGGATGTCTGTGTCTGTTCACACTTATGGTATCAATGCTGCGGGCATTGACCTTGATGCACTATACCCCAAATGCGGTAATTAAATCTCTCCGCCTGATATAGCACACAGGAAGCTCTACAAATCTAGATGCACCCTGAAATAGGATCCGGATTAGGGAGTGCAGGTTTCTGGCTTCAGATAAAGAATGGCACTAGCCCTAAATTACTGAAGTGATGCTCTTCTTTAAACCACTGCAAATTTACCGAGTCAAGTGAAGTTCTTCCACAATCCCAACAGAAACCCCAGGGAAGAAACTGCCTCATTGGAAGGTGCCAGAAAAACCTCCAAAAACTGGTTAGATAGCCTAGTCTAGTGAGATATGGGAAATCCTCGCGGGCAACAACTTTTCTAAACATTGAGTTTCTGGGGGAAATGACGGAAAGACTGTTCGTCTCTTTCCTTCCTGTTCACTCTCATCCCTTCCCCTCCGAATCCCGAGGACTGTCCACCTGGTCATGGGCCAGGCTCAGCTCAGCTCCAGCCTTCTTTAAGTCCTCCTGGTCCAGGAGATGTCCACGTTGTTCCTGGCAGGTGTGCCCCTGTGGGAGCTCAGACCCTTCTCTGTCCTTCTCCTGCAGTCAGTACGCCATCTGCTGCCCCCGCAGGGCCAGAGGGCAAGGCAGGCAGCACAGGACGCTCTATCCGCCCAGCACACTGGCCCTCCAGCGGGAAGCTGCTGAATTCTGGCGCTCAGTATTGGCAAATCCCTTAAGTAATCTAGCCATCGGAAGATGAAAAGTATGTTTTGGTTCCTCTGCCCCTCCCCCATCTCTTCAGAACACAAGAACAAAGAAAAGTGGTATCCATCAAGACCGCCCGAAAGACTCCGGTAAGGGTAAATTAGATATCTAGTGTTTCTCTAGATCAAGACAATGGAATTTTCTTTAACATACAAGAGTAAAAGGAGCAAATTAACCTCAACAAGAAAATGACCTTTAATAAAATTATAGCGGTCAGAGAAATGGTTCACGGGTTAAGGGCCTTGCATTACACACTGCCAATCCTGGTCCCTGGTCCCTGGCTCGGAACGTTCCAGATGGCTAAATTTAGACCTGACAGGATGCTCCCTGAGCACTGAGGCAGGAGTAAGCCCTAAGCACCACTGAATGTGGCCACGAATAAGAGAAGATGAAATACTTTTCAGTATTAAAAAGCATATGAATAAACTAATAAATAATAAAAGCCTATGAATACAAGGAGAGCTGTTCCTATCTATTAATGGGAAAACTGAACATAAAAAAACTAGCTTTCTCCCCTAAGTATTTGAATCTCCATATTTAAAAGCGAGATTCTCTCGGTAGCTTGCCGGGCTCTCCGAGAGGGGCGGAGGAGTCGAACTCGGGTCAGCCACGTTGGCTGCGTGCAAGGCAAGCTCCCCGTGACGTACTGAATATGCCAAACACAGTCACAACAAGTCTCACGATGGGGACGTCACTGGGCCCCTCGAGCAAATCGATGAGCAACGGGAGGACCGTGCCTTTAAATACTTAAAAGCAATCCCAATAAAGATCACGAACGTATTCTGAGCAGCTTGAGCATGTCTTTTAAAAAGTCTACAGCTGGGGCCTATGCCCAGTAGCAACTCGTGGAAAGAGGCCGCAGGCTGGTGTCAGGCACTGCCCTGCCCGGGCATGGAAGCCCTTCCCCAGGCACACACGTGGCCTGCACCACAGCAAAGCAGTTGGCAACGCGAGGCAACCAGGTGTGCAACCCTCAGCGAAAACCAGCATCAAGCGTGCACGGCCCCAGTCACAGCCGCCACCACAAGAGGGAACGACGATCGTCTTCGAAAATGTTGATTGGTTGCATTGAAGACAGCGGCAGGGCGTTTGACTTGCGCAAGGCCGGCCTGGCTGAGCCGGGTTCGACTCCTCCGTCCCTCTCGGCAGAGCCTGGCGAGCTCCCGGGACGCACTCGAGATGCCAGACCCAGGCACTGCAAGTCCCACGGCGGAGACGTCACCGGGCCCGCCGGAGCAAGTCGGTGGACAGCGGGGGGACGGCGCTGGTCCGCTGGGCGCTCGTGTGTAAGGACGGGGCTAAAGTGTCATGGGGAGCAGGCGAAAGGGGTGAACCGGCGTCGGGAGAACTGCGGGGAAGACATCGGAGCTGCTCGAAAAGACTCACACGAACCGCCTCGTGCACGGACGACGTCACTGCTCGAAGCGACCGAGGGGATCACAGGGAACCTCGACTCCAGCGCGAGGCGACCTGAACGCCGGACACAAGAGACCCCGAAACCCAACAGGTCCCGCCTTTCCGCGCCGGAAGTCGGGGCTGGGGCGACGGCCGGGCGGGCAAGGGGCCGAGCCTCCGCCGCAGGCCCGGGGTCGCCCCCCGAGCGGCCAAGAAAGGGGGCGGGGCGAGCGACGGGGGGGGCAACAGGCCGGTGGCGAAATCACAGAAACGGCCGCTTCCAGTCGAAAGAGAAACGGTGGCGCACGGAAGACAAGGACGCGGCGGGAAGGCAGGAAGGGGCGCGGAGGGCGGAGCCGAGCGAGACCCCCGGGCCGACCACCCCCAGGGGCCGAGCCGGGAGGGCGCCGCCCCCGCCCCCACCCCGGGAGGCGCCGGGGACCCTCAGGCCCCAGAGAGGCGCGCGAGGCCGCGCACGGTCGCGGGGGGGGGGGGGGGGTCGGCACCGGAACCGCCGGGACCCGCCGCCGCGGCCCGGACGGAGCCTGGCGGGTGGGGTGCGGGTCCGGCGCGAGCAGGCTCGGAACGTTCCAGAAGCCGTCCCCGGGGACTCACCGCGGCCCGACTCGCGCCCCGGCGACGCGACGCGGGACCGAACCGCGGGGCCTGAGGGCGACGGTCTCGGCCCGGGCACCAAGCGGGCGGCGGCGCCCCTCAGCCGGGACCCGCGACCCCGCGCGACCCCGCCGGCCCTTCCGGGTCAGCAACGGCCGCCGGTTCCCACAGACGCGCGCGGCAACGGGGGGGGGTCCCTGTGCGGGGTCACGTGCCCCGTGACCCCGCGCCCCCAGACACGCCCGTGCCCCCGAGTCCCGAGGCCCGGCCCCGCGCCCCCCGCCCCATGACCCCCGACCCCTCGCCCCGGCCCCGCCTGACGCCCTTCGCGCCCGTCCCAGGCCCGGCCCGGCCCGGCGCGTCGCCGCGTCCCACCTGCCGCCGCGCCCGAGCCCGTCGCCGTCGCGTGTCCGCGCCTCAGCCGGCGCGCGGGGCTGCGGGGGCCGCGGGGGAGGCGCGCGGCCAATCAGCGTCGCGGGCCCGAGCGCCCCGGCCAATCAGCGTCGCGGGCCCGAGCGCCCCGGCCAATCAGCGCCGCCGGCCCCGCCCCTCGCGCCGGCCGGCGGCCGCGCCGGGGCCGCCCGGGCCGCGAGCCAGGGGTCCGGCCTGAGGGAAGTGGGTTCCCCGCGCGCCGGCCCGGAGCCCCCGCCCTCGCGAGGGGCGCCCCCCTGCCGCCCGCCCCCGGGGGCGGCGCACGCGCGGGACTCGCGCCGGCGCCTCAGGGACGCGGGGCCCGCCGGGGATCCGGACGCCAGGGCAGGCGCCGCTCCGACGGCGCCAGCAGAGGGCGGCAGAGCCGCGCGGCCCGCTCCGCCAGGCCCCGCCCACTTGGGCCGCCCCGCCCCCGAAGAGGCCCCGCCCACCGCGGGGCACGCCTGCCCGGCCACGCCCCGCCCGCCCCGCCCCGCGCGCTGTCAGAGCCCGGCCACCTCGCCGGCTGCCGCCCGCCTGGCCCTGAGCCGCCAGAAGGGAACCGGCTTCACGGGGGAGCCCGGGCCCAGGAAGCCTTGTGCCTGGGAACTTGCCGCTCTCATCGGCCAGACCTCCGGCCCCCTGGGCTGGGTCCCAGGGCCGATTCCTCCCAGCGCCAGACAGCGTCTTCCCAGGATTTCCAGCACATTCCCGCGTATGTGAGTGTAGATGAAAGCCTAGACCCAAACGCCTGCAGAGCAAAATACGCAGAAGTTGTGACATCTGAGCAAGTAAGATGTTAATACCCAGCACCTTCAGAAAGCAAGCAGCTCAGAAGTGGGTACAATTGATGCACAGAGGCGTTCGTCAGAGCTTTTCAGTAAAGAGAGATTTCGGAGCCCCAGTGTCTCTTTTTTTTGGAACCGGTTCATTGTTTTACGCGTTCAGAAGGCAGAGTGACAGTGTGACAGTGAAACCCAGGGAGCCACCACATGGGGAAAGAAAAGCCCACTCATTTCCTCTTATCTGAATTTTTGAAATACAATTTCTAACGAGGTTAATGAGAGATACTCTCATAACCAAAGTTGAGTTTTCAAGTAAACTTAACAAACATTAAGCACCCTATCATGTGGGCGGGGGCAGGGCAGAGAGAGAAAGCCTGGGCTCAGGTGTAGTTTGAACGCTGAATTCCCAACTTAGTGGCTGTAGACCGTTAGATCAATTAAACTTCTCAGCTTCAACTTCATTAGCTAAGAAAATAGAGTTATTACCTACCAGGCTGCATGATTTTCTGACTTAACATAAAATCAAATACAGCTTGAAGCACTTTGGGCTGCAAGGAAGAGCCATAAACTTGAAAAAGACGCAGTGCTGGGTCAGGTAGTACAGTGGGTGAGATGCTTTCTCGCGCAAAGCTGACTGGGCTCCAATCCCCAGAACCACACAATGGTCCAAGCCCTGCCAGGAGTGATCCTTGAGCACCGCCAGTTGCAGCCTTAAAGCAAGGCAACAACAACAAAAAGTTTTTCCACCTAAGCACTAAGGCTCTGTATTTGAGCTGGATTGCCACGATTGGGTGGAACTCAGGGAGACAAGAGGACGAGGCGTAATTATTCTAAACTTCCGAGAGTTCCATGGAGCCGTTTCTATCCTAGGCCCTGAGCTCCCCTGGCGTTTGCTTCCTGACCTGGCTTAGAGAACTATTGCTTCTCAGAAAGATAACTGCACGACTTAACTTCAAAAGGGAGGCAAGACACTAAACTGCAGTGTTTTTAAGACCAGCTTTCTTCAACCTTTTCACACCTGTGGGCCAGCCTCTGGCCTGCACCTGGGTCCATGGAAGGGCTATTACAAGCCAGAGGGGCCAACAGGGGCTGTCAACCTCCTGCACCTGCAGCCCAGCACCGTGCAAGGATGGTGGTTGAAGACTGCTGTTTTCGAAGGGGAAGACAATACGATTTAAATATCCGGAAGTATATGTCTTGTATCTGTAATTACACAAAGCAATGCCCCGTGGCACCGAGGAAGGGGCTCAGGGGGACAGCGTCTACTCTGCACGCTGGAGGGCCCTCGGCCTAGATCCCTGGTGCCGCACACAGAACAAACAAAACACACTAATAACGGGGCACATACACTTTAATAGTGAGGCTTGGGTTCAATCATCTTAAATAACAGGCATTAAAAAACAGCTGGGGAGACAATCCAACAATTGCACAATCCACGACAGAGTTTGGACATCTCAGTGATCTGTGTCTGCAGGCTGTGACTGTCCCCAGCTCTGGATCAGCCGGGCAAGGACACTGAAGCACTTATGTGTGAAAACATTGATCTTTTTAAAAGGCACGTGGAGGTTCTCGTAATGTGGGAATGTGAGAGAGATCACATTCCCATTCCATTTCACCCGGGTTACCTACATGCCTTTACACCACATCTGGCAGCTCTCTAAGATCTGAATACTCTGGATGATTCTCTTCTGGGCTACGGGCATCCACGCCAGGGCCCTCACAGACTTGCTAACCTCACTACACAGTTTGTTAACTGGCAGGAACTGCAGCCAGGCCTCTCTCTCTCTTTCTCTCCGTCTCTCTCTGCACAGGACTAACAGCCAAAAGTCATTCCATTTAACCCGAATTTTAAAACTCAAAACTCAGACTTCCTATATCAGAAGGCAGCAAAGAAAAACCACCTCTGCTCTTGCAGTTTCAAACACACAACACCTGCAGTTATTGAAGAGTTATTGAAATTACAAACCGGTTAAAAGGTAAAACATATCCTTGAAATCCTGACGTGACCAATGTCAACAGGCATTCCAAAATTCACAGTTGACTCAGTGGTGAGAACAATCATAAGCGTGATCACAGTGGTTTCAGCTGTCTCGAAAGCCAGCTTCCCAAGGGGACCCGTGTCCATGCCGTCTGGGTTGGCGCCCCTCGGTGCTAGCACCTATTATTAGAGCCCACGCTCGGCACCGAAAGAAATCATTGGCCCCTTGCTGGGAGTTTTAAGTCACCAGGGCACTCTGCAGGGGGAAAAGGCCTTGACATCCGGATTGGACGTAAGTAAAGCACTTGTTTTCCAACTTGACGCTGTCAAGAACCCCCTACAGGAAGGCACAGAGTCGGCTGGACAGCAGTTGGAAGAGTGGGCACACCAAACACAACTTAAGACGACGGGGAAGCTGTGGTGAAGCGTCTTCCCTCTCTAGTCCCCTGGCTGAGAACACCTGGTTCCACTGGGTAACAGCTTCTGAAAGATGATAGCTGGGCTGCTTTGACACAGAAGATGACAATGCCCAAACGGGTAACCGCCAAAGGCCATTGCCGCCTGAAATTCCGTAGAGTGGCCTGGAAATTGAAATGACTTAAGGCAGAGTTTCGTACAATGCATAGGTCGGTCTCGGGTCTGAGAGAGGCGAACAGGGAGAGGCAGGTCAGCGCAGGAGCTGGAGCTGGCTGGCTGATGTCCAAGCTGTACGTTCTCCTCTTCCTCAGCTGTTGACGGATGGAGGAGACAGAAGCCTGGCCAGGGTGGCCGCAGCTCCGGGAATGGCTGGCCATGACTGCAGGGACATAAATTTCCTGCCTATTAATAGTCTCCCGCCACCAGACGTACAGACGCCGGGGAGCAAAGGCCTCTCGGGCCTTTGTCGGGGGCACGAATGTCTCCAGGGCCAAGAGCCGTTCACCCCGCACCTCGGCCCACCGTGGACACAGACACAGACGAAGACGGTTTCACAGCTAATGACCCCAGAGCGTTCCTGGGAGACTTTCCCTGGGGGTGGGGGGAGTCCCCGCGTCCCCCGACATCAATAACAAGACACTCAAGACACATGCAGACAGGCCCCGCGGCGGACACCAGGCGGGGAGGACATACGGCAGGGCCGGGGCGCGGGCGTCCCGGGCTCGGACGAAGCGGGTCCGGCTCAGCCGAAGCAGGTCCAGCTCGGACGAAGCGGGTCCGGCTCAGCCAAAGCGGGTCCAGCTCGGACAAAACGGGTCCGGCTCGGACGAAGCGGGTCCGGCTCAGCCGAAGCGCGTCCAGCTCGGGCGAGGCGGGTCCGGCTCAGCCGAAGCGGGTCCAGCTCAGCCGAAGCGGGTCCAGCTCGGACAAAGTGGGTCCAGCTCAGCCGAAGCGGGTCCAGCTCGGACAAAGTGGGTCCAGCTCGGCCGAAGCGGGTCCAGCTCGGACGAAGCGGGTCCAGCTCAGCCGAAGCGGGTCCGGCTCGGACGAAGCGGGTCCAGCTCGGACGAAGCGGGTCCGGCTCAGCCGAAGCAGGTCCAGCTCGGACGAAGCGGGTCTGGCTCAGACGAAGCGGGTCCGGCTCGGACGGAGCGGGTCCGGCTCGGATGAAGCGGGTCCAGCTCGGACAAAGTGGGTCCAGCTCGGACGAAGCGGGTCCGGCTCAGCCGAAGCGGGTCCGGCTAGGACGAAGCGGGTCCGGCTCGGACGAAGCGGGTCCGGCTCGGACGAAGCGGGTCCGGCTCAGTCGAAGCGGGCCCAGCTCGGACGAAGCGGGTCCAGCTCGGACGAAGCGGGTCCGGCTCGGCCGAAGCGGGTCCGGCTCAGCCGAAGCAGGTCCAGCTCGGACGAAGCGGGTCCGGCTCGGACGGAGCGGGTCCGGCTCGGACGGAGCGGGTCCGGCTCGGACGAAGCGGGTCCGGCTCAGCCGAAGCGGGTCCAGCTCGGCCGAAGCGGGTCCGGCTCGGACGGAGCGGGTCCGGCTCAGCCGAAGCAGGTCCAGCTCGGACAAAGTGGGTCCAGCTCGGACGAAGCGGGTCCAGCTCGGACGAAGCGGGTCCAGCTCGGACGAAGCGGGTCCGGCTCAGTCGAAGCGGGTCCGGCTCGGACAAAGCGGGTCCAGCTCAGCCGAAGCGGGTCCAGCTCGGACGAAGCGGGTCCAGCTCAGCCGAAGCAGGTCCAGCTCGGACGAAGCGGGCCCGGCTCGGATGAAACGGGTCCAGCTCGGACGAAGCGGGTCCAGCTCGGACGAAGCGGGTCCGGCTCAGCCGAAGCAGGTCCAGCTCGGACAAAGCGGGTCCGGCTCGGGCGAGGCGGGTCCGGCTCAGCCAAAGCAGGTCCAGCTCGGACGGAGCGGGTCCGGCTCAGACGAAGTGGATCCAGCTGTCCTCGCACTCCCCGGGCGGCAGGCGCAGCGGCTGCTCGCGCACCGTCAGGCTGTAGTCGCGCCCGTCGTTGTTGTCCCAGTACTCGGCGCCGGCCACGCGGTAGCGCAGCGCGAAGAGCACGCGGGCGCCGCGCGCCAGCACGAAGGGCGGCACCGGGAAGGCGAAGGCGAAGACGTCCTCGGCGCCCGCCGCGCCCGCCGGCCCGCGCCAGCGCGCCGCCGCCTCGTGCGCGCGGCGCCAGCCCGACAGCGTGTAGCGCACGGCCACCTGCTTCTCGAAGGCCACGTTGCTGACGCGCACCGAGCCGCGCACGCCCAGGTCCGAGCAGGCCACGCGCTCCAGGCACACGCGCTGGCGCCGCACGCGCTCCCCGAAGCCCGGCGCGTCGGCGGGCGGCGCGAAGTCGGGCACCAGGCAGCGCAGCGCCCAGGCGGGCGCGGCGGGCGGCGCGGCCAGGCGGGACAGCACGTGCGCGGGCACGGCCGGCCGCTCCCCGGCGCGGAACTCGCGCACCTGCGCCAGCTCCAGCCCCAGCGCGTCGGCGAAGCGCACGCGGGGCGCCCGCCCGCCGCCCGCGCCCGCGCCCGCGCCCGCGCCCGGGGGCCGCCGCCGCCGCTCGGGCGAGCCGGGCAGGGAGCGCGCGCGCCGCGGCGCCCCGGGGCCCGGCCCCGCGCCCGCCGCGCCCGCCGCGCCGCCGTCCGGCTCCCACGCGCAGCTGAGGCTCCGCGGCCCGGGCCGCCGCGGCCCCGCGCCCCCGGACATGGCCCGGCCTGGGCAGCGCTCGTCCCGGGGGCCCGCGCCGCTCGCCCGGCCGCCGCCGCCGCCGCCCGGCCCACGGCGCCCCGCCCCGCGTGACGCCGCCCGGGAGGCGCGCGGGCCCGTCACGTGTCCCGCGGCGGCGGCGGCGGCGGCGACCCCGGCGGCCGCGTCCGCCCGTCCGTCCGCGGTGGGTGCGTGCATGCTCGGGGCGCGCGCGCGCGGGGTCGGGGGCGCGGGGGCCCGGGAGGCGCCGCCGCCGCCCCGGAGGGCGCGCGGGCCGTGGACGCGCTCGGGGACCGCCCGCCCCGCCAGACCCCGCCTCCGGGCCCGCGCCCCAGCACCCCGGGGCCGCCCGCGGCCTTGGCGCGCGCGCGGGAACCAACCGCGGCCGGCGCAGCGGCGCTTGCGTCCCGGGCAGGGCAGGGCAGGGCAGGGCAGGGCAGGGCAGGGGAAGGAGCTTTGCAGGCGGAGACCCCCCGGCGGGGGAACGAACCAACGGTCCTGCAGCCCGCCGCGTGCCCAGCCCGGGCTGGGGGCAGGGCAGCCTGTTGGCCGGCCGGCACCCCCAAGGGCCCCTCCCCGCGCCCCCCGCTCTGGGGAACCGCGTGTTGCTCACGCTCGAATGAAAAACGGTCTCTGCACTGTGGGGGGCGCAGCGAGGCTCCCTGGACCGAACGGCTGAGTCCCACCTGTTTCCCCGGGTTCGGGAACCCCCCCCCCCGGGCCGCCCCCCATCACCAGGGCGGGAGCAGCTGCGGGGCTGGTGCGGGGTGGCAGGAGAAGTGAGCGGAGCCGGCCAGGTTGGTCTCCACCCGGCCTCCCGGCCTGGCTTCCTCCTGGCCAAGCGCTGAGTGTCCACGGGTGACCCCCGCGGCTTGGCACCGATGCCCGGCCAAGGGTGGTGCACGGTGCCTCGCATACACGGCGGGCCGGGGAGGGGGTCGGTCCCTGCAGGGTAACAATGTGACTTTGCGTCCACTCTGAAAAACGAACAGGGGCGGGGATTAAGCAGTGAGCGCGAGGCGGCCCTTCCCCACGGTGGGTTCCACCACTGCGTGTCCTTGAAAGCGGCCTGCAGTGGGCCTGACGCTGCCTCTTGGTCCTAGTTCCGGCGGGAGGAGCCTTCCCGGGCAGCCGAGGGATAACCCAGCCGCCTCCCCAGCTGTCCGCGCCTTGCGACAGATTGAGCAAGAATATTTCAAGTCCTACAGACAAGGTGGTGTAAACTTTGAAGAGGTTCCGCCCGGCTGTGTTCCGGCCTCGCGGCTGTTTCGCACGCGTGACTGGTGTTTGTTTTTCAGACAGTCGCTCCAGCCCTAGGTGATGACCAGCTGTGTGAGTTTTTCAAGGAAGGGCATAGGGTGAACGAGGCCCAACAGAGAAGCAGGTAACCCACCCCTTTGTTTCCTGGTTTTATCTTGCGAAAGTGCCACCGCAGCCCTCAGATTCAGTATGGGGGGGTCAGGGGAAACGTGGATGAGACGTGGACGGTTTAGAGCAGGCGAGCAGAACCTAGTAGCTGGCATGGGCGGAGACCCGCTGTCTGGGCTGGGCCCTGTAATGGGGAAGGCAGAGGACAGAAGCCAGTGGGGGGCGGGGGGGAGTTTCAGCAGTGATGGCTTCGGCTTCTAAAACCCGGAGGGGGCACAGGTCGACCTTCCCTGCCGCCGCACGCAGCCCCCTGCCCACGGCCCCTCCGTGAATTCAGACGGTCCCTGAGTGTGGCTGGACCCTCTGGGCAGTGAGTGCTTCCGCTTTCCAGAAGGCGCTTTTGCCTCCGTCTCTTTCACTGTGTTTGACGCCCAGTATTGGGAGGTCTTCCTTCTTTCTAGGGGACGGGGAGACGGAGGTAGGGGACACCCGGCTCTGCACTCAGGGGTCACTCCTGGCAGGGCTCTGGGAAACATACGGGCTGCCAGGGACCGAACCTGGCTGGTCCTGCTGCTTGCAGGGTAAATTCAATGCCCTCCCCGCTGTGCTGTCTCTCCAGCCACGAGCGGGGATTCATCTGTGTGAAATGCTTCATTCTTGGTAAATAAGCGGGGAAGGAAATTTTTTTTCAACTAGGTGGATGTGAGAATCTGCCTCGGAATGAATCGCCGGCACCAGCCGAGCTGGGACGGGCACCGGGCAGCCACAGCCCCTTGGGTATCCACACTGCCCTCTCGCTTCTGGCCACTTTGGGGAGCGGCCACCTTTGGTTTCATTCCTGGTGTGGCAGCGAGTCCTTCCCACCGCCGTCCCCACTCAGAGCATGTCGTCAGCCTGGGGTTCCGGGGTAGGACAGACCTACCCGGCGCCTTTGGGTTGGGGCCTTGTGAGGCCTGTGCCATCCCAAGGCCTCCGGGCCCACTTGTGACCCTCTGTCCTGTCTGCCGAGCTCCCCCTCCCAGCAGCCTGGTCAGAGGACGTGCTGGATTGCCCAGTCTGAGAGCCCGGCCCTCCATCCGAGTGAACGTCCTTAAACGATCTCAGTGGGCTCGGGATTGTAACAAGACGGGCGGCAGGAAGCGGGCAGGGCTGGGCACGCTGACTGGCCCCGCGAATGGCCGTCCCCCGCAGAGCGCCGGGTGGCAGTGACCGTGACCGTGCCATCCAGGCTCTGGCAGTGAAGAGGGCAGAGGGTGTGCCTCGCTGGCGGACGCTCTGGGTTTGGTCCCCGGCTCCCTACTCTCACGATACCCCGAGCCCTGCCAGGCGTGATCCCCAAGCACCCCCATGTGGCCCCAAACCCAAAAGAGAGGAACACGCGTGGGGACATGTTCTGCATGGGCATGCTCACAGCCGGGCCGCGCAGCCTCTGACGGTGGCCTTGTCTCCGCAGCCAAGTGACCGCAGGCCCATCGTGGAGTGAAGTGCAGCCGTCGAGGAGCTCGGGGGGACAGAGGCCCAGCACGTCCCAGGCCGCCCGCGTGCCGTCCCAGCCCCGGAGCGGCCTTGGTGGGGTGTCCCCACGGAGCGGGGGGCCCCGCGCCCAGAGCAGCCCCCCCAGAGCAGAGCCAGGTGCGGGGCCGGCCGGCAGCAGGATGTTCCTGGACTTCCAGTCGATGAAGATCATCAAGGAGGACGCTGACCAGGACAGCGCCAGCGACCTGTCCGACTCGGAACGGGTGCCCCTGGCCCCCTCGCCCCTGACCCCGCCCACGCTGAACCTCCGGGCGGAGGAGATCGACCCCTTATGCTTCGAGCAGCCCCCCGGCCCGGCGGGGCCCGGGTACCAGTACCCCGACTTCCTCCCTCCCCCTTTTAGCTCCTGGGACCTCCGGGACGCGGCCCTGCTCCCGGGGCCTCGGCCCGGGGGCTCCCTGGGCCGCTTTGTGGAGCGTCTGGTGCAGCTGCAGCGGCTGCAGGAGCAGACGTTGCACTGGGAGCGCGCCAAGGCGGCCAAGGGCAGGGCCACTGCAGGCCCCGGCACCCCGGGAACACTGAAGAGCCCCGGGAGGAACAGGCTCCTAGCCGGCGCCCTGTCCCGGCCGCCCCAGGAGGGGCCCTGCAGGCTCGTCCCCCTCCGCAAGAAGGGCCCGCCCCGGGCCGAGCACCCCGGCCCCTCGCCCGGCGCCCTCGAGCCGTGCCCCCGGACCGGGGACGTGCCAAGGAGCCGCCGGGCGCTGGCCCCGAAGCCGCCCTCCAACGGCTCCAGCGAGGAGAAGAGAAGGAAGCCCAGCAAGGCAGCCCGGCTGCAGCGCTGGGAGCCGCCCGGCGGGGTCACGGGCACAGCATCGGGGGCCGCCAGCAGGCTGGAGAGCGACGGCAACCTCCGCGCCCCCCGGCCCCTGGCTGGCCCCCTGGACCCTGCCGAGCCCAAGGCGCCCAGAGCACAGGCGCACGCCGGTCTCAGGAAGAAGGGGAGCGTGGACGCCTGCGCACTGGCCCCTGCGTCCGGCGAGAGGCGACCGCGGGCAGGTGGGGCCAAGCCAGCAGCCTCGGGGACCTCGAGACGCAAGTGAGCGGCGCAACCCCGGCCCCTGCGGCCCGACCCCCGGCCTCCTCGGCCGCTGGTGGAAACGGCAACTCCGAGGGGCGATGGTCGGTTTCCAGGCCTGGGAAGCCGTGAGGCGGCCAAGGCGGCGGAGACCTCAGCGTTCCCGGCGTCTCGGCAGCGGCGCCCGGGCACCCGGTGCTGCCCTTGCCTTGGCTCTAAGGTTCGGGCGAGAGTGGGCGCACTGCCCCGGGCAGGCCAAGCCCGTCCTCTCTGTGACGTCCAGGCCACGGCCCTGCTCCCCACCTGCCCAGCCTGGGGGAGTCCCGTGCGGAGGGAACCGAGGGGAAATATGTACCCTCGGGTGGAAGTTTGGGGCGTCCGCGCCTTGGGCTGCTTGTGGGGCTGGGGAGGAGGCGTGGGCCTTGCAGAGCTGCCCGGTGCGTCTCGGAGCCCCGGGAACACACACTGCTATGCGTGGTAGATGCGGGAGCTCCCGGGTGCAGGGCCGCGTGTGGGCTGACCCTGTCCCCCTCGGCAAGGGCAGGATGACGGGCTTGCTGTGGCGGGGTGGGGAGAGCCAGCGGAGGAGGCCTGGGTCAGATCCGTGGGTCAGATCCGAGTATTCTCAGCCCCGCCCGCCCTCTCCAGGCTTGCACTTCCCAGCGTCCGCCAGGGGCTGCTTTCTGGGTGCTGCCAGGAGGGTCCTGTTGGCGGGGGACACCCCGGCTGACTGCCTGCCTGCCCTGTCCGTGACAGGATTTGTCCCGTGATGAGTGTGTGTGCGTGTGTGTGCGCTATTTCTTTGTCTTTGGGGTAGGTGAGAACTTGGCACCTTTTCTTTGAAACTACGGAGCAGCCTCGGGACAGGACGTGTTCCTCGGTGAAAGGGTGGCCAGAGGAAACGGAAATAGGGTTTATACCTGCTGGACGAAGGCACGCATGTTACAGCGGCTGTTGCCTGCCAAGAACTTTCCAGGCTGTCCCAGACCCCGTAGACCGTCCCTCGCACCCTCCCGGAGAAAGCGGATCCAGTGCTCCCAGCTGCCAGTTTCCCGGGGATGGTGCCAGGGACACCGCTGCCAATTTCTGCTCCCACAGTGCCCTTGGCCTGTGCGTGTGCACGTGCGTGCGTGTGTGTGTGTGTGTGTGTGTGTGCGCGCGTACTTGCCTGTGTGAACACGCTACTGCCCTCCTCCACTCCGTGGTTCCGAGTGACCCTGTTGTGGACAGATCGATCCTGTGTGTATGGCTGGCATCTCGTGGTTCTTCCTGTGCTGTTTTGGTTCAAGTCTGTGACATTTAGAACTGCTAGATCCTAGGATGCATGCAGCTCCCAGGGACATCCCTGCTCTAGATCTTAGTACGCATGCCATATCCGGGACTTGCCCTGGCCCAGATCACAGGGAACATGCAGTGCCCAAGATGCCCCTGGCCGGGATCACAGGGAGCATGCAGTTCCTGAGACGCCCCTGGCCGGGATCACAGGGAACATGCAGTTCCCGAGACGTCCCTGGCCGGGATCACAAGGAGCATGCAGTTCCCGAGATGCCCCTTGCCGGGATCACAGGGAGCATGCAGTTCCCGAGACGCCCCTGGCTGAGATCTTAGGGTGCATGCTGCATCCAGAACACCCTGATTTCACACCACAATGCATGCTTTATCCACAAACACCCTCCCGGGTCTCAACACTCAGACTGGGGCTGTGTCTGATGCTGCCCGGGGCCTCTGGAGACCCGTCTGAGCAGAAACGCCCTCAGGAGGATGCTCCAAGCTCGTGCCACATCCGCTCCGTCTGTCCAGAGCCTCTGGACTGGGGCCAGTTTCTCCCTGGGGCCCTCGTCCGACTCCCCCGTGCTAGGACGTCTCGGCCTCAGGAGCTGGAGGCGGCAGTGCCGCGCGCCACAGAACAGAAGCACAACCTCAGGTCCTGGGTTCTGACGTGGGCCCAAGACTCAAGCACAAGCACTGCGGGGGGAGGGACACCAGCACCACTGGCCTCGGGGGCGTCACCCGAGCCACTGTGGGCCGTGTAAGCCTGGAGACCGTCGCGTGTCTAAGAAGTGCCTCGTTTCTGGGGGGTTGTTTACACACACGTTGCATTCAAACCAATGAAAATAATCTGGGGAGGGACCCAGAGAGGAGAGTGGGTCAGAACCAAAGTGTCAGTATTCGCTGCCAGGACGTGGGCTGCTGGCGTGGCTCGGGCCCAGGGGGCAGAGTGAGCGGGGAGGAGAGAGTTCGGCCTCCACCCACCGCTGGACGCCAGGCACCCCTGGTGGGTCTTTGGGCGGGGGAAGCGCTCTGGGTGCGAGACAGCGGCCCTGGGCTGGGGGCACCCACCGCGCGGCTCTCGGTGCCTGCCGAGACTGTGGAAGTGTTGCGCTCGGCGTCCCTGTTGGCGTGGGTCTGCCCTAATAAAGAGCTCCGGCCCTGTGTGACTGTCCCTCCTTCTGTTCACACGTGTCCCTGCGTCCCCACCAGCGGGCCGGGAGGTACTTGGCCCCGAGCCTGTGACCGCAGCTTCGTGCCAGCTCCCTGCTCCCTCTGCTCTCTGCCCTCGGGGTGCCGGGATGAGCCCCGGGGCTGCGGGCTCAGGAGCCCCTCGCCCGGCTGCCACGGCAGCGCCCCCAGAGCCCTCGCGCCCCTTCCGGGGGGCGGCGGGTCAGAGGTAAGGGGGGTTCTTAGCGGGGTTGGGCAGCTCGGCCAGCAGCACCCGCCTTGGCGCCCCAAGCCCAGGTGGGCCCAGGGTGCGGGGCAGAAGGCATCGCAGATGGCCGGGGGGCAGGGCCGGCCGCTTGGCAGGGACAGTGGTTCCGAACGTGGTGTGGGACACGCTTCCACTGGCAGGTGGCCCAGCCCCGAGCTATGGCTGACGTGAAGGGCCGACGTCAGGGCCCAGGGCTGCGCTCACGCACGCCATAGCTCTGGATGTGGGAGCCCAAGTCTGACTTCCAACACCATGGGGTCCAGCAGTACACGGGGAGCCCCTGGATCAGGAGACACCCACTGGACAGTTGCCCCTCCCACCCTATGGCTTTGGTCACCGTGTGCGAGGGAAGGGCCGGGGGCCTGGGGAAGGGGCTCTGGCAGCCAGGAGGGCGCTGGCGCCGGTCCCTGCTGGTTCTGCCCGTGGGCAGGGAGTCGACCAGAACCACACTGGGCAGAGTGGGCCGATCAGGGCCCGCACTCGCTTCCTCCGTAGCTGGTTCTCGGTAGTCTGGCCTGGGGGCTGCACCCAGGGGTGCTCAGGGGCTGCTCCCGGCTTATGCCTGGTGGGACCGTGGTGGGGGCAGTACCAAGGCTGCCTTACGTCAGCCCCGTCCAGTTCCCAGCCCCAGCTCGTGGTTCCGTAAAATCCTCCCAAACCCCACTCCCACGTCCCCATGTTCGGCAACTGGCGCGTGGACAGAGCGAGGCACAGAGGAGAGGCGGGTCCCGGCACACAGGTGGGCCCGGGGCACCATCTCCCGTGGCTGAACCACCACACCCGGGCTGCACCATTGCCCACGGCCGGCACCTCCTGGGGCCTGGCCGCAGCAGAAGCCACCCTGGTGGTTGGGGGTGGGGGGGAGGGAACGCCTCCCACAGCTCAGCCCAAGCAGCGCTGAGCCCGGACCTGACGCTGCCCGCCCTGAGGAAGACCAAGGAGGGGACCCTCCTCCATGACCCCTCGCTCCTGTATTTGGGGGTTTGGCTTCACAGGCCTGTGCCGGGGGGATGCCGGGGTCCCAGGTCTCTCAAGGGGCCGGGCGCCCTCCCGAGAGTGTCTCGGACGCACATCCTCTGGCCAGGATCCGGGTGATGGGCGTGAAGCAGCCTGGGGGCCAGCTGGACACCTGGCCTCCCTGCAGGCCCCCTTTGTCCACCCCTCCAAGCTGTCCCACCCTGCTGTGACCACCCTCGGAGTTCCCCACACTCAGAGCCGGGCTCGCAGCCCCCCTGAGACGGGGTGGGGGGCTGCGTTCCTGCCACACATCCCTGCTGCTCCAGGGTCCGGCGGCCAGTGGGCAAGGGGCAGGGACGGCCCCTCTCCCTGAACCTCAGTTCTCCACGGCACCCGCCCGCACACCTCTCCCCCAGGGACAGCCCCTCCCCTCTGCCCGCACACTCTGTCCCCCAGGGACAGCCCCTCCCCTCTGCCCGCACACTCTGTCCCCCTGACGCCCCTCTTTGAGGTTTGACCGTGGGTCCTTCCCCACGGAGGGGTCCCTCCAGGCTCTGCTGACCGCCAGCCCTTAGCCAGGCCAGGCTGCGTGCAGGCCACCTGCGGGGACACGTCTGCCCGATGGGGGGCTCTTCATTGGATGTTGCTTCTGTCCAGGCCGGACCAGCTCCCAAGTGCCCAGGCAAGCTGACCCTCCCCTGCTCGGAAATGGGGACACGCTGGGCCCACGCATGGCCCGCGTCCCCCAGGAGGAAGCTCTTGGGCCAGGCATTGTGGGAGCCTTTAGGGACCCAAGGGGGCCTTTTCTTGAGCACTCACGACAGACTCATCTTTATTAGAGACGACCCCAGAACTTAACGGGGGGTGGGGAGGGGGCACGGTCTGCTTTCCAGGCCGGAGTTTGGCCAGGGGGTCCCTGACACCGGCTGCCCGCCCAGTCTTAAGAGCCTTGAGCTGGGTGCTGCCACCGCGTGGCCGGAAGGCATTACTGCACCTCCGGCAGGCGCAGGGCCAGGCTCTAGCTGACGGGCCTCCTGGTGGGGCCGGCAGAGGCCCAGGGTGGCACTGACCAGGCCAGCCGCACGGCGAGCGTTGTCTGATGGGGACGGGCTGCTCCCCGGCTGTCTGGGATGCCTGCGGATGTGGAGCATTTGAGGTGGTTAAAATGCCCATTTTGTTCAGCTTTGAGCAGCTCGGGCGGGCGCCACCGAGCAAGTCTCGCCCACTGTCCCCCAAGACCAGAGCGGCTCCAGCCGCGGACTGCTGCCTCGCTGCCCTCCCTCCCTCCCTGCCCTGCCCTGCCCTGCGCCTTCCCAGCCCGGCTCTCACGGCTTACAGCAGAGCGTGAGAGGAACTGCAAC